CCTCTGGATGTGGTGAGAGGTAAGCATAATTATTCGAGAATATCCCTGCAGTAGGGCGACAACTCGCCTGGACCTATGTCATCGTGCATGGTAGCTACCGGAAAAAGATGCAAAGAAATTGTGCAAGTGATTCGGAACGGTCAAGTTTTCACTCTATTGCGTAACCATATTCTCCATCATATGGAACTGTCATCCAGTCAATCGTCTCAAATTGGTGACGATCCAAAACCTGAAAACCGGAAACCGCTAGTGGTTCCATCATGTGCTGTATAGACTGTTCACGTCATAGTATAGCAGATAGTTGGTGTCTTGAGTCGAGTCAAAGTCGGTCATGTAGGGTTTGTTGGCCTTCGAATACCTGTGACTTATGCTGACACCACCACGGATACCCTTTTCAATGAACGAATAATAGTCCGGATGAGTAAACAACTCATACAGCTTATCATCAAAAACCAGGGTAAGCTAACAAAGTGAAATGATTCTAACCCGTAATCTTGGAGACACATCTGTCAGAACATTTGCATGACGTCACACAAAATCAACGTGTCTACAGAGACGTACAGTCTTACAAAATTATCTAGCGTCCTACAACTCTTGAACGAATGCATTCTCGTGATCAGAAATGTGCTCCTGGGTGAGTAACGAATACAAGTCAGCTTTTGAGGTTAATTTCGTCCATGTCCATGTACTCGTAACAAAAAGGAAACTTGCAGGTCAAGAGATTCGCGCGTCCGGGATACGTCTCCCGCAGTGATGTAAAATGTTCAACGCCCTTGTATTTGAGATTGTTTACCAATTTATCGAGAGAAGTGGATAGAAACCTATAGGAATCTAGAAAAGCTAAATTGTCAATGCTAAAACTCAGATACTGTTCGATATTATGGGAGATGATCGTGGTCAATGTGAAAATCTCGACTCTTGTGCTCTGTATGGCTATGCGATCTGCCTTGGTCAATTTTAGTGTGACTGGATTAGCATAGATCTCTTCCTCGATCTAATCGTAATCATTTAAAACTTTGAGGCCGCATCAGGACCCGTACAGACTTGTAAGGGTTGTGAGTACTCTGGGGCCCGACTAATCAGTTTGTAAGAGAAAGCCAACGGAATGTGCTTCTCCTCTCGTGAGGTTTGTGTATCAGTGTCCCGGAGATCATTTTCCTTCACTATCAGGGATTCGAAGTCGGCTTGTTCAAAAGACTTTTGTCTAAGTCCAAATTCTCCTTCTTTGTACGTGCTAATTGTCTGTGCCTTTTGATAACAATAAGATGTATGCGACTCTAAACTTTCGGTAGTGCAGAAAGGCCAAAGACAGCGTCACCGTGCCTCGTTCTGAGAGAGGTGCTAAGTTGGTAATTAAACAGTAGTGTGCTTCTTTGTCTTCCTCTGTCAAAAGCAAGAGATCTATGCACCGTTCGACTGGAACGTCTGCTTCCACATTGCTAATGTGAACAGGATAAACTACTCCCCCTTTTGCGACTGCCTCGTTTTGTTCCTCGGCTTCCCCATACACATTAATAGGGAGTCTGTTTAAAGATTCAAACTTGGAAACCTGATTCAAGGACATAGGAAAAGTAATACCTTCTACATTAAACGTATCCAAGTGTGGTAAGTAATGGATCTCCTGTTCCCGATGTGTGAAAGGTAGGGCAGGGAACCTGTGAGCCGCTATTGAGAATAAAAAAAAGAACATCGTTCGTCGGAGTTTACTTTGTTAAGCACACATTTGTTTCTACGTTTCAATTGTGGTGGTAGATGGATGTAGGACGATCCGCTTAAGTGTCTGAGCCGGACCACTGTCAGTTTGACAGAAAGCACCCTTTCCAAATTGAGATTAGATCCCTCTCCCTCATCCCTCCATCTATTCTCCTCAATAAGGTATTCACGTGTTCATTGTTCTGTTCAGTCAAATCGTCATGTTTGAGTTAAAGTAAGACTTGATGAACTTGATTTGTTCGTCACCGTCTACTTTTAAAAATTTAACGTGCAAACAAAGTCCCTATTTTATTTTACTACATATTGTCATTATGAGTACTGGTATGTCTAAACACACACATAACTATTTGGAGAATCCAGCTGATATAACGATTGATCCAACGTCCAGTCGGGCATTCGTTCACATAAAAAAGGGGGAGAGAAGTGTATCAGCCTTTCCACTGATCATGCGAGCGAAATTGTAGACGTAGCGGACGACTTCGAACTGCTTGCTGCAACAGAGCAGGAAGTATTGGTCTTGACAGCAGGAGCATCCCTACGCAAGAGAAGGAAAATGGAATTTGATTACTTTTATTTAAAACAAATGAACACAATATATAATTTTTAGTCAAACGATGTGAGTTTGAAACTATCTTTCGTATTTTCACATTAATTTTAGGTTTCATATATATCCTTCTACAGTTACATTTGATCATAACTCAAAACGACGTACATTTTGGTTTTCATATTTAAAATATTACACATATTTTCACATATGTGGTTTTAACTATCCCTATGGCTCATTTTCATACCGTTAGTTTTGTCAGTGCTCCAATGAATCATATTCAGAATATATCGAAACGACAGTCAACAAGTTTGCAAGATGTACTATTTCTGTATTTTAGGACCACCATACAGATTCCCCAGACCACCCTCACCCTTCTCCCTACCATCAAAGACCTGTAGCTCCAAAGCATTTGACCATGGCACCTGCAACCACAATGTCGACACCTTCCTCTATATTCATGCAGACACCTTGGATGTATTCGGGAGCTTCTCAGTTTCCCTACCCTACGCCGTCTGTAGACAAGAACACGACCGTCATTATGTTGCAGTGAGAACCGAGATTCGTCAGAAAAAAGAACTGCTGACCACTGTTTTCTTGTCCACTGTGCCCATGCGTCTCTGGCTGCTCTGTGACGCGGAAGAAGAAGCGGTCTATCGGCTTGACGTCGGGGCCTGATGTTTCTTTCCCTCATACGGTTTCTTATGGTTTGGTCACATCCCCATTTTTTCGGCAGCTGTGAGGAGGAGATTACAACAAAAAATTCCATGAAAATGAGTGCTGTTCAAAATGAACGTTGACGAGTCCAGTATGATTCAAATTCTTAGTTCTGGTCATGAAGTCACTTGAGTAAGGGTCTTCAATATCAGGAGGCCATTTACCAAATTTAAAAGGAATCGAATGAACAGTACTGCGTTCCCTAAATGAACAGTGTTCCCTAAATTGTTTTGACGAGCATACATTACGTACTGCCTGTAGTTCTACGTCGTCTCATCCTGTAAGGGTGAATATTCGCTCATTCACGACAGTGAACACACTCCACGTCAACCATACGCAACAATGTACTCAAGTATTAGATTAAGATATTAACCTCACTATAGCTTTACAAGCACCCAGGTTTGCGAAAATATATTTCTATAAAACGAAACCATTTTGGCCACTCCCACTAGAAGACTACATGTACTGTTGTCTGATTGGCTGACATGGTGGACGTTGGTGGTTGATTCATACAAAATACTTTTCTTGGTTGAAGTTCATAACCATACACAGAAGCACATGTGAGCATCCGATAGCAATAACCAATCAATATGCGGGGATAAGTCAGTAATAGCCAGGAATAGCCAAGACTATTCAGGACATATTAAAACATAAATATATAGACAGAAGACACTTTAGCAGACACACAGACAGAAGACAACTATACAGGCACACAGACAGAAGACTACTATATATACACACACAGACTGAAGACAATTAAACAGACACACACACAGGTGACAGCTATACACACATACACAGACAGAAGACAATTGAACAGACATACATCACGAGAGACAAGATCCCACGCATTTGATACAACATGCACACACTACAGTACTCGTGGGTCTTTGTTGATCGGCCTCGTTCATCATTTTTATTTCAAACGACCTAATATCCATTCAGATATTTGTTTGTGTTGTGAAGCAGTTGTCAATTTATTCCGCTATGGCGAAGTACATGTATTGAACATGTCACGGGACACGGCACACCTACAGAAACGTTTCACAATAGTTACACAGGACAAACTTGATTTTGTCGCTATTAACTAAAAAAAATAGCAAGTTTAATAGCTTCAAGTTTGAACGGTCATAATAACCTAGATTTAAACATGACTTTGAATGCTGTCTACTTAACAAAAGGGGGTAATGTTACATAACAGTATTACATTTATACCAAGGCGGGGCTGATTGATGTGTGAGAGAAGCCCAACGTGATGTAGGTCAAAACAGACATTTACCACTCATCATTTGGTCGACATGTACGGACACAAGTCTGGACAGTGAATTGCGAACTGGACCACCCATGCATCCTCTGATAAAGAAATTGTCGTTTTAAACAAGAACAGCATCTTCACCTAAAATATGAGTGAATTTAACTCCATGTCCATTAAAATAAAGTGTCTTTTTCATAAGAACATATCTTATATACCAGCATCTCTCTTCAGGAACAGGAACGACTGGGTAATTGACATACATGTAGGAGGCTGCGTTTTCCTGTGAAGAGTTGTGTCACGTTGTGGTGCCAGGATGCGATGATCGTGGTTTCGAATTCCAGATTCGCCACGATTTTACCTCTCACAACCCGTGCTGGTTGACCATGGCTTTGCCAAAGTGGTACATGTCTGTCCTGGCTACTCTTCACTTTCCACAACAGTAACCCGACACGCCATTGCATATCTGAAATACAACACGGAGCGGCGTTAACCCCAATACACTCACGACCTCACAGCTCGTCAATGTATATACAGTGATCTGTCACGTAAACTTTATATTGCGAACCAAAGGAAACACTGTTTACAATAACCACACACTACCACCAATATGAAAGTGGAAACCATACCAACAAACAAACGCTGTCTGCCTCAAGCTGAATAGCCCTGCCAACAATGACTCTTTATGCTTATTCTCATGCATATGGTATAACGTGTCATGGTTGAATAGTTTCCATTGACAAGAAGCACACATTTGGAACACAGAGTACCCGTCAACTTAGGATATAAGAATGCTCACAATGATGTCGTGATTTTCTGTGTACAGTCCTGAATAGCCAGAGCGTTTCTAACAGTCAACAACTCGAATAATCCTTACCTAACATGAGAGTAAACGAAGAACGACTGGGAAGTCAGCTCCAGGAGGATAAGATGTGTATTTCCTGTACCATATAAACACACTGTATCTTATCGAAGATGCGAGACACACTACGACGAGTGTTATTCACATTGGCTCTTTTGACAGTGATTCAGATCTCCTCTTCTCAAGGTAATGTAATCGATATGTGAATATGTTACAGTCAATGAGTAAAATGACTGAGATTTTCACTAAGGCTATTTACAAAACGCAAAAATACAAATATTTTGCCATTTCCTGTATTATGATAACGAATTTAAGCGTTTTAATGCTTTATTTTATCACCCGGTGACAAAAGTATAGGATTAAAAGAAGAGTAAATGTATATTTCATTTCTGTGGCTTCTAATACTACAATTGTGAATCGATTGTGATTTTAAGACCTTTTGAATTACTAATAACTTTTGGTCAATCTGATTAAAAAATGGTTGTTAAATGACTGAAATATCAATGACACAATGATGAATATGACCCTCGCTGAAAAGAAATCACACGCTTCACGAATTCGTTTTTCAGCGATTTCCGGCGAATGTCGTCGTAAAAGTTGGAATCGATGGAGATATCGTTGGTTATGCAATCGTGTTTCGAAAGAATTCGCGACATTTACAAAGATGAATTTGATAAATGAATAAAATTCAAATGAAAAGCTCCAAAAATTCTGATCTTCGAATCTTAGGTGTAATCCTTGTGACTTTCACCACAGTGGTAAACGTAGAAGGCCTGCCTCGGGTTTTTTTCAACATCTAGTTTTTATGCTGGGAATTTTATCTGCTTGTATATTCGCCGCAGATGATGATGCAGGTTTTACGGAGTGGACTGCGTGGACAAATCCTCCTTGTAGTGTAACGTGTGGACGAGGTGTTTTGATACAATTCAAAGTAAAAGCCCCTAAAATTCTGATCATGGGACACGGGTGTTTCCAAGGCGCCATGATTGTGTATTTCGCCAAAGTGGAACGTCTTAGACCTGCATTACATCGAGTTTTCCTCCCACATCTAGTTGTTATGTTGTGATTATTGACTGGTTGTATGTTCACTACAGGTGATAGTGGAGGTTTTTCGGAGTGGACGAATTGGTCAGACCCTCCTTGTGGGAAAACGTGTGGACAAGGTGTTACTAAACTAGTCTACAGAAACAGGAATTGTACATCCATACCGGCTGATTGTTCAGGGTCGTTCCTTGAGACTAAGGAGACGATCTGCAATATTCCAAGATGTCCAGGTAAGCATTCGTATTTATAACGACCCCAACTTTCTCGTACGACAGCATTGCTCCTCGTGAAGTTCTAAATAATGACAATCTACCATGAGCGAGTTCGTGGGCCGTTTACTGCTGACTAAATGAACTTATGTTGAACAGCACTTTCATGATTTGCACCATTGTAAAACGCCGCAACGACGTGGGGAACTGTCAGTTATCAGCAAGGCTGCCAGAAACTATAAATGAAACGTTTTGGAAAATGGTTATTATTCTTGTACATATTTATTTCATGTCAACCTAAAATCAGTCAAACATAATCAACACGTACGTAGTAACACAATAACTGCACCTGAAAAATGTAGTTATATTACTTGTCTGAAAGATATTTTACTTCAAGAAACTACAAGTGTCAATTTCACTGATGTATGTATTCTGTAAATATTCTCAGAAACGTAGACTAAGTCTGTCTAACCTAAACAGATATATTGCGTTACTACACAAAGAGATTTGAATTTACACAGAATGATGCAGTTGTATAACGAGATAGTCCTTCGAAATGAAACCTTGACTCTGACCCTACACATTTCATGTAATTTTGTTATTTGGTTCAACTAGTCTGTACACATTCCTCATTGGAATGCCACCGAACTTTGCGGCGAAAACGTTGATGCAGTTTTCAGCCCGGAAATGGCTTGTGACTGGCACATAGAGCGCTGCAATTCTCCTGGCTACAGATAACGCGTCTTGGGAGCCAATTCGATCATGAATAGTCCCCCGTGGCAGAGGAATATTATATGATGGAGACACATTCAATGCATATGCATTTGTAGTAAAGAGTGAGTAAGTGAGTTGGATTTAACGCCGCTTTTAACATTATTCCAGTTATATCACGGCGTGTCAGCTTAAGGTGTGAGGAAAGCCCGAAGTGATGCAGGTCTCAGACGTTTACCACTTCGGTGAAACCTGCGAGCACTGGTATGGAATAACCAAGGGTAACCCTCAGAACCAGGCAGTGTACATTCACGCCGCTTTAATTGTACAGGGCCGTACGTTGAGACGAAGGAGATACCCTGCACTATTCCAAGATGTCCAGGTAAATAATTGGTATTTATATCAATCTCAACTTTCTTGTACGATAACACTGCTCCTTGTGAAGTTCTAAAAAGAGCCAATCAACGCATGAGCGAGTTCGCAGGCCATCGACTTCTACATTTACGAACTTATGTTGAACAGCACGCACTAGATTTGCTACATCGTAAAATGCCGCAAAGACTTGAAGAACTAACAGTTATTAGCAAGGCTGCCAGAAAAAAATGTTTGGAAAATGGTTATTATTCTTGTCCATATATATTCCATGTCAATCTAAAACAAGTCAAACATAATGAACACATACGTAATAACATAATAACTGCACCTGGAACGCAAAGGTATATTACTTTTCGGAAAGATATTTTACTTGAAGAAACTACAAGTGTCAATTTCACTGATGTATAAGACCGCCTCCGTGGTCAAATGGTAGAGCGTCCGCCCGGAGAGCGGAAGGTCCGGGGTTCGATCCCCGACCGCGTCATACCAAAAGACGTTAAAAGATGGTATTTGTTGTTACCCTGTCTGGCGCTCGGCATTAAGGGGCTAAAACAAGGACTGGTCGGCTCGGAGTCAGTATACTGTGTCTGAGTGGGGTATTCATGTTAAACTGCGGCATGGTTTTCTCAGTGAGCTAGCACTATCAATCGACATCATTCCGGACTAGTACAAGCAGCCACACGTCGCTATACATGTCGCTATACAAGTGAAATGATCTTGGACGCGACGTTAAACCCCATTTCACCTCACGTCAGATGTATAAATTCTAAAACAAAACAGTTATGTTTTCTATGTGGGAAACTTCTAACCTAAACAGATTCATTGCATTACTGAAAAAAAGATATTTGAATTTACACTGGATGATGCAATTGTATAAAGAGATACAATAAATTAAACCTTGACTCTGAATTCCGTGCTGTGACCTCACTTATCGCCTCACACATCTTTCGTAATCACGTTAGTTTGTTCAAATAGTCTGTAAATTTTGCAGCAAAAGCATTGATGCAGTTTTCCGCCCGGTTTTCAGCATTTTGAGAGCTGCGATTCTCCTGGCTACAAATAACGCGTCATGGGGCCAAATTCGATCATTGCTTGTCCCTCGTGTCAGAGTCCCGTTCACATAAGAAACGAGTGAGTGGAGTGAGTATGATTTTACAATATTCCAGGAATATCACGGCGGGGGACACCAGATATGGGCTTCACACATTGTACCCATGTCGGGAATCGAACCCGGGTCTTCTGCTTGACGAGCGAACGCTTTAACCACTAGGCTACCCGACCACCCCTCATAAGTAACGAAAATGCATGAATTTGACATAAATTTGGGAGAATTTGTTCCAAATACCAGTTAATCTGAAATACAGCATATTGCAAAAATATCAAATGGTTTGGAGTGAGACTCAAAGTTTTTATTTTTATTTTTATTTTGTGATATTACATAGATCTTGAAATATGCCTCTTTTCACCTAGCAGTAAATGGGTACCCAGTCGGATAAGATGGCAGTGTGACTGTTAACCTTCTAGCGCCTCAAAGGCAACATAGATTACATACTTCCCAGGGAGTTGAGAATGATTATTACCTTCGGATTTGTCTCGAGAGTCTCGAGATCCAAAAGCCTTTCCTTAGGAAAACAAATAACGCCACACATCGTTTGATGACGTCACTGCAGCGGCACGTATTATTCAAGTTGATGATACACGCAACTCAATGATATTCAGGTCACAAGTCATGAAATTGTACTTAGATCATTATAAGGTAACTTCATTTGATTAATGCGTGTGGTAGTCAAGTTCGCTGACTTTGTTGATGTGTGTCATCTTATCCAAACTGCGTGGATCTATGCACAAGATATCAATGGGTTCTCTGGTTTACAGACCTCCGTCATATAACTGGCATATTGCTGAATTCGGCGTTAAACAACAAACAAAGGTTATGTGTTATGGTTTCTTGTAAGTATATAAAATTGCTATATATCTCCTATAGTGAATGGAGGATTCTCCGAGTGGGGGATGTGGGTCAATGCTACATGTTCAGCCACATGTCAAGGCACGCTGACGCTCACCAGGACCAGAAGCTGTACCAATCCCAGCCCTCTATTTAATGGAGCCCAATGCCAAGGACCACTTCAAGACACTCAACAAAGATCCTGCGGGGACGAGAGGTGCCCAGGTATGTTACGTCCTCACATCTTACATGCAAGTACCACATTGAAGTTTGGTTCTCAATAACATTTATTTCTGTTGTAATGAAACTAAAAATAGTTTGTTTCTTCAGATACATTTTGTGGCTTATGTTCTCCTAATGTGATTCAGGTAAACTGCTGATGACATACCGCATTGAGTAAAGGGTGACATAACATGAATTCAATTAACAAATCCTGTACGATCCACAGGTGGCCGCTCGGCAAACTTGACTCGTGAGGGTTCTTGGGCTTCGGCCTTGCCCTACACATGGTGCCTGCTTAGGGATGTTACTTTGTTCGAAATATGTCTCTGCTCACCAAGCAGTGAATGGGTACCCGATGCGAAGAGATTGTAATGAGACTTAAAAACATTTTAAAAGTGAGGTCCTTGTATGTTACTCGTCAGTACGGTCACATTAAACACCGATATCCGGCTTTCCAGGATATTACTGTCATGAACGCCAACGGATATTATTCCGTTACATTCAATCGTTGATCCAATGTGAAGATATTGTAATGAAACTTCAACGCATTTTAAAAGTGAGGTCCTTGTATGATATTCATCAGTACGGTCACATTAAACACCGATATCCGGCTTTCCAGGATATTACTGTCATGAACGCCAACGGATATTATTCCGTTACATTCAATCGTTGATCCGATGTGAAGAGATTGTAATGAGACTTAAAAACATTTTAAAAGTGAGGTCCTTGTATAATATTCATCAGTACGGTCACATGATAACACCGATATCCGGCTTTCCAGGATATTACTGTCATGAACGCCAACGGATATTGTTCAATTGTTGATCCGATAGGGTGAAATTGTAATCTAAATTGAAACCATTTAAGCACCTCACAAGGTGAGGTCCTTATGTGGTCCTCGTTTGTTCGAATCCATTAACCACCGATACCGTGCTTTTTCAAGACGATTACTTTCATGGACGTCAACGGACATTATTCCTAAACCACCAATCGTTGATACTGTATATTTTGGATTTCAATGATCTCTCATTTGAGATCAATCTGTAACTCCTTGCAAATATTGTTTTCCTGATACAGCCCTTGGGCGATTAGCATAATAGTTCAATGGTCAAATCTAACATAGGTGAGTCCATCTTAGTCGACTTTCCATTTAAAGAACACATTTCTTCTCGGTGCATTCAATCCGTGCCACGACATTACAGACAAATTCCGAAATCCTATTAGGTTAGTGATTATGTGATTGTGATCAAGGCAAAAAAGGTTCCATAGTGACGCCATAGATAGTAACTTTACAACATGACACTGTGACGCCATAAGTAAAGTAAGCAACTCTCTCGACTGCCGGTATCACTAACTTTGTTTAATATATATTCATATATACTGTTCAAGAGCGTTCTATAAGCCCGTTCTATATTCTTGGGTGTGATTCCAAAATAATGCAGATGGACAGCTAGACAGCCAGAGACTTGAGTTTCACACATTGTACACATGTTGGAAATCAAACACGGACGAACATTTAACCACCAGGGGAGCACACAACCCTATTTTGGGGCATGGATGGCCCAGTCGTTTAAGGCGCCGGGATTCGCTGTGCAGAGTTGCATCCCTTGGGCCATGAAACCTATGATTGTGGGTTCGACTCCCGGTTAGCCCCGTTTATGTTTCTAGGCATTTCTCAACAGCTTAAATTCTTGACCAAATTGCCAATTTAACAAGAGAAAGGTGTTTCCTTATATTCTTTGCGTTATGAATTATAAATTCCTTGTGGGAAAACGTGTGGACAAGGTGTTACCAAACTAGTCTACAGAAACAGGACATGTACATCCACGCCAGCCAATTGTTCAGAGCCGTTGCTTGAGTCTAAGGAGACGATCTGCAGTATTCCAAGATGTCCAGGTAAGCATTCGTATTTATAACGATCCCAACTTTTTCGTACGCCAGCATTGCTCCTCGTGAAGTTCTAAATAATGACAATCTAGAAACATAATCTTGGCGAACCGGGTTTCAAACCCACAATCATAGGTTCTTTGCGTGCCCAAGGGACGCAACTCTGCACAGCGAGTCGCCGCGCCTTAAACGACTGGGCCACCCGTGCCCCCTTTAGTAAGGAAGAGAATAACTGACGTTTAGGAGAATTTGTTCCAAATACCAGTTAATCTGATATACAGCTATGGCGAAATACCAGATGGTTTTGATTAAGTTTCAAAGTTTGTTTTTTTATTTCGTGATATGATATAGATCTTAAAATATGCATGTTTACACCCAGCAGTATATGGGTACACAGTCGGATAAGTCGCTCTTGTTACGGTTACTGAAGACATATACGTACAATAAATCCGATATTCGTGTAGCCCTGTTGAATGACACTATATAAATTTTGGACTGGGAATGAAAATGATGCTTATCAAGAAAATATTTCATACGAAGTGAAATGTTCCAAATCCAGTGTAATAACGTTATTCTACCGAGCAGATTATCCAAGTTATCCAAGCTGTGTTTAATATATATTTCCTCATCCAGAAATTAGCCCGTCCTATAATTTAGGGTGTGATTCAAATATAATTCAGATGGACAGAAAGAGACTTGGGTTCCACACATTGTACCCGTGTGGAGAATCGAATCGGAGTGTTCTGCGTGACGAACGAACATTTCTACGTCGACTTTCCTATCTCCTACGTTTGACTTCCTATCTCCTACGTAGGAGATACTAAGTCCTACGTAGGAGATACTAAGTCCTACGTAGGAGGTAGTAAGTTATTCGTAGGAGATAGTAAGTCCTACGTAGGAGATAGTACGTTCTACGTAGGAGATAGTAAGTCCTACGTAGGAGATACTAAGTCCTACGAAGGAGATACTAAGTCCTACGTAGGAGATTGTATGGCAGATATGAATTTCCATGTAGATAGGTTGTTGTCATTACAGGTTGTGAGAATTGTGCTTGTTATAGTTTTATCTCTTATAGTATCATCTTTAAGCGTTAGCCAATAGTTATCTCACAAGTCTAACACCCGTAGCCTGTGTCTGGTCTTCCTGTACCCCCCCCCACCCCCCCCCCCCCCCCCCCACACACACACACCTTTACCCCCCCACTCACACACACACACACACACACACACACACACACACACACACACACACACTCACACTCACACACACACACACACACACACACACACACCAATACCATCTATATCAACAGTCATTCCGAACCGAGTCAATGCAGAATTTTGGGAGCAGAATGTTTTCAAACCATTTAAAATGGTTAATTGATACTCTTTCAACAGTTAACGGCGGCGTCAGTTTGTGGACAAGTTGGAATACATACTCTTCTTGTTCTAAATCGTGTGGCACAAACGCACAAAGACGCAGAACAAGAACAAGAACCTGCACCAATCCTGTTCCAGCATTAGGAGGATTGTTCTGTGCTTCCGAACTAGTTGACACAGAAACACGAACCTGTGTTCTCGCGCCCTGTCAAGGTAAGTGGAAATACATTTATTCATGTTTAAGTCGTTCCAGGAATTGTATGGTGGACACGTTACTTGTCAACATGATGCGCAATGGATTCCCATGCTTTGAGTTTTCACACTTCCTTACTCATTGGCGCCTATTTAATGTCTTTGTCTTTCTTGGTTGTTTAACGCCGCACTCAGCAATATTCCCGCTATATGACGGTGGTCTGTAAATACCCGAGTCTGGACCAGACAATCCAGTGATTGACATCATGAGCATCGATCCATGCAATTGGGATACGATGACATGCATCAACCAAGTCAGCGTCACTGACCACCCGATCCCGTTTGTCGCCTCTTACGACAAGCATAGTCGCCTTTTACGGCAAGCATATGGGTTGCTGAAGACCTATTCTACCCCGGATCTTCACGGGTTGTTGAATTTTAGTATTGTTTTTGCAATTAATAAAGGCGATATATTTAATTTAATATCATAGATACAAATATGAAATTCTGGAGCTCGATAGTCACATGTTGTCGTTGTACAAAAGCATTGAAAACTGTTCATTGTCATGTCACATAAGGTCACAAGGTTGCGCTCATCTCAGTATCTTGCGTGAGCGCCCCGGGCAGCAATCACGGCTCTGCATCTCCTCGGCACTGACTGGATAAGTGTTCGAATTCTGTCCTGCGGAATTATGGGGCAAAACGCTAATTTCGACGACGATAAACACGTTGTCTTCCATCTCGCCAGTGAAGAAGAAATCGTGATTCATCGCTAAACCATACTCGTCTCCAGTTTCCCAAATTCCAAGGCTGTAAGGTATGGCACCAACGCAAGCGTCGCTGTCGATGGATCTGTTGCAAATCAGGGACGATAACTGATCTTCTGGGTCGGATTCCAGCCTCTGGAAGATGGTGCTTGACAGTCTGGTCCGATATCCTCTTTAAAACAGGGATGCGTCCTGCAGTCTCCGTAGCTGTGGCATTGACGTGGGTGGATCAGTCGAATGTAGCGATCCTGTGCAGGAGTGGTAACACTTCGTCGGCGGGTTCTCGGACGATCTGCAGTGGAATTGAACTGTGTATCGGTCCCAAAGGCGGCAAATGATACTGTAATGGACATTGACGTGGCGGATACGTCCTATGTCGATGATCCGAACTTGAAAAAAAATGTTGACAGTTGAATGACAAATCATTGGCTTATGCTTGCCTTTTTATAGCCACTACAACGAGTTACGAATGCCATAAACCACGTGCATTTTGCTTTGCTGTTTCCGTTTAAGACATTGCAAATCGACAATGTCTGCGTTTTGACGCACCTTTTGTCGAATATCAGGCCACCATCATTTTCCAATAACATATATCCAATTTATATACCGGCATTTTGTGTAGTCAGGTTCAGTGAACTACATACTACCACATGTGCGTTTCTTTTTTTGAAGAGTGTATGCATTACTTAAGTACAACAGTTGACATATGTAAGGATGATTTCAATGTTCGAGTAATCACGGAGCTCGAACTGTATTGTTTGTACGTTACATGTCACATCTAGTTCAATATTCGCTACATCATATCAGGACATTCTGTTGATATAATATACTTACCAAATTTGTAACCTGCTTAACGTTACGTTGAAGGATAATTGTACAGTTCATCGAGGTATGAATCAACTGTTATTGTTTGATTTCGTGACGCATATTCCTTCAAAAACGCTTGTAGATGATTCTCATAAACGTTTGCACTGTGATGTTTTTCTATGTAATTGACCATGTATATGTCTTCGCAATCCTAGTGACAGATGTTGTGTCACCGTGGACGTCATGGGAAGTTCCGAGGTGTCAAATGCAAGTTACATGTGGTGCGGCAGCCGAGTTGACACTCACCAGATCGCGGAGCTGTGACACACCAGCAAAAGGAAGTACCTGCTCTCTGTCACTCACAGAGACAAGGACGGCTTCCGCTGTGGAATTGCGCAGTGTCCCGGGAATGTTGTTTTCCCAAATATCAACATTGTGTTAGAAAACTAAACCAATAAATTGATGATAAAAGGATCACACATGCATCCGACTTGGTACTGACCCAGGTAGCATGCCATCATCGGCCCTGCATCGGCCCAACATCGGCTACATCATCGGCCCAACGTCGGCAAACTGCATCGGGCCGATGAAGTTTTGCTCATCGGATCGACATCGGCCCAAAGTCGGCAAACTTCATCGGCCCTGCATCGGCACTGCACCGGCCCAGCATCGGCCAAGCGTCGGCAAACATCGTCGGGCCGACGAAGTTTTGCTCATCGGATCGATATCGGCCCAACGTCGGCAAACGTCATCGTCCCTTCATCGGCAATGCACCGGCCCAGCATCGGCCCAGCGTCGGCAAACATCGTCGGGCCGATGAAGTTTTGCTCATCGGATCGACATCGGCCCAACGTCGTAAATAGTTATCTGGCCAGCCATCGGCCAGACATAGGCAACTGTTATCGAATCAGCATCGGATGAACATCGGCCCAACGTCGACAATAATTATCGGCGTAGCATGGGGTTGACATTGGCCTGACAGTAATTACAGGTTTAGAATCAGCCTTGTCAAACCTCAAGTCCTATCACCATCCATGCATTAGTCATTCAGACTTCATCCCCCTTTCTCTTCTTTGCTCATTTACAATGGCAGTTTGGATGTTCAGTATTTTTACCTTTCATAATATTTGATGGCAGTTCTTGATTTTCTTCAAAATAAATACATAGAGTATGAAACAAATGGCAAACAATTTGCAATAATCATTTAGAATTATCGATATCTTCAAAAATAGTTAAAAACAACCAAACTTAAATTGTTAACGCTTCGTTAGTTTTTTCATCTGCCATTGTCTTAAATAGTGTGATGCCATCTAAAGTAGTTGCCTCCAGCAGTCATTACTGACAACATCTCATCTTAATATGTCATGTAAATGATGCAACAATAGAACTTTTCCATGTGTAGTATTAGGGTACATAAAAGCTGCAGCTAGCTCTGATGGTAAAACTAAAAAATACTGAATTTTTAAAAAGATAATAATTTTTTATCATAGTTAATACTTTGAAAACCAACTGTAAGTAATATGAATACTTCTAGCTGTACAAAACAGTCGAAATGCTTGCACTAATTACAGTGCTATTTTTTATGTTCCCTAATACATGTGTAGTTAATACTTATAATTAAACACAAAAAGCAAAATAGAATAATAAACTTTATTATTAATTTATTATTATTTACGCCGCACCCAGCAATATTCCAGCTATATGACGGCGATCTGTAAATAATCGAGTCTGGACCAGGCAATCCAGTGATTAATATCATGAGCATCGATCCACGCAATTGGGATCGATGACATGCATCAACCAAGTCAGCGAGCCTGACCTCCCGATCCCATTAGTCGCCTCATACGACAAGCATAGTCGCCTTTTACGGCTAGCATGGGTTGCTGAAGACCTATTCTACCCCGGATCTTCAATATGTATCAAACTTGGAATAAATTTCCCATACTTAATACATCTAAAGAAATTTAATCCACTCACCAGTGCTCTCTCAGTTGCTCGATTTAGGAAAAGCTGCTAAGTGTTCATTCAGCTCATCCATGTTTGCCAACAGGCAATGGCTGAACGTCTGGTTTTCTTAAATAGAAATATAAGAATATTATGTAGTAAGTTTGTGTAGCAGAAGTGAGCACTTAGCTATGATGATGATGATGTCCAGAGATTGAGGGAAATATTGATCAAAACATAAAAGTAACATTTAAATAAAGCTTTGGCCATACACAGATATCAGGTCCTTTCCTTAATTCAAACTTATCTCGTATTTGCACTTGTACATACAGTCCTTATCTGGAGCCATGTAGCAGAAATAATTTCTCAGGGAAAGTAGTTTCACTTTAATAGCCATAGCCCCATCCATTGAAAAGCAGTGAGAAAATCCCATATTGACATAATATTGAACAGATCCTGTGAAGTCTGGTGAACACAAAACAGATTTCATTTATTATATGCTACCATATATATATGTAGATTATATCATGGTAAACCAAAACTGCAAATAAATAATGATAAACTGAAATAATATATCTTTAGATAGAATAAATCAAATTTGAAACAAGGCTCTGGGTGTTTTTCTACCATGGATAATGTCCTGAAAAATCTGTACTGCAGTATCTATTCTTCCACATCAAAGTTTTACCATTAATTTGAATTTTGATTAAATAAATGACATTTTAAACTGTCTTGTAATATATATTTAGCATCAATTACCTTTGAAATAGTACATTTTTAAAATATCTTATTCAGTATTTCATCACAAATGTACATCATAAATTTCTTAACCTGATTAGACTACCGTAATCCCCCCCCCCCCCCCCCCCCCCCACACACACACACACAAGTCGGGGAAAAAAACTGTACGGTATAAGCATTTCCCGTGTAAACCTTAAAATTATGAATATAATTACTAAATTTTACCTTAACTCTCTTGTAGTTAATATCTGCTAAATATAAACTAGTAATCGATTCTGAAATAGCCATATCTCAAAATGACAAAATGAAACTGCGTGATTACACCTTAATCGATCGATACAGATACCATACATCGGTATAAGATTTCTGATCGATATAGGGTAAAGGCCTAGGTCTTTGTAAAGTATCTGTAATACACAGTGATCGTTTACAAAAAGAGCTGTCCTTTCATTTCGCCCTTTATCCAGAAAATGTTCAAAATTCGCAAGTAACTATGACAAAAAACATCAATTTGAAAACAATTTTTTATTTCAACTGTTTGGTGATCGAAAACCGAACTCGGCAGTGTAGCTCCGTTCAACGATCAGTAGGAATATTAGCTAGACAGCATGACATGCACACGCAATGCTGAAAGTTTCCGAAAGCCTCGTTATGAATTTCATGTTCACTGCTTTTTATGCTGACAGCAATCACCAAATTGACTTGTAAATTCGAGTTTGTAATTAATTTCCTAACCTCATCCACCCCCACACTTAACAAATACGACTGCGACAATGACAAATGAAGCAATGTTCATTCAAAAATACTAATGTAAGTAATTGTTTGGCTTTTCATTTGCTTGCCGCTGTAATACTCTCACCCCGAGATTGCGACTCGTGGGTTGAACATCGCAGCATCTACATGGTAAATTGGTTACGAGGGGTGTTCATTAAAGATTTCCCCTAAACCGCTTAGGGTTATCATATTTGGTTGAAATTTCACATGTTTAATGATACATGTATCTATGGGTTATGTCTGAATTTGCAGCACCGAACTATTAATCTTACCACTTTTACAGGTGTTATGATCGAGTAGGGTGTGACAATGGAGCCAGTAGAATACCGAGCAGTGATTAGGTTTTTATATTTGAAAGGTCGCACACCTAAAGAAACTTTCGATGAAATGAAAGCAACTTATGGGGAAGATGCCCCATCATATGACGTTGTTAAACACTGGCATCGCCAGTTCAAGTGTGGTCGGACATCTGTGGAAACAGCTGCCATTCCTGGTCGCCCCCATTCAGCCATTGATGATGACACTATCCATCAAGTGGAGACCGCCATTTTAGCAGACGTATAACTGTTCGCCAGTTAGCACAAGATGTCAAGATCAGTGTAGGGTCTGTGGAAAAAATCATCCATGACAATTTGAACATGCATAAGGTGTCGATGGATTCCCAGGTTGCTCACACCTTTCCAAAAGCAGGAACGAGTCAATTGCTCAAAGGATCTTTTGGACATGTGCCAAAAAAACCAGGCAAACTTTTTTGACAGACTTATCACACAGGATGAAACATGGGTCCATCACTATGATCCTGAGACTAAAGTTCAGTCGATGCAATGGAACCATGTGGAGTCACCACCCCCAAAGAAGGCACGTGTCCAACCCTCTGCAGGCAAGGTCATGCTCACGGTGTTTTGGGACCTCCACGGAGTAGTGATGATGGATTTCTTGGCAAAGGGTACCACAATTACAGGAGCTTATTATGCTTCACTGCTGCGGAAATTGCAGGACGCCATCAAGCTTAAGAGGCGTGGCATGCTGACCAAGGGTGTCCGTCTCCTGCAAGACAATGCTCCAGTACACAACTCTCATGTTGCCCAGACAGAAGCGCGGTCCTGTGGCTATGAAATCCTTCCACATCCTCATTACTCTCCGGACCTTGCACCATCTGACTTCCACCTCTATCCAACCATGGAGTCATTTTTGAAGGGAAAACGTTTCCCAGATGATGAAACACTGATATTTGAAGTCAAGTCCTGGTTTGAGACGCAAAATGAGGGCTTTTACAAGCGAGGTCTCCATAGTTGCATAAAAACGATGGGAGAAGTGTGTAACTCTTGGTGGTTTCTATGTGGAGAAAGACTAATACCTTTGCCAAGTTTCATTCAACTAGGTCCATCGGAAGTGGGTCAGCGGAAATCTTTAATGAACACCCCTCGTATCTGTAATGTTTTGCATTTGCCCTTGTCCCCGCGTTTTGCTAGAAATATGTATATGGCGTTTAAAAAATATAAATAGTTTGGATGCAGTGTCACGACATAGATCCACGGATTTTTTCACTGACGTAAAATAGGCAGGATACATTGATAGGAGTGTGTTTCTCTCTCTAACTTCCAAAACACATAGGCCTAGATGTCTCTACTCACGTTGACACTTTTGAATGAACACTGTTTCTTGCTTCAATTGTAAGGTTTGAAAATGAAATGAACACCTCGTAAATACAGTAATGAAGTAAACACTAACCGCAAAATAGGTTTTCCCTCAGCCCTCCACGCATCATCCTTTCGTCGTCTGCTTGAAAAGACGCGCGTGAGTAACAGCGCCCTCTATTACAAGAGTAGCTTGCCAGCATCTTGTATTTTGTTGAATGAATTGTAAGATGTGACGAATCCCGTCTGTTTCTTCTCTGTCTGTTGTATATGTGCAGCCAAAATGGTCAGTGAATGTGTTTGATCTATTTAATTTAAAATTTATAAATAAAGTTAATATTTTGAGTTCGAATAGAATTATTGTATTATTCGTGAATATATATTTGATCTAATGTTTGTCATATTGTAATCGACAAATGTTCATAACAAAATCAAATCATACATCAGGTTCAATAGTGTCAGTGCCAATCACCAGCATTGGCCCGACAGCGGACCGCTGCAGTTTGCCGATGCCGATATTGCCGGCGGTTGCCGATGTAAAGCCAACGTCGGCATTGATAGGCATTTAAAAGTAGGTAGAACATGAATAAATGACACTTCTTTATTGACATATAAGTTTTCCCAACTTTTAAATGCCTATCAAAAGATTTCACTCGACATCAACATGGAGATGAGGCTATTAGATATACATACTCACCGCCAATAGAAATGCGAACTGTAGAAACATATAGAGAAGTATGTACGTGAAGAAGAGATGTTTCCAATGTGGACCACGTTATGTCAAAACTAAGAATGAGTCAATTCTTATCACAGAGTGTCTTTATTGTTATTATGATATGCTTTACGCGCTAATCCTGCACGAGACAAATGGTACATCTCGATCCATGGATCTATGGCGTCACTCTATGCACTCACTCAGCATGCACCTGATGAAGGAGCAAGAAGTAGCTATGAAACTACGTGACAAATAATATAGTTAAGTTGCTATCAATAAAACGGTGGCATTTACTCCTTTCCTGGTACTGTTGAATAATTTTGACGTATCAGTTTATTGAAAAAGAAGTTTGAGGGATACACTCACATCATTTGTGTCACTAATACGTTGGTGATTTTCAAAATTAGATGAAAGAAGGTTGAGTCATATACTAATAAGGATACCTCACGAACGTTTTTTGCCATTAAAAGTATGCTTTCGAAAGGTTAACCCGATAAAGAACAATTAACCGTTTAAACGATTACTGCTTTATGACACGGAAAGGTAATTCTTGCTCTCACGAAAAATATAATTTTCACCGCCTGTTTAATGGCTTTTTGCAGACAAGTATATATTATATTTTTGTTCAGCAATTAACGGCGGGATGTCGGTTTGGACATCATGGAGTGAAGGACCTTGTTCGGCCACATGCGGCTCGGCATTCCAGAATGTAAACAGAACAAGATCCTGTACAAACCCAGCACCCCAATATGGCGGTAACGACTGCAGCGGACCTCGTTTTGAATCTATGAAGAGAACCTGTACTCGGTTGCCAAGTTGTCCAAGTAAGTATGCCCCGGTTGGGATTCAGGGACGAATAAATCCCCAGTCAGTGAGTATGCTTTAACGCCGCTTTCAGCATTATTCCAGCAATATCACGGCGGGGGACACCAGAAATGGGCTTCACACATTGTACCCATGTCGGGAATCGAACCCAGGTTTTCGGCGTGACGAGTGAACGCTTTAACCACCAGGCTACCCGACCGCCCCATAAATACTCAGTACCCTATTCTTGTCGTATGAGCTGACTGACGAGGATCAAATGCTTACAGTGTAGGGATTGACTGTGGTTGACTGTGTCATTGTAAATCGATGGCAATGATCAGTGCTTATATGAACCTGCACAGCTCAGTTTCACAAAGAGATCGTAGCGCTGTAGCTAGCGTAACGCCTTTACTTTACACATAGACTAACGAGGGGCTTAGCGCTATTATCTCTTTGTGAAACTTGGCCCAGAATGCGTCAAGTCACAACCAAGAGTTGTTGCAACTGTCATAAATCAAATGTTCATGGAAGTTTGATTTGTGTGTTTGTTTAACGCCGCACTCAGCAATACTCCAGCTATATGACGGTGGTCTGTAAATATCCGAGTCTGGACCAGACAATCCAGTGATTGACATCATGAGCATCGATCCACGTAATTGGGATACGATGACATGCATCAACCAAGTCAGCGTCACTGACCACCCGATCCCGTTAGTCGCCTCTTACGACAAGCATAGTCGCCTTTTACGGCAAGCATATGGGTTGCTGAAGACCTATTCTACCCCGGATCTTCACGGGTTGTTGATTTTTATTAAATGTTTTGCACCTAATAAAGTCGATATTTTTAATTTAATGTCATAGATAGAAATATGAAAGTCTGGAGCTCGATAGTCACATGTTGTCGTTGTAAAAAAGGCATTGAATACAATCATTGTCATGTAAAATAAGGCCCCAAGGTTGCGCTGATATCAGTATCTGTGACGGCCCCGGCCAGCAATCACGGCTCTGCATCTCCTCGGTACTGACTTAATAAATGTACGAACTCTGTCATGTGGAATTATGGGGCAAAACGCTCATTTCGACGACGATAAACACGTTGTCTTCAATCTCGCCAGTGAAGAAGAAATCGTGATTCATCGCTAAACCATACTCGTCCCCAGTTTCTCAAATTCCAAGGCTGTAAGGTATGGCACCAACGCATGCGTCGCTGTCGATGGATCTGTTGCAAATCAGGGACGATAACTGATCTTCTGGGTCGGATTCCAGCCTCGCGAAGATGGTGCTTGACAGTCTGGTCCGATATCCTCTTCAAAACAGGGATGCGTCCTGCAGTCTCCGTAGCTGTGGCAGTGCGATGACGTGGGTGGATCAGTCGAATGTAGCGATCCTGTGCAGGAGTTGTAACACTTGGTCGGGCGGTTCTCGGACGGTCTGCAGTGGAATTGAACTGTGTATCGGTCCCAAAGGCGGCAAATGGTGCTGTTGTGGACATTGAAGTGGCGGATACGTCCTATGTCGATGATCCGATCGGCAGCGCTGAGTCTCGGCATTTTCGAACTTGAAAAATGTTGACAGTTGAATGACAAATTATTGGCTTATGCTTGCCTTTTTATAGCCACTACAACGAGTTACGAATGCCATAACTTGCACGTGCATTTTGCTTTACTGTTTCCGTTTAAGACATTGCAAATCGACAATGTCCGCGTTTTGACGCACCTGTTGTCGAATATCAGGCCACCAACATTTTCCCATAACATATATCCAATTTATATACCGGATTTTTGTGTAGTCAGGTTCAGTGAACTACATACTACCTGTGCGTTTCTTTTTTTGAAGAGTGTATGCATTACTTAGGTACGAAAGTTGACATATGTAAGGATGATTTCAATGTTCGAGTAATCACGGAGCTCGAAATGTATTGTTTGTACATGTCACATAGTAGTTCAATAATCGCTACATCATATCAGTACATTTTGTTGATATAATATACTTACCAAATTTATAACCTGTATAACGTTACGTTGAAGGATAATTGTACAGTTCATCGAGGTATGAATCTACTGTTATTGTTTGATTTCGTGACGCATATTCCTTCAAAAACGCTTGTAGATGATTCTCATAAACGTTTGCACTGTGATGTTTTTCTATGTAATTGACCATGTATATGTCTTCGCAATCCTAGGGACAGATGTTGTGTCACCGTGGACGTCATGGGAAGTTCCGAGGTGTCAACTCCAAGTTACATGTGGTGCGGCAGCCGAGTTGACAGTCACCAGATCGCGGAGCTGTGACACACCAGCAAAAGGAAGTACCTGCTCTCTGTCACTCACAGAGACAAGGACCTTCCGCTGTGGAACTGTGCGTTGTCCCGGTACTGTTGTTTTCCCCAATATCAACATTGTGTTAGAAAACTAAACCAATAAATTGATGATAAAAGGATCACACATGCATCCGTCTTGGTACTGAAGTCTTTGATAGGCATTTAAAAGTAGGTAGAACATGAATAAATGACACTTCTTTATTGATATATATGTTCTCCCAACTTCTAAATGCCTAAGTATCAAAAGATTTCTATCGACATCAACATGGAGATGAGGCTATCAGATATACATAGAAATGCGAACTGTAGAAACATATAGAGAAGTATGTACGTGAAGAAGAGATGCTTCCAATGTGGACCACGTTATGTCAAAACTAAGAATGAGTCAATTCTTATCACAGAGTTTCTTTATTGTTATTATGATATGCTTTACGCGCTAATCCTGCACGAGGCAAATGGTACATCTCGATCCATGGATCTGTGGCGTCACTCTATGCACTCACTCAGCATGCACCTGATGAAGGAGCAAGAAGTAGCTATGAAACTACGTGACAAAGAATATAATTAAGTTGCTATCAATAAAACGGTGGCATTTACTCCTTTCCTGGTACTGTTGAATAATTTTGACGTATCAGTTTATTGAAAAAATAAGTTTGAGGGATACACTCACATCATTTGTGTCACTAATACGTTTGTGATTTTCAAAATTAGATGAAAGAAGGTTGAGTGAGCAACAAAATGTCATATACTAATAAAGATTCCTCACGACAGTAAAAGTATGCTTTCGAAAGGTTAACCCGATAAAGAACAATTAACCTTTTAAACGATTACTGCTTTACGACACGGAAAGGTAATTCTTGCTTTCCCGAAAAATATAAATCTCACCGCCTGTTTAATGGCTTTTTGCAGACAAGTATATGTTATATTTTTATTCAGCAATTGACGGCAGGATGTCGGTTTGGACATCATGGAGTGAAGGACCTTGTTCGGCCACATGTGGCTCGGCATTCCAGAATGTAACCAGAACAAGATCCTGTACAAACCCACCACCCCAATATGGCGGTAAAGACTGCAGCGGACCTCGTTTTGAATCTATGAAGAGAACCTGTACTCGGCTGCCAAGTTGTCCAAGTAAGTATGCCCCGGTTGGGATTCAGGGACGAATAAATCCCCAGTCAGTGAGTATGCTTTTACCCCGCTTTCGGCAATATTCCAGCAATATCACGGCGGGGGACACCAGAAATGGGCTTCACACATTGTACTCATGTCGGGAATCGAACCCAGGTCTTCGGCGTGACGAGCGAACGCTTTAACCACCAGGCTACCCGACCGCCCCATAAATCCTCAGTACCCTATTCTTGTCGTATGAGCTGACTGACGAGGATCAGATGCTTACAGTGTAGGGCTTGGTTGACTGTGTCATTGTAAATCGATGGCAATGATCAGTGCTTATATATACCTGCACAGCTCAGTTTCACAAAGCGATCGTAGCGCTGTAGCTAGCGTAACGCCGATACTTTACACACAGACTTACGACGGTCTTAGCGCTATTATCTCTTTGTGAAACTGGGCCCAGGATGCGCCAGGTCACAACCAAGACTTGGTGAAACTGTCATTAATCAAACGTTCATGGAAGGTTTATTTGTGTGTTTGTCTAACGCCGCACTCAGCAATATTCCAACCATATGACGGGGGGCTGTCAGTAATCGAGTCTGGACCAGAGTATCCAGTGATTGACATCTTGACCATCGATCTACGCAATTGAGATACGATGACATGCATCAACCCAGTCAGCGAGCCTGACCACCCGATCAGGTCATTCGCCTCTTCCGACAAGCATAGTCGCCTCTTTCGGCAAGCATGGGTTGTTGAAGACCTATTCTCTATCCGGATCTTCATGGGTCTAGTGAAATGTGAAGCGAATATAGTTTGAAACGAATATTGCGGTACCAATTCAACCAACTTCAAAGTCTTTAACCATATAATAAAAGTGATACATAGATATACAGTATGTTACATATCCGTGGTAAAACTACATAAAATGTTACTTTTATACGAATCTGTGTGCTCCCAGTTATAGCGCTATAATAACAACAATATATATTAACAATGAACTCGGCTATAAATTATATTATATTTTTTTCAGCAATGTCAACACTGGTTGGGCGCATACTTGTTGGCGTGTTCATAGCCTTGGGGATTCTGCTTGTACTCATCATTATTGGTATTCTGTGGTGTGTGTGTTGCCGCAAGAAAACGTAAGTGAAATTTTTCACTGTTGAATTCATGTAAATTAGTGATTATTTACACAACTGTGCAAAACTAACGTCCCTGTAATGTACGGATAACGCGTTCGTAACACACACTGAATCCGTTCATCATCCGTCACTGTGTCCACTGTCTTATAATTGCGCGCGACGTGCATTCACTAACACATTAAATGCCTATTTCGATTTATAAAAGCACAATTAGCCCATACTTAAAAAAGTCTTTGAAGGCATTTAGAAGTGATACACATAAGGAAGAGAATTTATGGATTTATGGATAATGGATGTGTGTTCCTCCAAATAAAGCAGTTGACATCCATAAATTATCTTCCTTATCATAAAACAGCTTGAACGCATCATGACATATCTTATGGTTAAATGTCTATTCTTATGTTATCCTGTAGGTAGTAGTGAGTACGTTGGTCCATAAGTGGACAGGATCATCGTGGGTTCGAATTCTAGATTCGCCCTCAATATCATCCATGATTTATCAGCTCCAACCAGTGTTCACCAAAGTATAAAAGTCTGCGTCACTTAAAACGTTCATCTTTCATTAAGCTGACAATCGGGGATGTAATTGATGAATGGGTTTTGGTCATGTACACGAAGCTCTTACGTATGTATGTACAATAGGACGTGGCTTAAACAGGAATTGTAAATAATATTTTCTATTGTTGTGTACATGTGCAATATACGAACGCTCATATTTTCATGGGATGGGCTTCGGTTTGGGGTCTTGGGGGTTGTAAGATTACTGAGGAGGCATTGAAACAATGACGCACTTTTATTTTTTAATAATTAAATTCAAAAATGTAAATTGAATATGACCGGTGCCTAAGGTCCAAAACACAAAAACATTACTTTTTTGTTTCTTTAATTGTTACCCACCATCATACCAGGGTGTATACTTTCTTTTGTCCGACTGTTTACTTAGAGGCCTTGTTGGGTTACATTAATCATATACAAAATCTAACAGGATTGCACGAAATAATGATTAATAATGAATTGATTCAGACACATGTTTATGATAGCGTCGCAAGCGTACGATGGATTTGTCATAAGTGGTAAAAGGGTATGTCGTTTGTGTCTACTATTAATATTGTTATTTTTATTTCAGACAAGACGAAGTCAGTTACAGGGCTGCTAACATTCGCAAGAGTGAGTTCCACCAGTACCACAATGTCAAACCTGGCTTTCTGAAACAGCCGTATTTCAATCTCGAGGAATAGATACATTACAAGGCTCATGGCTGTTGACAGTGGGCCTCTGTTGTGAAAGGAACGAGCATCAAACAATATAATTAATATGAAGGTGAACCATGTCAACGTTTTCTGTGATACTTTTCTATTGGTTCCAGAGTTAGTCATCCGTATTTTCGCGAACCGTTATGTTATGCTATGTTAATGTATGCTTAATTTGAAACTTAGACAAAATTGAGTAATTCCAATTAGTAATTTGCATATATAGACACTGTAGGTCCACTCCTACTCAAACAATAGATATAGATATTGTAAGACGAACTTCCTTTTTCTTATGTACATTAATTAATAGCCTATTACCATAGTTGTGAAAACTGCCAAATAGATTTCATAAAACTTTACAGCAATTCATTTCAACTCGTTGGAGGATTAGTTTAAGTCAAATGGTTCATTCAACTTAATACCGGTACTTGAAGATCCGGGTTAGGATTGGTCTTCAGCAACCCATGCTTGCCGTGAAAGGCGACTATGCGACTGTCGTCATATAGCTGGAATATTGCTGAGATCAGAGTTAAACAACAAACAATGAAACAGTTGCCGTTGACGTTGTGATCATATGTTTCACAAAAAATGTTTCAGTTTTCTCATGTGTTTACTCAGATACATCTGGGACGGGCCTTGCCATGTTTATATCCTAATCTTATTTGATATCCATATTTTCCAAGAGTAGTTGATATAAAGACTGAGTACCAAACAATATGACTGTGGACGTGCGCCTTGTCAATATCCTCTGTGATACTTTCTTTTGGTCCTGGGGTCTGTCAACCGTATTTAAGCTTACTGTTATGTCATGTTAATTAAGTATATTTTGAAGCTGAAACAAAATAGATTCATACCAAACGGTTATTATTTTGCCATCGAAAGGATAAACCAGTGCGTAACAGATCAAGATTAAGTTGACGCTTTATGAACTTTATTTTGAACACGAAGTTTCTTGAGAGTATGCTTCTCGTGTATTTTCTGTGCGTCGTATCCTTTTCGTGTTCGGTTTTACCATAGACGACGATGAGTATGTGTATGTAGCTATGTGTTGTGTTTTGTCGTCAATAAACTCTATCCAAATGATCTCAGTTAATTAATGTATCCGAAACCTTCTCCGTGGTTCTGTGGATGAGGGGGCACTGTGGATGAGAGGGTTCTGTGGATGAGGGGACACTGGCACTGTGGATGAGGGGGTTCTGGGGATGAGGGGGCACTGTGGATGAGGGGGCACTATGGATGAGGGGGCACTGTGGATGAGGGGGCACTGTGGATGAGGGGGCACTATAGATGAGGGGGCACTGTGGATGAGGGGGCACTGTGGATGAGGGGGCACTGGCACTGTGGATGAGGGGGCACTATGGATAAAGGGGCACTGTGGATGAAGAGGCACTGTGGATGAAGGGGCACTGTGGATGAAGAGGCACTGTGGATGAAGGGGCACTGTGGATGAGGGGGCACTGTGGATGAGGGGGCACTGTGGATGAGGGGGCACTATGGATGAAGGGGCACTGTGGATGAAGAGGCACTGTGGATGAGGGGGCACTATGGATGAGGGGGCACTGTGGATGAGGGGGCACTATGGATGAAGGGGCACTGTGGATGAGGGGGCACTGTGGATCAAGGGGGCACTGTGGATGAGGGGGCACTATGGATGCACTCTTGACCCAGTCTGTCGTCGTATGCCAGTTGTCTGGATCGATGCTCATGATGTCAATCACTGGATTGTCTGGTCCAGACGAGATCATTTATAGAGCGCCGTCATGAAGCTGGAATATTGCGGCGTGCGGTGTTAAACAAGAAACAAACAAACAAAACGAACATGACCCAGTCGTCTAAGACCCCGCAATTCACTGTGCTGAGTTGCGTTCCCCGGGCACGCCAGAAACCCATGATTGTGGGTTCGAATTCCGGTTCTCACCGATTACGTTTCTAGGTTTGTCAGCAACATTCCCGTGGGTGTGGGTTTCACCAAAGTGGTAAACGACTGAATCATGCATCACCTCCAACTTTAAGCTAACACGCCGTGACATAACTCGAATACAGTTCAAGGCGACGTTAAACCCAATTGACTCAAGTGGATAAGGCATGTGCACTGAGAGCAGAATTCGGGTTGTTCGATCCCTAGCCGCTACATACCAAAAGACGTTGAAAGATGCTTCTTGCTATTACCCTGCATGATGATCCGCAGTGGCGAATTCATGCTAAAACGGCAACATAGTTAAGTAGTGGGCTAGCATTATAAAACCCGCATCAGTCCGGACTATTACAACCAGACACAAACACTCACACACGTGCATGCACACCGCTACTTTAGTGGGATGATCTTGAAGTCGACGTTTAACCCCATTTCATCTCACCTATTAGGGTATATGGAACATCGAGCAATTCCCAAATACTTCAGTATGTACAGAATAGGAAGGGTGGTAATAAAGGTTTTATCGATCAGAGGACTTTACTGAAAAATGGCTTCCGTTTTGGTGTACAATCACATATATTACAACGAGATAGTGTTGAGAATCCCTATATATAAAGCACGACGGAATACATAAACATACCTTCCCTTAACCATCCTACTCAAAACACTCAATAAAAAAGAAAAAAGAGGTTTAACGAAAGCAACCCCCCAAACAAGAAAAAAAAAATCAAACAAAGAATTCAAAAATAACTACACAACCAAGACTCTTCTGCTGTGTTTTCATTCAGTAGGTCGTCGGCTACCTATTCTAACTAGAAAGAAAAACCGTTAAGGAATTCAAATAACCATTTATCCAGTTCGATCAAAATGGCATACGACGGTCCCCGCGAATCATTGGAAAACGTGTTTAGTTATAATCAAAAACATCCGACATATCAAATGAAAATCTTATATTAGCGTCGACGTGATACTTGGTCTGCTTCTATCATAGCCTTGTGTCCCTCAAAATCTATATAAAACCTACATTCCATATTAAGTACGGTACCAAGGCTGATAAGACTGGGTTGGCTGGACTCCTGAAAATTGTATCAACAATGCATGGTACTGATGAGTAAATGAGTGAGTTAGGTTTAGACACTTCTTTCTACAGTATTTCAATTATATAAAGGTGTATGAGCTTAATGTGGGCGGAAAGGGCGAAGTGATGCAGATCTTGAACGTTTACCACTTTGGTCAATCCCAGGAGTGCGAATACTGTGCTGTCAAAACCTGGAAGTTTAATCAGAGCGAATCTCGGATTCGAACTCAAGATCATAGGTTTCCGGAATGCCTATTAGGATTGAACTCCGCCACCCATTCCCTCTCCATACCACTGATGAAGGCTGATGTAATAGATACTAATAGAACACTGTAAATAATTTTTATTGCACTTTCATATGCATCTGTACTCCTTTGAGTTTGAACATGAACGTCTACTCTAAATTTTGTATACATATATGTGCCATATACATCAAAGTATAGAAACGTATGATATGGAATGGTTTCACACGACTACTACCATCACAAACGACTGCTACTACTGTGGATCTATGCTCATGATGTCAATCACTGGATTGTCTGGTACAGACTCTATTATTTACAGACCGCCGTCATATACCTGGAATGTTTCTGAGTGTGGCGTTAAACAAAAAAACCAAACACAAACAAAAACAAAAACTACTACAAACTGTGGTGGCTACCTGATATTAGGGATCGGGTGGAATTTGTGCCTGTTATCCCAAGAGTCCTGAACTGGATCATAAACATCAGTGGCAACCAGTGAAGCTCATTCAGTATAATCGTATTTCCTGGCAGCTATGTGTTGGACACATTACAGTTGATTAGATGTTCATGAAGTTCTCGTAGAGGCTACTGCAGTAGTCAAGCTGAGATAACCTTTGATTGGACAAGTGTGACTGTTGTTACGTTATTGCTGAAATGTCCTATGATGCTCATGTTATTTTCTCTTTCAACTTAATTTTAAACCTCTCATTAGAACCTCAACACTATTTTCACCGGATTGATGTTGACACGGATAAAGGGTATTTCCACATACCCATTTAGCTTTGTCAAAACCTGTCTGCTTGCAAGATCTTGTTGGGATATGCTAAGATGACAGATTTGGGTTGCGTTTACCGCCTTTATCTTCCAAGTATTTTGCAATAGTTTCATTTTCCAGTCCTATTGCTTTGTCAAGAGGAGTTCTTCCTTTGAAGCCAGGTGTGTTGATATCTAAGCCTTTTTGTAGTAGCAGATCGATCAACTCTTTGCCCCCCTCACATGCTGAGTGCAGAAGGGTGTCACCATCCTTTGAAACAGCGTCAACAGGTGCTCCTTCTGCCAGCAACAATCTGAGAATGTTTGCCTTCTTTGACTTACAAGCCTCATGCAAGGATGGCAAGTCTATGCTTGCATTCATGTTGATAAGTTCCGTCACTATGTCAATGTTTCCATACTCACATGCGCTAAAAAGAGCTGTACGGCCAGATTCGTCCTTCCTGTCAACATCTTCTTTTGCACAAACTATCTTCTTTATTGCCCTGGCTAGTCCATTTTCGCAGATGTAGTGCAGTACTGTCCTGCCAATTAAATCGGATGCAGTAACGCTAGGATTGATTGCTAGTAGTTCCATAACAAAAGTCTCCTCCTTCGTATTGGCAGCTACCATGATAGGGGTTTGATCAGCAACATTTCTGACATTGATATCAAATTCGATGTCTTTGTCTATCAGATATTTTAACCCATCAACTGATGCAGCATCACAAATGCCAAACAGGATCTCCTTTATAAGCTCCGATGTAATGGGTTCCAGTTGCTCCACCATGCGTTTCAAAATATGAAAACCACCATTGCTTGTGGATAGGTAGGCAAATGTCAGTTTGTGAGTGTCATCCATAAGTGAGACAACAGTTTCCATGGACGAATTGTTGTCTCGAAGTACAGTAGTCATGAGCTGCTTCGCAAAAGGTTCCCAACTGCATGCTCTGTGTGAGAGCGCCAAATATATATTGCCTTTGCAAATTTCTGTTGCAAATCTAAACAGGAGATATTTGTGAAGATAGTCTGGGATGAAAAGGAACTTTGTTGTGGCTCCACAAGGTTGTTGACACTGCAGTTGCAATGTCCTGTTGATGAATGCCATCGTGCAGTTTTCAATAACGAATCTCGGATCGTCCTCCCAAAGAGTTGACGCCACAAGGTCATACATATAGGGCCTGTGAAATACATACACATTGTCTCTCTTGGTCAAGTATGTTCCATCAAGATTCCTAGCTGTCACTGTGAGTTCATATCTAAGTTCAGAACACGTCTCTTGGAATATGTCTAACTCTCCTCGGTTCTCAAGTAGCTTCTTCAAGAGGATTCTCTTGCCCCTGTACTTAACGAAATTCATGACATCATGCTCTTCTAATGGTGTTGGAAGTCGGAACACTGATGCTACATGTGAATGGATGTTTCTCTTGCACCTTTCCAGAAGCAACTCGCACAATTTTGGGAAGCCATGGTTACCCCATTCACATACTTGTCTGCGTTTCTGTGGACCAATCTTCACATCTATTTTCTTTTCAAGTGCTGACAAAATATGTTCCTTTTCTTGAAATGTTCTTGATGTCAGTGATACATCCACTGTGTCTACCTTTGTAACGGGTAAATAATCAATGTATCTCGACCACTCTTGAAGAACAAAGTTGTTGCCAACAAACAGAACTAAAGGCTTTCTGTCAGTGCCTGTTAGTATACCCTTCAGAACAGGTTCCCAGTTCTTCCATTTTCCTTCATCAAAGTTTATCTCTCCACATATGCCATCCAACATAATGACTGGTTCTTTGATGTTCAGATCAACTTCAGAGAGATCTGCCGGTGTGAATACATGAAATACTTGTTTCCCTTTTGCTCTTAGTTTTGACATGGCTCTTTGAGCGATTGTTGTTTTTCCATCTCCGTGTGATCCAGTGATAATCACGAAAGATGACCCTTTCGCAATAGAGTCCATCACTCGTGACACGCCGTTGGTATCCACAGTTGTTGTTGAGCAAAGTTCAATACTTGTTTCTGTTTTACCTGAAGCGACACAAATCACCAGCCATCCTGACACCAATGCAATGCATTTAAATCTGAGAAATAAACTTAGCAATTTTATTCTGAAATGTTTAAGTCAAAAGTATGGCCTTTTTCGTGTGACCCAAATTGATTAGTATTAAAGTGTTATCTGTCATTAACGGCGAGACCTCGATTACATCACACTTTCAGGTTTGGGTTTATCCAATTATTAACCTTATGTCTTGATGTCTTAAAAAACCTGTAGAGAATTACCTCATGTTTAAACAACTATGACTGATACTTGTTCATAAATGCAGTCCTTGTAAAGACAGTGCAGAATTACCTCTCACGTCCTCTATGCTCGACAGAATAGGTAATGTATAGGATCACCGATGGCTTGAGTTGCATTTACGTTAGACATACCTAACACTTACCTCGGATCATTTGTACCCGGCTCCTTTTATCACCCGGTTTATATTGCTGAATTGTGTTTCCTTGTCCAACGGTTAAATATTTGGGAGCGCTTGGAAACTCCGCTTGGTATATGTTCTTCTGAAAAACTGTAGAAAGATGGTAAAGAAATAGAGATGAAATTCCTCAAACACATGCTTAACATTTTACATTGTAGAAGAAGATCTTGCATTTTAAAAATTTAATCCATGTAATATCTGACTGTCTTTTTATAATTAGGGATATGGTATATCGCTCGGTACGTTGTGTAAATAATGTATCAATAGTGTGTTATTCTGAAAATTGTGTGGATCATATGTGTAGTGGAGAGGTCTTGAAATAGGCATTATGCCTGTTGACCAATCCAGGGTTTTATTCATGGAAATAATAATATTGTTCAACTAATTTAGTAGTAGCAATTGTACAATGAATATGTTAAGAAACATGTGTCATACCAACAGGTTGTGAATGATTTCGAGGTAACATATCACCATCGGTAACTATTTCCCCCGGTTGTAGAACTGATCCCTGTATTTCTGAAAACGAAATGAAAAAGACGATGTTATTCTGGAAATGAAATCAACAATAAACTATACATTTGGAAATGACATCCATATATCTTCCTAAAAACGTTTTGAAACTTTACCGAGGCCTTGAAAGTCGTAACCTTAATCACATTGTTATCACATGGACAGCATTATTACGCCATGTTCTAATCTTGCTACCTGTCTTTTCATTGCACTGTATACGCCAGATTGACTGGTGAGATACAGAACAAAAAGACTCCTTATTGTCTTCAGGTGTAGAGGTACCGTCTGCTTCATCGCTACTATATGTACTCCAGCTAGACCTGGGTGTGTTGTATTCGTCAGAGTCATCTTCGGTGTCCATTTTAACGGCTAAGTGAAAACTGAAAAAAATAGCAATGATACAGTAATGCCAACATGGCTTCAATCGCTGAAGACAATTTCTGGTGCAACCCCCCCCCCTCCTCTTCCCACCCAACACACACCCGTTATATTGCCGGAATATTGCTCACTCCTAATTGCTCACCACCAACATTGAAAGTACTGCGACTGTGAACGTAATCATGCAACATTATTTCTGGATTATTGTTGATGCTTTCAACCATTTCGCATAGAAGCTGGCATAATACAAATGCAGGGTTGAAAAACTGTCTCATTGGTTTGTTATAACTGAGCTAGAGCTGAAAATTATCGAGCGGATTTACTTTACATCCTTTTGTAATAAAACAGGTAGTAATTGTTCTAATATACAACTGTCAATGTATCAGTATCTATTTTTTACAATGTGAACACTTCTCAGTGATCTGAATTAACAGTAGGCTGATCGCTGGATTAGCGTCGCGTAACAACACTTCGTATGTCAAAGATAGACCCCATGATGGCCTGGGCCCACTTGTACAAATCATTCCTAGTTACAATCGATCTCAGACGCCTACGATCCACTTTACAATCACAACACAATTGTCCCATTCCTCTTGCACAAACCCATTGTCCGATTGTAAGGCGACTTGGATTTAAGGTGGACTAACTCAAAATCTTTAACGCTGGAGGTTATTATAATAAGTAAACATAGTCACGCATCACTGGTTACGACGTACAGTTACCTCCCTTGTAGCAGGTATATTACAGCCCAATTACTCAAATGTCCCTTACAAACATCACGATATGGCTGGAATATGACCGATGTGAAATTTGTACTCACCCACTTAACATCTAATACCTTTAAGCAGTACATTTAAGAAAACAACTAAAATAATTTTGGTTCATTCATGAATCTTTTGGTTCAATCTAGACCGTGCTGCTCCAAGCGAAATTTTCCGGATTATTGAGTGAGTGAGTCAGTATGGTTTTACGCCGCTTTTAGCAATATTCCAGCAATATCACGGCGGGGGACACCAGAAATGGGCTTAACACATTGTACCCATGTTGGGAATCGAACCCGGGTCTTCGGCGTGACGTGCGAACGCTTTAACTACTAGGCTACCCGACCGCCCCTGTTCCGAATTAAGAAGTTTCCGGATTATAGAATTAGAAATACGTGGTGACGTCCCTTGATATAGAGGGTAGTTCTCAAGGGTAATCGCCCGGAGGGCAGGTTTCCGCGTGACTAGTATTTCACTGTATTTAGTTTGCCAGTGTTTGTCTTGATGACATCTGACCACGCTACATAAACCAAGCACCTTGAAAATAAACAGCTGTCCACATCGTCATATTTTCGTATTATCGAATCTGTTGCCGTAATAACGAATCTTTTTTTCCGCTATAACAAAGTAATTGTTTATAGAAACGAATTTAAATATTTTATTGAACAAATCTGTTTTCATTATAACGCATATTTTGCATCTTTTCCCGTCGTTACCAAGTTATTTACGTTATAACGAATTTACTTTCCGTAATAACTCCCCCCCCCCCCCCCCCATTATAACGAACTATTTTCGCAAAAACAAATCTTTTCCCTTAATTCCGAAGCATTGTTCGTGTCTTTTCAATTTTGACCCTGGAAGGCATTTGTAGTGGACGACTTTCCGTCAGTGACCAAAATACTGTCACCTTTGTGTCTCTCACCTTGAAGTTGCAATCTACCCGAAATCGATACGCGCACCTGTGAATCATGAGTGAATTGCTTGCTTGCATGAGTGACACCTCTCCTTGTGCTCCTATTGAAGTAGCGTGAGGTATTCAGATGTTGTGAGATTATTACTTTGAAATTGTGTTATTAACTGTAGTTATTGAATTCCATACAGGATATCCATGAAAACATTTCAACACATGACAACCCCTCTCCCCCCCCCCCCCCCCCTTCTCTCTCTCTCTCTCCCACACACACAGACACACACAGACACACACACACACACACACACACACACTCACACAGGTGCATATACGTCAGTACAAGTGCAATATTCTTGATCGCGAAGTTGCACTCCACCTCACCTATAGGATCGGGAGAAGTGACACCGGAGTTACGGGGTGTCACTGTACTTATTATACAGTGTTTTATTTAAGCTCTGAATACTTACCGGCGTTGAATATATCCTATCCCGTTGGTGAAAGGCCTCCGCGGTTAAGTGTACGTTGTCCACATCAAACAGATATGATGTGACGTTGCGCTATTAATAACACATGAAGGAAAATACGTGGGAAACCCCCTTAGGACCTCTTTTTTCCGACTCGCATTTTGCATGACATGGCGTCGATGAAATAGGCTGCACTAGTGACAATTAACGTTAAAATATGATTTACTTGACTAATTAGGCATTGTAATAGTAGTAAATTAATATATGAATAAAACAAGCTTAATAGTCACTTGGCGTTGTTTTTTTTTAAAATAACGAGTGTCCTACATTCATCTCGATTCGTCACGTTACATTGACTACTGGATTCTTGGTATTTGAAATTCCGAGATTTAAAACCCCTGACAATTTATTTATTCATTGAGAGAGGGTCTGCACCTGACAAACCAGTGACTGACACCATGAGCATTTCTCTCACATCAGTGTTTATTTGGATACATAAATATATTTTGCCTCATGCATATATAGAGATTTGTAAGCAGTGTATTACATATTTATTTGTGCTACTGTTGTCATATAGTATATATCCTTATTGCTACGGGAGATACTGTAGTGATTGCCAAGTGATTTACATTAAAGTAATATACGTAATCTTAAACAATGTTTTCCTATTACTAGTGTGACACACATGCTGGTAATGACGCTTAATAAACATCTCGCAATAACGACGTTTTAAAGAACACATATTTACAACTGTATTCTCGTACTTACGAGTTAAAAAATGCATTGCTACTCAGTTAATAACAATATGTCTATGTGATAAATTCCCCACAAGAAATAGAACTTATTGTTCAATTTTGAATTGTTTAGGTAGTTATTTTTAATAATATTGGCAGTGTTTAACTTGTAATTAGATTGTTAGTGGCGGTGTCCTTAAATAGGGTTGATGTAGTGTAAAATAATTGTCCCCCTGAGAGGATATGTAAGACTACATCTTTCAAAGTACGTTTATTCATACCATGGGTTTAAACGTAGTATTTTAGTCTTTTTTAACTGATAGCTAAATTGCGTACCATCACCAGAAGCTAAAGGGTTGGTGTATCATTTCTTAACAACGTGTAATCTTTATGCAGATCAACGAGAATATGTTTGGGGTTATGCCTCGTCTCTTTGCCCAAATTTGTCTCATGACCCCTATAGATCAAACCACATTCCTTATGAAGTGCGATAATTTATCCTATTCTGCAGCTGCACTAAAAAATCCATGTACAAACGTAGGTTATATAACAACGTGTCATAAACCCATTCTAGTATTGTATGCCTCTGTATATTTTATAAAACATGTCATTGTATGGCAATGCTTGTTATAAATTTACGAGTATTTTACTTTTATCACATATTTTGTGCACCATTAATAAATAAATTCATCACTGTCCACTATAAATATTTTAGCACTTGCAGTGCTTTTAAGAACATTAGTGTCTAATAGGCCCACGCTGGCCGGGCGATGTATATCTTTTAATATATTTTACCTCCTGTATAAATTGATGTAATTTTATGTATACACCGCTGGACACTTAAATAAACTATTTTTCTTCTCTTCTTCTTCTTCTGTATCCGTGCAGGTACAAGAATTCGAAGTATCTAAGTCCCCACGATCCCTGGTACGATATCCTTACTTTGGTTGCTGGTGATCATAAGCCCATTTTTCATATAATGATCATTAAGTCTTTTAAATGTTCTCAACTAGTGTTAAAATCGAAACTGTGATACTCTAGTTATTATACAGTCCATCAAGGACAGGTTGTTTTTCAATCTTAATATATTTATTATAATTGTCTAAGTTCTCGTCACGATATGGCTGAAAGACACCCGAAGTGACGTACAATTTCAACCCACTCACCCACTTTGAAGGATATGACACCGGGAACACTGATATCATACAACGGCAAGTCGGTGGTATTTGACGCTCAAACATCCGATATACTACTACCTGTAGTGATCACACCTTTATCCAAACTAAGATGTATATGTTTTAGTCCAGGTTTTGTTTTTGAGACGGACCCTTCCTTTTTTATATATTTACAATGGAATGAATGACTGGTAAAATGTCAGCCCCAGTGTTTTACAGCTACGGTACGGTGAATAGAGCTGGTGGTTAGACTGGAAAGGTGTTTAATTTACATGCCAAAATAGAAACGGCTATTTATGATATTCATAATACATCGAATGTTTGTTTTTGCTTCTGAGACCGACCTGACTTGTTTTGGTTAATTTATACAATGGTATATACCGTATGTCCTGTAATAGACGTCCGGACATCTATTAATTTTGCTTAAGCCGTTGAACCCGGATTCCATGGGCGGGTAGTTTGTAGACCGTGGTGCGTATCGAATATACTTTGTATTTAATTTAATGACATGTTTTCTTGTGCCCGTAATGCGAAGTGCGTGATCTGTAGTGTGCAATGCGTAATGTCCAGAGCGTTCATGTGAGCGTTCGGAACCGCATTGGACCAGGCTTCAAACAGAGGCCGGCGTGTAAAGGAGATATCGGGTCTAATAGAGGCAATACAGTAATTGATAAAATGTGAGCTTCGGTGTTTTAATGGTACTGTTAAATACCCTGACATAACTAGTGGGAGGCCCAGCTCATCTGTGTGAAGATCCGGGTTAGAATAGGTCTTCAGCAACCAATGCTTGTCGTAAGAGGCGATTAACGAGATCGGGTGGTCAGGCTCGCTGACTTGGTTGAACCATGTCATCGATCCCAATTAGGTGGATCGATGCTCATGATATCAGTCACTGGATTGTCTTGTCCAGACTAGATTATTTACAGACCGCCGTCATATAGCTGGAATATTGCTGAGAGGGGCGTAAACCAACAAACCAATCCACCAACCTAGCTCAACTTACCACTGAATATTCGCAAATAAACTACCAGGCAAAAGAAAGTTTTCACTTTAAAAATAGTTGTATAAAAAACAAGCTGGTACAGGTTTGAACCCCCGCAGAAAACATTCGCCCAAATGCAACATGACCACAACCACAACGCAGATTTTCGAACGCAGCTTTCCAAATCATGCATTGTTGAAAACGTGCAAAACGTGATTTTGAGACATTGGTCCAAATGCACGTGCGTGATTGTGGCATACATACCGACGTTGGACAGAGCAGGCATTCAGTAAGCAAAAAAACACCAAGAATATGCCCAGACTTACACAAGCGCAACGAGACAGAGCGATCGGTATGGCCAATATGGGGGCTACTCAACGTCAGATAGCCAGAACCTTCAACTGCTCCCAGACCACCATCAGCAAGTTGATAATCCGCTACCAACAGACAGGACAGACTCAAGACCGGGCAAGATCGGGAAGACCGAAAGTGAAAACATCGGCCGAGGACCTACCGAACCTTCCGTGGAATGGCCTTGAACCGTCTACACCGTCAACGCAGTCTGCAATGGGCACGAACTGTACGTCGGTGGCAGCGACGCGACTGGGCGAGAGTGCTCTTTACAGATGAAAGTCGGTTCTGTCTGTTCAGGAACGAGAGCAGAGTTCGAGTTTTTCGACGAAGGGGAGAGCGACTGGCGCCAAACTGCATTAGAGAAGTTCACCCGTTTGGAGGTGGAGGCGTTATGGTATGGGGTGGCATTTGTTGCCAGATTATAACACGGCTGGTTATCATACGAGGAAACCTGAATGCTCAGCGATACAGGGATGAAGTGTTGAGACCTGTTGTGCTGCCCTTTATTCAACTTTAGCCAAGAGGATTAATTTTGCAACAAGACAACGCAAGGCCTCATACCGCTGGAATTGTTCAAGACTACATGAACAACGTTAACGTCAACGTATTGCCCTGGTTACCTTGTTTTCCAGACATGAACCCCATTGAACATCTCTGGGATCATCTTGATCGTCAGCTGAGACAACATGTACCGCCTCCAGCAAACCGACAGGAACTTGAACAGACTCTATTGAACTTATGGAATAGGATTCCTGTTGACGTTATCCGCCGACTGACGACGTCAATGAGGAGACGTGTGTTGGCGTGCATGGATACCCAGGGTGGTCACATTCGCTATTGAAGACGTGTTACCTGACTACTGTGTCATTAATGGACTCTTCATGTACTCTTTCAATGAACTCTGATTTGTGTAATTTTTAATTTTGACCCCTTGACTCTTTCTTTGTGTATTGCGGAGAATACAATATCGGTAATACAATGCATTTTCATTCTAATTGATGGAAAATGATTTCTGTTTATAAATTAATCATCATAAATCTCACATATGCCTTTGTTTTTGGTGTTTGGTCAAGTGAAGTGAGTTTGTAAATGATCGAGTCCTGACCAGGCAATCCAGTGATTAATATCATGAGCATCGATCCAAGCAATTTTGTTAGATGACATGCATCAACCTGATCCCGTTAGTCGCCTCTTACGACAAGCATAGTCGCCTTTTACGGCAAGCATGGGGTGCTGAAGACCTATTCTACCCCGGATCTTCACGGGTCTCTTCTTTTAAGTGTTCTCAACCAGTTTTTTTAATCGAAACGGTGATAATCTAGTTATTGTACTGTCCATCGATGACATCTTAATACATGTCTCATAAATGTATAATTTTGACTCTTGATATGGCAGATGTGATGTTAGATTTAAACTCACTCACTCACTGAATAGTTAACGTTCAGAGTTGAAGTAAGTGAGTCAGTTGGATTTAACGCCGCTTTTAACAGTATTCCAGTTATATTACGGGGTATCAGCTTAATGTGGGAAGAAAGCCCCAAGTGGTGCAGGTCTCAGACGTTTACCACTTCGGTGAAACCCTCGAGCACGGGTATGGTGCTGACAAACCTAGAAATATAATCGGGGCGAACCGGGATTCGAACTCAGAGTGAAAGTGTATAGTCATCGAGGGGACAGGTCTAAGACGCCGCAATTACCTGTGCAGAGTTGTGTCCTTTGGGCACACCAGAAACGTATTACCGTAGGTTCGAATCCCGGTTCGCCCCGAACATAATTGGGGCGAACCGGGATTCGAACCCTACAATCACAGGTTTCTGGCGTGCCTGAGGGACGCATCTCCGGACAGCTAATCGCGGCGCCTTAGACGACTGGGCCACCCGTGCCCCCTACCTACTTCTAAATTCCGAAATATGTTTCCAAGATGTACGCTTGAAAGCTTATGCAACAGCGGACACAATTTATGTTATGTCCATAAATTGTGTCTACTTTGTCACCCGCCAACTTCAAAGTAATGCCTATCAAACAATTTATGTAACAGAGCTTCCAACTACTTACTTTAAGAACCAGGTTTTAGGAGATAGAGACCTTGTCAACTTTACCCTCGTCTTTTTTATATGAGAAAGCATGGGTTTACGACATACATTCTTTTAACGACAAGGAAATTGCTCTCAACTGGTTCTGCTGTTGGAACGCGCAGGGAGCTTGGCGTTTAGTCAACATCCCCGAGTCCCCGGAAATAATCACTATTTGTAGGGAAGATGTAACTTGAAACTTCATAACTGCCCTATTTACGAAAAATAGCAACATTAAGTTGTTCCTTATTAAATCCTTTTCAGGGATGGATCCGGGTACTCATCTTCTATTTGATCCTGGTTACAAACCAAACACAACGGTTGGTGTTTCATCTGTTTTCTGTATCTCCCAGTTTCAATTCGAAACTGGTGGAACAACATCTCAACTGTGCAAGTGAAGTCCTATACTTAAATATATTATTACGATTACGATGTTGAGGGTTATCTTTGAACTTGATGATAGGCTGCATGCTTATCTTGCTCATAAGAAGCTTTTAAACGAAGCATTAGTGCAGTCACGAAGCAGGCAATGTTATCTATAAATTGCTGTTTCCATGTGTACCCACCGCTATAATTCCGATGCGACGTTAAATTATAGATTTTAACTTACTGCCATAAGTATCTAAAACCAGTAGAGAAAAGAAAGTGATTAACATCAGATGTCCAGTACTATTGGTCTTGCCCAAATAAGAGCTCCTCCTTGGTCTATTGGATAGAGCGTCAGCCCGGAGATAGGAAGTTCGTAGGTTCGATCCCCGGCCGCGTCATACCAAAAGACGTTAAAAGATGATAATTGCTCGGAGTCAGTATATTGTGTCTGAGTTTGGTTATTATGTTAAACAGCGGCATAGTATTTCAGTGGGCTAGCACTATCAAATAGGCATTAGTCCGGACAAGTACAAGCTGTCTCTCTCTCTCTCTCTCTCTCACACACACACACACACACACACACACACACACACACCACACGCACACGCACGCACGCACACACTGTTTTTGGCAACAATGTTTTTGCTTATGAATTATAGCATTGTCTATTTTTTCCCTATGTGTCCTGTGTGAGAAAGCAAGTGATTAATACCCCATCGGAAATGCCATACATACAAGTGATGTACTTGAATACATATTCAATGCATTTTTGCGGAAACCGCTCTTGCTTTGTAACCAAATACCCTTCTGTGTCAAAGAAAGTTTTACTACTTGAAACTAATTGCCTACAATCTCCATATCCGGTATAAAACCTAGAAATAGATTGAAAGTCAAGAATGTGATAATTAATTATTCAACAGTGGATAATGTCAAACACCACCTGGGAAGTACAAGAACTGCTATACATTTTGAAAAATAGTTGCTGATTAGCTGTTTCCTTATTTTCCCTGGATATGTGGTGTCAAATCAGACGCGAATGACTGAGTGGGCAAAAGCGCGTGTGTTTGAGATTAACATGAATCTGAATAAATTTACGTTGGCAGTCCGTCCTTATTGTAACCAGAAGATTTGATATTTTCTATAATAATGCAATCCCGAAAAGAACCGACAGCAAGCACAAACAAACAAAAGTCAAATGAATTTTACTTAAAACCAGTTGGTTAATTCTTAAAACTTACGCGTGAAGATCCGGGTTAGGCTAAGTCTTCAGCAAATCAGGCTTGTCGTAAAAGGCGATTGTGCTTGTAGTAAGAGGCGACTAACGGGATCGGGTGGTCAGGCTCGCTGACTATGTTGAATCATGTCATCGTATCCCAATTGCTTAGATCTATGCTCATGATGACAATCGCTGACTGTCTGGTCCAGACACGATTATTTACAGACAACAAACAACTTAAACAAACAAACTAAAAACTGTGTACTCTTAAACACAAACTCATATTTTGTATAGCTTTCCTATGGACAATAGGATATATAGTGTCTGTTAAGGATAAGGAAGTTGTTGGTGGTTCCAGTAATTTGAAATATTTTGGCTAATTTTTTTGTCTAAGAATGTTACTTTAATTTGAGGCATCAATTCCCCTGTTTACAAATTTCAAATTCAGGAAGGTACAGGCTTTGATACAGACCATAATATATAGTACAACCAACTCGCAATTCTGGATGACCTGTCCGTCGTGAATTAATGTTGAAAGACAAAGCGCACGACTTCCATATATTTACCACTGGGGACAGATAATTCGTAATTTCACGTAGGTCGTTATTCTTCTAGTATACATGTTCATGCATTAACTAGATATCAATAATCATTCTGAAATAACCTAGCTCTAAATGTTTCTCAAAAAGTTCGTACAACGGGAAATATATTGCTGCATCCCGCATATCTCTGTCACCAAGATTAACCATAATCATTAATACTGTTTAAGGAGGGCTTCTGTTTATATTTACAGAAAGTATTTGAGTCAAGTGAAACTTACATTATGTGAATTATTAACAACGCAAGGTATTGGTTTCATTTTTTGCAAAGAACCAAGTTCAATTGTGTCAAAACATTTGATTATAGAAATAAGTACCGACATGACAAACTTAAGGATGCCCATCCCCTTGATCCATACGTCATTTGTCATTAAGCGTAATGAACATATGATTTAAACAGTATTTTATTTCCATTAATGTTCAGATTTTACATTACATAGTATTGCAAAATGGAAAAAGGATTAGCAAACAGGCAAAAAAGGCCTATATTAATGCTTCCCCTATTATTGTACATCATACATGTAGATTGTAATGAAGTCTATAGAGCAGACATTAATGAGTAACACAAAATGAAATAAAATGGAAAGCAAGATACCAAATGCATTTTATATTCTTAAGTTGACACATAACTTACGTAAAGCGGTTTGTTTCAATGATGTAATTGTGAACTGATTTTATAATGTGTTCATTGTCTGAGGAAGATGAATCTTCATTGCCGTGGAGTATAGTATGTGGAGTATATATATATACATATATTTAATATATGTATATATATATATGTTAACCAAAAAATATGTACGTAAAAGAATTCAGTGTGAAACCAACAAATGGTATACAATCAACAATAGTATTACACAGTTCCACTAGGCTTTACAGATCAATACAAAGTACTGCACAACAATTACAATGGCAGTATGCAATAGACTGGCGGTACAGTGTTAAAAAACAATGTCAAATACAAAATATGATAGCAGTGGTGATATAAAAAAGCTCAGTGATAATAATATTCCCTTATCCGCAACAGTTGTCAAGCTTCTGAGATAGGCCCAGGCTGGGAATCCGGCGTGATAAGTGATCTTCACACGAAAGCTGGTCAGATGAAATGTGATCTTTAATGAAAGATCAAGCAGGGATGTGCCAGATCATATAATCTAACAAGCTTCTAGCACTTTCAACACAGTGCTTAACCAATCCAGTGTCACCTAAAATCACCTAATATTCCACATGGTTCTTTAACGCTTGACATATATTCATGTTATCCATGTCTTCAAGTATGAGAACTATCTACAAAAGGGAATATAATAACCAGTACCTTGTATCAGATTAATATTCAAACAAACTTGAAAAAAACCCCTATAAAACTGCTACATATACAGGCAATATTTAATCGGTCTATAGATCTCCAGCAACCAAAGGTAGGCTCCCATACGAGGGACCACAGGGAATTCCCGTTCTTCTGCTACCTACACGGCCCCGTGAAGATCCGGGGTAGAATAGGTCTTCAGCAAGACATGCTTGCCGTAACAGGCGACTGTGCTTGTCGTAAGAGGCGACTAACGGGATCGGGTGGTCAGGCTCGCTGACTTGGTTGATGCATGTCATCGATCCCAATTGCGTGGATCGATGCTCATGATATCAATCACTGGATTGTCTGTTCCAGACTCGATTACTTACAGACCGCCGACCATATAGCTGGAATAGTGCTGAGTGCGGCGTTAAACACAAAAAAGCTACCTGCACAAGTCCCAGCCAGGGTTTGCACCACCTTTTTGGTCGCTGGAAATAGTGTGCTTATGCACCTTGTGAAATGTTTCATTGATCAAACCTTACATTGTCATTCCCATTATATTTATATTTATTACTACAATGGTAACGTGAAAAGTTCATTGTCAACACCTTTCTGTCGCCAAGATGCTTGAACATGTATAGCTTCTTTTAACAATGCCAGTTTGAGGTTTAAAATGTACACTCCCACTGATGTATTGATCTTTTCTTAGTGAAGACGTCATTGTCACGTGATAGCTTTGTGAACACTGCTGAAAGGCAGGATCGAATTGCTGGTGTTACTCTCTTTGTGTTGATGACACTAGTTGTGCATGAGTTGTGTACCTCGCGATAATCCTCATTGTGAGTGGTCTTGTGTTTACCGACCGGAGAGATATTTAATAGGATCCCCAAATCTTACATTCACTGACAACCTGGTGATAACTCTCTGAGAATTGTTGCCTGTAATCGTGTACTTACTCTCTTCCTTGATACTTTCCAAACATTGTTGTCTCATTTAGAGGACGTTAAATATGATGCCAATGTATTTGAGGGAGTGGAGTAACCTCCTCCTTAAATTATCAGTTTTTCTGATGTTTCAGTATTCCATAAGTAGCTCGAAACAGTGTGGACTTAAAACGACAGAGACATCGAAGCACACTTATGTCAGAAATAGTGGCATCGCGCTGTGTCAGCATAAATGTCTCGAAAACATCATCTGTTTGAAATATGAATACCATATTGAAACTTTGACTTGCCATCTGTCACGTGATGAAATAAAGATGAAAGAAGGATACATTGTACTTCCAGGGAATCCTTCATATGTAAGTAATGTCTTTGTCAAGGGAGTTGACTGTTGATCTTATTGAGAATCTTAGTTTGTTCCATTACAGTCAATTCTACGTCTGCACATTTGGTATATTCTCAGTGAAACCACCACCTATCTTCATATAATCACAGGTTATGATATAGGATTGTCACTGAATGTGGTATATGATGAACATGATGAGTGTTGGTATGTGGTTTGTCTAAAATGTACTGATACAACATATATGATAGCATATATATTACAGTCAATGTGTAAAACGACTGAAATGTTCACTTTAGAGAACGATAAAATATTTGAGTCACTTTACAATTATTTTTTCATTTTTAATATTATGATGACAAATTCCAAACATTTGAAAGCTCTTTTTCATCACCCATTGATTGAAAATGAAAGGGTTCATAGACAACTGAAGTCCATGCATGTATGTTTTTTTAAATGGTTTGGCTTCTAATCCTTGCATAATTAGTCTAGTGTGATGTTTGTAAGCCCCATTGAACTTCTTTATGAATGTTAGTCTTTCTGTCAGAAAAGTAATTGAAAAATGACGGAAATAGTTTGGCATTTTGTAAATTGCCTAAGTGAAAAGTCATTTTACACATTGACTGATTTCACACATTGACTGATAGATAAACATGTGCAACATTATATTTATCTAAATGGCATAACGCCAATTCAACAACATGTTAAATTGAACAGCTATATCTTTTCTTATGGCCATTACCACCCCTGACTGTAGGACCGGATTGGGACCAACACGTGTGGTTTGAGGTCACGATGCTTGTACACTCGATCTGGCAAAGCTGTCCGTGTAAAAGGTAATTTGTAACATCGAGGTTTATTAGCTGTGATCTTTGTCACGTATGTTTACACTGCATGGCCTCGGGGCTGGGTAAAAAGTACGACTTCGTCATGAATAGTAACGTCAATCTACATCTCATCTGATTACTAATGCCAGGTAAGGGAATGGTCACAAGTTTAATGTTATTGAGAAGCCTGAAGAACTGGACAAAGAAAAGAGTGCTAATGCAAGATGTATGATAAATCAGAGCAGCAATATTGTCCTTAAACTTTTGCCACTGTGGACGTTGATGTAAACGATGTTTAATTGACCTATTCACGGGTTGTTATATTAAAATAATTATTGTATTAATTTCTTGTTCAACACTTGTTAACAGAAAACAGAATGGAATATTTGCTCAGAAATATATACAACAAGAGATGCAAAAGAATAGCCAGTCTTGATTTTTATTATTTATATAATTAATTCTTGTTTACACATCTACAGATGAAAAACATAACTACTCGGAGAGTTCTCCACACGATAAGAAAAACATTTCAGAAACCAAGCCACTTCACAAAGCATGTCTGGAAGGGGATCTTGGTCAAGTGAAGCGCATCTTGTCAAAGGGTCAGGTGGATATCAATAGTAGAGGAAAGGAACACGGCAGGACACCTCTCATGATAGCGGCCCATGGGGGATATAGAGAAATCTTTGACTTTCTAAAAGGTGAAGGAGCTAATATATCACAAATGGATGATGACCGTAATAACATCCTACACTTGACCTGCCGCAGTGGAAAGGTGGAGATGGCAAGGTATATCATGTCACAGAACATTATTGATGTTAACAGTAGAGGCAAAAGTGGGAGGACATCAGTGATGATTGCGGCATTGTGGGGGCATAAACAAGTGTTTTACCTACTTATCAGTAAAGGAGCAAACGTGTCGCTTGTCGATCAGAACAGTGACAACATTCTTCATGTTGCCACTATTGGGGGACATGTGAACATAATGAAGTTTGTTCTCTCGAAGGAAATTGCTGACATTGATAGTAGAGGGAAGTTCGGAAGAACCCCACTGATGAGAGCGGCATATTATGGCCACATAGATGCGTTTGACTTTCTAGTGTGTATGCAAGGTAATGTATCACTATTGGATGATGGCAATTGCAGCCTTCTTCACGTAGCAATTACTGGAGGTCATGTGCAGATGGTTGAGTATCTTCTGTCACAGAACTTTGAAGATATGAACACTAGATGGGCGTATGGGCGGACGTCGTTGATGAGTGCGGCGTTTTATGGACACAGAGAAATTTTTGATCTACTTGTTAGTAAAGGCAGTGATGTTTCTCATGTGGACGATAATGGTGACAACATCCTTCATCGGGCCTGTATCGGGGGATATGTGAAGATGGTGCGTTATCTTCTATCACAGGAAATAGTAGATATCAACAGTAGAGGAAGGTTTGGGCGGACGTCATTGCTGATTGCGGCATATTTTGGACATAGGGAAGTGCTGAACCTACTTTTGAATGAAGGCGGTGATGCTTCCCTGGTTGATTCTGCAGGTGACACCATCCTCCATCTGAGCTCTCTTAAGGGACATTTAAAGATTGTAAAGTATGTCTTGTCTCATGACATTGTGGACATAAACAACAGGAACAATAAGAAGAATACGGCTGCCATGATAGCAAAGCAAAAAGGGTATCATGCCATTTATGACCTTCTTGTGGCGCGAGGCAGTAAGGCAAATTAAGTGCACGAAAGAGTCAGCACCACTGTTAAACAAGTACTCACAAAGAACGTGAAATTATAAACTTCATTATCTATAGGCGAGTGCTGTCTGTTCCAAGGAACCTCTTGTCTATACATGAGTAATAAAGCATTGCCGTGCGTGACATTTCGTTTATTTGTTGTTTAACGCACTTCGCAATATTTCAGCTATATGACCATGGTCTATAAACAATCAAATCTGGACAAGACAATCTAGTGCTTGACATCATGAGCATCGTCCTAAGTAATTGGGACACATTGACATGTGACAATCAAGTCAGCGAGCCTGACAACCTGATCCCGTTTGTCGCATCTTACTATAAGCGTGGGTTGCTGAAGGCTCCGTCTAACCCGGACAAGACCTCATAACAACACAGAACAATGAAGTCACATAGCAACTCCTTGAGTACAAGGGTGATAATCATGAAATCCATATTTATATACTAGTACTGAAAACCAACAGAAACGCCAAAGTAAAGAATAATATAAAGAGATGAGATGAGTATATGAGATGATGCATATACAATATGTAAGTAGGTTAATATCAGCTATAAACACATAATGAACATGATATTCCGTTGACCACCATTTGCATCCACTTTAACATTACACCTTCGGGGTTTGGCCCCTGACACCTGACCCCTACGGCACTGGTAGTGCGCACTTTGGGAACCGCCGTGTAGCAAGATCCTTTCACTCGATAGAAACGCTCCCATTACACTTTCTGCTAACTGTATTGGAGACAAGCAGCGTCTTTCCACGACCATTTTCATTTATATACAACATTATTTCTGGCAAGAGAAAGTCTATTTACCAAATTCATTCACTTCCAATGAGGAACAACCTATTTCATGTGGACTATTTATAACAAAACATCACTCATTTCTTATTTGAAATGTGTTATAGTTTATTCATTACTCATGTTCGTCGATTGGACAGTTTTGCCTACTAAAGTATTATATTCTCTATATCAGGAACTGTCTATTTCCCGTGTCCACTATTTTAATTCATAATCTTTTTCCTTAATTAAGTATTTTAAATTATTACAAAAAAAATCCTAATACGTCACATGACCCTGAAGTGTTACACCCGTCATTGAACTTTTAACAAAGCAATTGATCCCACTCTCCTAACACATGACCGCACTAATGTTCATTGAGAAGCATTTAGAAGTAGCAGTATAAGTAAAGAAAAGATGTATGGATGAACAACTTCGTTATTATAATTAGGAGCCACCTTTCGTTGTAGGTTCTAACACCTTTATCACCTTTATCAAGCAAGTGAAGTAGAGGATGTTCTGTTCGCTCTGTTTCTAGTTGTCTTGTTTCTATACATCTCCGACTTGATGACCGGAAAGTTTGCTGCATTCTGTCAAAAGTTGTTGTTGTTGCATTAAGTGTTTAAGAGGTCGCCTTCTGCCTAAGCAATTTCGACTGATCATGACCTGTCCCTTTTTGGGACTCGTGTGTGTGAGTAGGGTACACATATCTATTGTGAGTTTGGTATTCACATACTTTCTGCAGTATTCATAAGTATACAGAAAAGTACATATAGCATCAAGTCGGAGATGTATAGAAACAGAGCGAACAGAACATCCTCTCCATGAGAACGCTTGATGTTGTTGTACCTATCACACGGAATTCGAAGATGCACTTCATTTCTTGGTTTCCCTTAAACAGTACATTAAAGCAAAATATGTGTTATTTCGTAAAAAGGCTACGAATTAAATTCAATTCTAAATGGTAATTCACATTTAACGAATCTTGAAATTTTGAAATCAGATCACAGTTTTATTCTATCTTCTTGCAAATTTAGAGATTTTGTCTAGATGTTGGCTTTGCTATATAGATACTGCGTTTTTGTTGTGCTGGGTGGAAATAATAACGTAGCTGTAGTTACAAAAGATAATCCAGTAATTAAACACTTACAGAACAATACTTATCTTAAATGTCAATTATATAATGTATGCTATTTCGTATGTCACTTTCAATAGATTGTAATTTGTATGTGTATCATGTTTGGGAGAGGCATTCAGACAAGCAAAATTTGCTTGTTTGCCAATCCCTTCTCTTCACGGAAATAAATATGTTTATATCATTAGAACACTTCCGTTAATAGGTTACGAAATAAAGTAAAGTAAACACGGAGTGCCCATAATTATAGATGCATAGCATTGTGAAATACTTATGTGAAAGTTTTCACAACGGTTTGAAATGTCAGGCTGGAAAAATGTTTGGCTTTAAAAAAGGTTTGCAGCACCGTTGATGCTATTTATGTCTGACATTCCATTTATTGATAAAATCATAAGACACGAGAAATAACTTTGTGTATTTGTCTACAACCAGAAAGCGTTTGGTAAATTTCTAACATTTTGTCGCTGTGTGTATAACGAAATGAAATAGTTAATAAGTGTAGTCCCGAATTTTACTCTGGATTAGAAAGGGTGAAATATTATCACCTCTGCTTATTTTATTTTTATTGAAGATTTGGAAGTTAATTTTAGTGGTAACACTTGAGGATTTAGTATGGAAGATTTAATGCTCTATGTACTACTATTTGCTGATGGCATGGTAATGATTAGTAAATCACCAAGTGAGCGTCAAGATTGTTTGGATACTCTACACACTTACTGTCAAACATTGGGGTTGAAGATTAACATTGAAAAAAGTAAGGTTGTTTATTTAGAAAGTCAAATTTACCTGTTAATTCTCTGGATCGATGCCCATCACTGGATTGTCTGATCCAGACTCGAATATTTACCGACTTCCGTCATACAGCTTTGAATATTGCTGAGTGCGGCGCTAAACAACAAACAAACAAACCTGTTAACCACACCAAAACACACCCTTTAAAACTGTGATTCTCTTTAATTATCTGGGAGTTAAACGGTCTTTAAATGGTAAACACATCAAAGCTGTAAAGGTTTTGAAATACGAAAACATAAATTAGATATAAAGTCGTCTTTGGACTTGTTTGATACTTTTGTTTAGCACTATGGTTGAAAATATTGGGATTGCTCATAAACTGAATGTATTGAAAAGGTGCAAAGAACATTTCTTAAGCAGTTGTTGTGTTTATAGCAGTGCGCAGGTAACATCTATGTGTGTGGGGAGACAACCATCCCGTAAAGTTGGTTGGTTGGTTGGTTGATTTGTTGTTTAACGCCGCACTCAGCAATATTCCAGCTATATGACGGCGGTCTGTAAATAATCGAGTCTGGACCAGACAATCCAGTGATTGATATCATGAGCATCGATTCACGCAATTGGGATCGATGACATGCATCAACCAAGTCAGCGAGCCTGACCACCCGATCCCGTTAGTCGCCTTTTACGACAAGCAGAGTCACCTTTTACGGCAAGCATGGGTTGCTGAAGACCTATTCTACCCCGGAATCTTCACGGGTCCCGTAAAGTAAAGCCTTGTCACAAACCAAACTTCTATAGGAATAAGTAAAATCAAGTTTTGTGAAATAAATTTCAGGCTATTCTAATCTCATCTCAAATGCATATACCCCTTTTTGCCTCAAAATGGGTTTGACATTTCGTTTTTAGGAGCTTCACTTTTCTGACACTGCGATCACCCTCTCGTATTATTACATTAATAAATGTAAATATGAAGTTACCTACCTATGGCTGTCAATCTGCTGCCTGTGACAATATTAATCTACTTTCGAAAAAATGTATCACATGTAAATAAACTTTTAGAACATGCCATTGAAAGTCATTATATGAAACGAATAATGACAATATCGTCAATGAAAACATTACAATGGTATGCGTTATATATATAATATTTAATATTTTTAAACTTTTAGATATATATCCTTATCATACATTCACAAATATATTGTCATGAAAACGTACCACAATAATTTGTCCACGAAACATGTTTACTGTCAAATGCGTAAAATTACAGGAAATGAATCTTTTTTGAAATGTCAGGATCGACTTGCGAGTACTGACAGAAGATGGTGACAGGAAGATAATAGGAAAGATGTGACACATCGATAGAAGCGAAAGCCATCGGATAGCACATAGGCCGAGATAAGACACACTACAAATATTTGGAGAGATGAGATTTCAAAATAAGAAATACGAAATATGATTGCTGGCCAAAAGTTCAAAGCCTGACTAACTGCCAACTATGGGCCATAACAAGGCGAACCCCTCATTGTTGTACATTGTTTAGTCTGTTGAGGTCTGTTGAGGTCGTTTATATAAGTGACAGCCAGTTGAAAGTGATATAAGTCCAAATGGACACGGAAATGGCAAAGAACGAGTACTCCCCAAGAAATTCATGACCGCATGTCATAAGTGCCCTAGCTATTCCACTGCTAAACGTTGGGCGGCATTGTTTAAGGCTGTGAGAATAAGCCTTAAAAATGACCTTGACGTCCCTCAACTTCCATCAATGAAAATTCAAACAAGGAGATATAAAAACATAATACTGTCGGATAGACGTTTTGTCATTGCTGAACTTGAGGAAGTCACAGCTCTGAGTCATTGATCCATTGAAACTATTATCCATGAACATTTACAGATGAATAAGATATCTGCTCGTTTGGTGTCAAAGTTTCTAAATTCTGATCTTAAGGGAAAAAAAGCACTGACACTGCCAAAGAAAATTAAGCTAAAGTGCTAAAAGAGGAAGATTTCGTCAAATTGAAAAAAAGATCAGTAACGGGTGATGAACCATGGGTCTACCAATATAATCCCGAGTCAAAATGTCAATCAATGCAATGGCGGTACGGGTATCCTCAAGAGAATTATAAACTCGACAATGCTAACATTAACTAGCCAACGACAAAACGGGTCAGTTCGGGGGATCCCTTTGCAAATGTTCAAATTCACTGCTGTTCTACTCATACATAGTGGATGAATAGAAGGAAGTTTAAATGAAAAAAACCAACAAAAACATTTTGTATTTCCAGTTTCGTGTTTGAGTAAAACGAATATATGAATTTAGAGAAACTAACCGCTTCCGTTGGTTTGTGGTAGAGCGTCCGCCCGGAAAGCAGACGGTCACGGGTTCGATCCCATGCCGCGACATACCAAAGACGATAATTGTTTTGAATCGAAATTGATAATACATGTTACAGGTCATGTCGCTGAGTGAATGGTTTGTTTGTTGTTTAACGCCGAACTCGGCAATATCAATGGACACAAACTTAAAAGAGAGGAGTAGGGCATGTGACGATCCTCTGCCATACAACTGTGGATTGTCTGATTCAGACTCGCTTTCTTACAGTCTGCCACCTTATAGCTGGAATATTGTTATGTGCGCCGTCACATACATATAAAAAATCAACGCCAGTCTCGAATGTCTGTCGAAAGAGATACCACTGGTGTAAAAGTCAAAATCGTTGGAAAAGAATTATATGGAAGCTTCACTGAATATATTTGATGATATTTAGTGTTAGGGAAAAGGAGAAGCTCGTCCTGTCTGCCTCTCAGTGGCACTCGCCACTCGAAATTCTTAAACTTTCGTTTCGATTGTGATTTACGGATTTCAAAGCTATTTAAAAAACCCTTATTGTAAACTGACGAAAGATAGAGATCAGGGATTGAAAATGATTCAACATGATTAAAGTAAATGATAATAGAATAAATTGTGTCTACTTTGTAATAGAATTTACGTTGTAACTAAAAGAAATTTAAATGATAAACGAAGTGCAATCATACATTCTTTTCGATTGTTTTCTCATTTATCGAATACTTGTTTATTTCATACTTGCAATTTGAAAAACTCATGTCACTGCTTGTACATCCAGAGGCAGTAACACATGTACATGGGATACATTCTTTTGACTTTAAATAGTCTTCTCAGAGCCGATACCTGATGTCATCACTTATTTTCCGGTGATCCATCGTTTTCACGTCTAATTTCCTTATTATACTCAATGGAATCTGTTTCGTTGGAAAATCGAGATTATTTTCTGTCAATAACATTTTATATTTCAGGGGTCAGGGTAGCCTAGCATTTAACGGTCCCCTACACTATGCGGAATGCATGGTCTTGATTGCCCTTATATGGGAACAATGTGTGCATAAAAGCGAGGAAACCTGTTTCCTAATTATAAGAGATCTCTGCTAACAATCCCGGCTATTTGTCCAAAGTGTGCTTATGAATCGAATAGTGATGTTAGCCCTTTTTTAGTGTCCCCCGCCACGATGTTGCTGGAGCCGGCGTAAAACACACTCACGCCCATCCCTTAAAGGAGGATCGACGAACTACCACATCTCTGCCAACGCCTAAAACCTAAATTTGTTCTTTCAGCCCGTGCATGCGTGGGGCATACTGTGAAAACGACTCCCACCACACAAACTGCATTTTACGTACCGCATTATGGTGATGCCAGGCATATTGTAATTCGATGGTATGAAATCATGACGTTTGTCGTAGTGTCAATTAGCGATTCATTATCAAGGATTTCAAGGATTGCCTAACGATTTCAAGGATTGCCTTACCTTAAAACATGAACCAACAATGTCTTCAAAAGTTGTTGGTGAAAAGAAGTTCCAGGCATTCCTACCCTTCAATCGTGGTCCAATTACCAATTCTCTGATTTACCCACATAAACAATCAAATCTGTATAACAAGAGGGATGACATCAACATAACAATTGTTAACATTCCTTTCATATGAACACATTTCCAGCAGCTCCAACTTTTGTTGTCTACATTTCATAACTTTAACATTTTTGAAGAACACTCGAGCCGAAATGTTATTTGGTCTGCGTTACACCATTTAAGGCCTTAGTAAAACTTTCAAAACGTGTTATGGTAGACACGTGGAGGACATTTCCAATTCAATGACAAAAATGATGTCCGATGCAATTCCTTTTATGACTTGCACTATGTGATGCCATGCTTTTCCAGGTGAACAATTGACTTGCCTTGGTTGGGTAGGATACGCGTATCTTTTCGCGAAAACCTGGTATCGTCAATATTTTAGTGGAGATTGCTAATGCTTATTATTACGCCGATTCTGACAATATTCCAAACGTATCACGGCGTTGAATACTATTGACTGTCTTCACCTCTTGTATTGGAATATTGCGGCGTTAAACAACCAACCAACCAACCAACCAACGGCAGTGGTAAATAGAGAGTGAGTATGGTTTTACGCCGCTTTCCGCAATATTCCAGCAATATCACGTCCGGGAACACCAGAAATGGGCTTCAGACATTGTACCCATGTCGGGAATTGAACCCGGGTCTTCGACGTGACGAGCGAACGCCTTAAACTACTACCCCACCCCCAGTGGTGAATAGAGCGGCATGACGAGCCGAACAATGTTATACACGCGTTATGTGTAACTTGAGAAAGGATATACCAGTGAAAGGTGACATTCAAAAATTACTTTTATTTGTTACACATTAGAAGTGCGCATGTACGCTGGTGACAAAATAGCATTTATTTATAATCTCTGTTATACATGTATGGGCATTAAGGCATTGAACATTTATAAATGAGTATCTTCTTTCTCTTGTGTATGAGTCAGTGAAGAGATCAGCATTGGTTCTGTTATGCTTCACAATACACACAGCGCACATGTACATTGTAAGTCCACGCAAACCCCATTCAAATGCCTGTCCATGACTGTATGGAAATAATTCATGGTCGCACAAACAGATGTTTTAACACGCACCTGAGATATTACTTCAGCGTTATCATATTCTATTCATGGGCGTCGGCAACGTGAACATTCTCTTTCTTGAAATGACGCCCTAACGGGTCGTAGGTTTCCTTTTGCTTTAGGTAACAGTCAAATAAAGATCAACACTCCGTTATTAGTTTCTGTCACTGATACAAAGTTTACTTAGTTCGGTTCGTCTTTAGCTACCACATATGGTAACGTGAATGTAGACGATGTGTATGCAGTTCATGTTGAGGCTGAAGCTGTTCGGTTGCTGAGAATATGCCATTAGCAGATAAATTAGTATTTTCATGGATTTTCCTCCTTTGGATTGTGCCGTCATATTCGCTAGGTAAGATATTTTAGATGTAGCTGTAACACCCAAGTGGTGTAAGATGTACATTGATAGACACCTACAGTAAAATGCTTTACTACAGTAAAATGCTCGTTTATACGTCTCTTCCTATTTTAACTTATTCTTTTGACAAACTCTGTTTACATAACTTTCTATTGATATAGTCAGTCTATTATGAGATGTTAAATATTTGTTGAAATATTTGTCAAAGACATTATCGATGACACAAAATACTAAAATCCAAACCAAACTGAAGTGAAATGGTAAGGGATTTATGTGTACACTGAGAAAGTTGACATTTATATTGACATGAAACATGTATGCTTGTAACAATGAATCAACAATATGTTCGACCAACTAGGTATGCCTGCATTGTCCAACATTACTTCATAGATCTAGCCAGCTCGCATGAATCATTAAATGACGTGGACTAATCAAAACACTGTGTTTAACGCACACCGTTTTGTTCAAACTGCGATTAAGTGTGAATGAAAGAATACAAAAGATGACACGATGCTTCTTCAGTGGCCAAAAAGCGGGCGCAGCTTTATTACATAACAATACAGGCGGAAGTCGCGACAAGCAGTGTTACACAGTACACAGCAATGCAGTTACATTGCTTGCGTCCGAGGTTTAGATGGGTACACATCGTGACGCAATGGAGTAACTACCAAATCATGACCAAATGGGCCGGAACATACACATCATGACCAAATGGGCCGGAATATACACATCATGACCAAATGGGCCGGAATATTCACATCATGACCAAATGGGCCGGAATATACACATGACCAAATGGCCCGGAATAGAGATGACAGTTCAGTTCATCCTCCGTGGCTAAACACAACGTGAGGCATGAGCTGCAGTCCATCCTGTGTCATTACATACACTGTCATCCTCTGTGGTTTGGGTACACATCATGAGGTGCAGTTAGCATGTTGAGGCTGAACTTACTTACAGTTAATGAGTGTTAATGAGAAAATATGAGTTGCCTGCAACGACCTCCGCCAACTATTGCTGCACCAAGTTATATAGTATTCTGGTGGGATCACTGAAACACGAAGAAAATTAGAGCACTAAACACATCCTTATGCATTCAGTGAATCATTGATTTATATTGCTAATGAACAGATATGCATACTCATTATGCGAGAAGTATGATGCAAGAAGTATTGATTTACCAAACTTGGTGCTGATGAAAAACATGTTTATATTACAATATTAACACGTAAACCAATTGACAAAGAAAGCAAAATTGGGCTGGGAGGGAAGGGATAAATAATATGTTGTCTATGAAATTCGCGTTTGGCTGCTTGCTGGTGTACGCAGAAAGAGGCTTGATGCAGTCACGTGCGTCACGTGATCGGTTTACGATTACCAACACACTGGTGTAAGGGAGGCAAATCCACTGAACTGTGGTAGGGTGCCTAACCTCCCACTAAAACAAATTTGGTTCATACTGGCTTTCACAAATTAGAGTGAGTAAGTGATTGAGTATGGTTTTACGCCGCTTTTAGCAATATTCCAGCAATATCACGGCGTGGGACACCACAAATGGTCTTCACACATTGTACCCCTGTCGGGAATCGAACCCGGGTCTTCGGCGTGACGAGCGAACGCTTTCACCACTAGGCTACCCGACCGCCCTCACAAATTAGATTGTGTTCAGTTGTAACAAAAAAATACAGTCATCGATTTAAAAAAATTTAAAGAGCTGCAACGTAAAAGAAATATGGTTTTGACATTGCGTCGACATCGTACAAAAATCGCCAAAAATAAACTGTAGGATGTGTATTGCGATATAACACACTCATAGTGCGGCTGCATCACTCGCAAATGTTTATATTCAGGGCGAATTCCAGAGTTCGATCTGTTATCATGTTCAGCTTCATTTTGTTGCCACAGCTGACATGTCTTGCAACATTAAAGGCGTTTAAGGTGCTGTGTCTCAGCTATGATGAGTGAGTGAGTTAAGATTTATAGTCACATCGCCAATATTTCAGCCATATCGTGACTAAATCAAGTTGTACATTAATAATACAGAAATATAGACATTACAATCTGTCGACAAAGGACAGCAAAAACACTAGACTATCACAGATGCAGATTTTAAAACTAGCATATCATAATAAAATTCATAACAATTGATAACAGTACACAATAAAGAAGGGCTATAGATCACCAATAACCAAAGGTAGGTCACCACACTAGCTATGATGACATAATATTAAGATTATATTACCTGTATTGAATATGTCTTAAGATGAGCCTTCAACGATGTTGTCGTTGCAAGATATAAACAGCTGATTTGCTGTTTTGTCCCTTGTTTTATAAGGTGTACACCTCTGGATGTAAATGCAAGTTGGTTTTCAAACCAGGTCTCAGCAGCGTTGCAGATTCAGTTTCATCAAAAGGATCATTTATCAAAATATGTGATAACGATAGCTCTCTGTGGTGTCTGTTTTGGTGAATGATTGAGCCTATGATTCTAAATCGTTATAATGGGAGAGAAAACTGAACGTAACGACACTGTTTTTTTCAGATGTGAATGGCGGTGTTTCTGAATGGCTGGCATGGTCTGGGGTTCAGTGTGATCAAACATGTGGGAACAATGTCACAGGCATCTCGATAAGACAGAGGCTCTGCGATGACCCATTACCAGAGGGCAGTGGAATGACATGTGAACAACAAGGCAATAAGTTGCAGGATTCTCGTAGGATACCCTGCAATCTGACGTCATGCGGTGAGAGATGTGTAACGCGGCAGTATGTAGCTGTTCATGCGAGACTTTTAGCAAATACATACTTCCGAGCATGTGAAACAGTCCTTACAATATTATCGATCAAAGTGAGAGAGTTCAGTTTGATATCACCGTATTCAAAGTTATATCTCGACTTGTAGGAACAGCAACATTTGCAATGTTGGACGAACACCTAAAGCGAACGTAACCAATTGTATTAATATTTTAATGAAACACTCTGGAATAGACATGACGTTTATGAGGATCAGGGACCACTCTCCTGCACAGCGTCAGAGAATAATCCCCCATGTATCTCCTCCTTGTAGATCGTAATGTGAATTTAGTATTTACAAAACGGCGCTGATTTTTTTATTTTCCAACTTTGTGATTTAATTTTGATGGGGGATGACATTAATGATTGACTGCATTATTATGTCACGATTAATATCTTTTCATTTAATATTTGTACGACTTCCTTATTTACTTACCTTAAAACATGTTTGTGAGCATGTTAAATCATATTGGACATGTAATTTGTCAATTTATATCACTTTCTTCCAATGGATAATGTATTCACAAGTGAATGAGCAGATTTAATTGACGCTGTTTTAAACAGTAGCTTCGTCATATAAAGGAGTTGCAGCTGACGTAGACCCGCAAGTGAAGGGGGTTCTTAGGCGTTTAACCACTTTAAAAAAGGAAAATAGCTAATGTCATGGATGGGCATTTGAGTGGGTTTTGTGTGGAAAGATATTTAGGCTCATAGTTTTAAGTTTAAAAAATCTGCTTTTGCAACTGTACCTGAAAAAGTCATCTACCCGCACTTCTCAAATGATGGGTCCCTTAGAAGACCTATCCGAAATTTGATCTCATAGTACTGCACACAATTGAACACACTGTCACACTATTTATATTAACTTCAGCATTAAAAGCGGCAAAACCCTTCCCATATCCACAATAAATCTCTGCCAAAAGTAGAGTTGATTGGACGATACCCTCCACATCACGTGCACGAGCTTGCGTTTATGAATCAGTTTCAAATAGTCATGAAGCACTTAAGTTTTAAAGCAACTAAAAGTTGGTTTGATTTTAAATAGGTGAGGTTATTAATGGTAACTACAGCGAATGGAGCGAATGGGAAGGTATATGCCCAAGTACATGTGGAGTTATGGTTCAGCTTGAACTTAGAAGAAACAGGAGCTGTGACAAACCTCCACCAATGAATGGTGGATCATGTGCCGATCACGATTCTGAAATAAAGAACGGACTGTGTGAAGGAATAGCCCGATGCCCAGGTAATGTATCTATTTAAGCATAATTGTCGATTTGTTCATACATAAGCTTTGTTTGTCGTTTAACGCCACTCTGCGCAATATTTCAGCTATATGACGGCTAAATAATCGACTGTAGACCAAACAATCCAATGATTGACATCATGAGCGCCGATCCACACATTAGGCATACGATGGCATAGAATGATATATTATGTGTGGGTAGATGTATCATTAAACGCCTATATTTATATTAACACGTTGACTCTTAATACAGCAAACTAATACCTATATCTATTAAAACTGCTCGCTTCGGTTAATAGACTAATGTTCCACAAGTTAGGTGACTACAGGTGTATAATTACAAAGTACTTGTTCGAATATATCTTTCGACTTACATTCCTTTAAAAACTGTAGATGCAGTTAATGGAAGTTACGAAAGTTGGGGTGCCTGGGTAGAAGAATCATGTCCTGAGACTTGTGGAATCAACGTTGCATCTAGACTGAGACGAACCAGGACATGTAATGAACCTTTGCGTGGCGGGCTTCCGTGTCAAGGGCCAAATTCTCAAGAAAAAAGTGGGATTTGCAAGGATATATCACCATGCAAAGGTAAGCTATTATATTTTCAGTGTTTGCATGGTTTCGTACTGCACTTCATACCGAAATATTTCAAATAATAATAATGCCTATTGTGAGAAATATGGTATTATTTCATTGCATAAGCCTCATAATCTTTTCAAATGGTGCTTTTTCCAATCGGTCAAAATGATTTGTGGACTATTCAACAGTAAATACAAGTTAATGATTAGATTATGTGCGATAAGTTGCTTTTGGCGCATTTTGCAACGCAGATGTTATCAATTGTGCGTTCAAAAATCAATATTACAAAGGACGTAATAAAATATATATCAATTACGAGTGGATGATGAATCTAAGGTTGACAATTGGAGAATACTATCATCACCCGAGGAGTTAAAGCATATGTACATCACTCTCTGTTTGTTGTATCTATGTTTCCGCAGTGCATGGTGGCGTGTCTGAATGGGGCGAGTGGGACAAACCACGATGCAATGTAATTTGTGGGGAGAATGCTACGGGAACGTCACTGAGACTCAGAAGGTGCAATAATCCCATACCGGAGTATGGTGGATTATTTTGTAATGACTCACTTCAGGATAACATGTTGTCATCTTGTGGATTGGACCCCTGCCTAAGTATGTGCAGGTGCTACCGTATAATAGTAAAGACCACAGTATGTACAGTAAATATTTATGTTTAGAGGTATTGTATTTCAACGATAACTACGTTTAATGCAACATCGTAAGGTAAAAATATAATCATAAATAACAACATTATTTTTTTTGCATAACATTTACATTTTTTTATTAACTGAAAGGGAAGACATGGGCAACCCTTTTTTGTGATGTGACCCTCGGACCATTATTGTCCTGTAACGTGTTGACGTAATGTCATGAATAGTTAACAAGCAGGACTTGCCCGAACCGTGTGCTCACGTGTGTACAGTGTATTATAGCGTCTAGATTATTCGCAAACAAATACATGACGTGACACCCATTGTTTAGGCACAGTCTAGGTCGTAATCATCAGGATATGTAACTTACGAATCTGTTTTAATTGTAGTTGATAGCGGACTGTCCGAATGGGGAGAATGGGATGACCCTGAGTGTCCTGAAACCTGTGGACGTAATGCAACGATGAAGGTGACAAGGAACAGGACCTGCACCAATCCTGTCCCACAGTTTGGTAGCGCCAACTGCTCGGGGCATCTAACGGACACCGAAACGAGAAACTGTAACCACACGGAATGTCCGAGTATGTACATGTTCAGTGTTTTGTACCCTAAGGTTGTCTCATGGTTTAAGATCTAATATATTAGACCCTTGAAGATCCAGGGTAGAATAGGTCTTCGGCAACCCATGCCTGCCGTAAAAGGTGACTATGCTTGTCGTGGAAGGCGACTAACGGGATCGGGTGGTCAGGCTCGCTGATTTGGGTGATGCATGTCATCGATCCCCATTGCGTGGATCGTTGCTCATGATATCAATCACTGGATTGTCTGGTCCAGACTCGATTATTTACAGACCGCCGACCATATAGCTGGAATATTGCTGAGTGCGGCGTTAAACAACAAACTGTTCATACCATTTCGGGTATGGATGGATAACTGAAGCAAATATGGTATGCGGTCGAAGAGGAAGATGTTACGAAACACTAAAGGTTTAAATTGCTTTCCTGTTGATGGATGATCCCAAATTTCTTGTGAGTTGCGTCATCAACGCCACGAAGGTTGTCACCAGAAACAGGCAATGTACTCTTTCGCAATATGGCGGGGCAGAATGTGATGGGTATTTGGGCGAAAGCGAAATTCGAAACTGCCTCCCAATGAAACCCACCCACCGAAGCCTCCACAATAATGAATGTCCGACAACTGTTAGTCTAGATCACGTACAGAGGGGTACACAAAGTACTTGATCTAGACTACCGGTTGTCGAACTCTCATTTTTGGTAGCTGGTTGGGTTAGATCGCTGATTTTGAGTGCTGGCGATAAGTTGCCTCACTCTGGCAGTGTGGGTTCGAATCCCGGACAGGACTCCCCAAATAAGTACGAGAATCTGTACTTTACTCAGAAAGTGTTATCCCAAACATAACGTTTGTTACATTTGACCACTTTCTAAATGGCATTGTGTCTTCATATTGTAATATACATGGGCGCATCAATCTAGCATAGGTGTTATTTCTGAAACATCTTAAGAAATACTATGTATTTGAATGTTCAGGGGATGATAATGTTACCAATTGGTCAGCGTGGTCATGTACAGCCGCATGTGGTGCAGACTAAGAGGGGAAGTTGTTACGAAAAAGAACTTGTATTATGCCGTCCAATTATATCAGCTGTAAGGCAGAACTGTCAGCGACTCAGCCGATTGGATGTGGTCTTCCTGAATGCCCAGGTTATTAAAACCATTGCGTAAATGGAAATACGCATTTTTGTATACGGTAGAATCCTATCCTTTGACAAAACGTATGTCAATATTATTCTAAGCACGTCCATGCTTCCATCAACTAAAATAAAGCAAATTCCGCTCTGTTTTCAACAACAGTGTTAGAAGCAGTCTGCTGTGATCAAAAGGCATACTCCTAAAGTGAGTGTTAAACTCGCAGAATGGACAGGGGGGTGTTTGGAGAACGAACAGATGGGTTCCTTACGTCCTCAAGTGGCACTTGTTTTTGGATAAAAGAACAACGTGCCACACCTGTATATTTCAGACAAATTGAAATTGTTATTTTATCACAGTTAATGGGATTGTGTCAACGTGGTCGTCCTGGTCGATATTTCCATGCTCAAGAACATGCGGTGTTTCTGCAACAACCACACAGAGTAGAAATAGCACATGTACCAATCCTTCACACAGGCACGCTGGAGACGATTGTGTGGACCATTTGATGGAAACCAATATAATACCTTGTGATGTTCCACCATGTGAAGGTGTGTTGGTGCATTTGCCTCGTGTGAGAGATTTGCCGCTAAAAGAGTAGTTCAATGTAAAACGATGCGTCCGCTTAATTTAGGAGGAACGTTCCACATCGTACGATTGTTTGCTATTTGCCATGTTATCGAAACTTACCGTCCGATATATAAGGGGGCACGGGTGGCCCAGTCGTCTCAGGCTCCTCGGTTCGCTGTGCAGAGTTGCGTCCCTTGAGCACGCCAGAAACCTATGATTGTGGGTTCGAATCCCGGTTCGCCCCGATTATGTTTGGGTTTGCTGAATGTCCAGGTAATAATGTCAGCCTACTGTTTCAAAGTTGTCTAACGTGTTCGCGATTGACCCCATTTTTGTTAAAGATTGTATCTCTTACAAGGTCTGGATCTGGTTTTACAAAAAAACTACGATGGCTTTATTCTGTGTTTATTTTGCATGTCAAAATTCATTTGAAAATTCATTTAATCGCTGTTTATTTCGAACGAGTTATTGTTCATGATCACTTGTTTAGTTTTATAGTATGTGGAAAAATAAGACAGGAATAGCTTTCTTTTAAGTTGAACTTGTGACTAAACCTATGCGAAATAGTTATACCAAACCTTATTCAAAATCGTGCTAATGTGGTGTGCACAAAGCAAAACATATGCTTAACACTTATGTACGTAGTCAGAGTCAGCTTATTTCAGTCAGACCGCTTCCGTGGTCTTGTGGTAGACCCGGGGTTCGATCCCCCGCCGCGTCATACCAAAAGCCGTTAAAAGATGGTACTTATTGTTGCTCGGCATTTAAGGGGCTAAAACAAGGACTGGTCGGCTCGGAGTCAGTATACTGTGTCTGGATGGGGTATTCATGTTAAACTGCCGCATGGTATCTCAGTGGGCTTGCACTATAAATCGGCATCAGTCTAGTCAGAATAGTACAAGCAGCTTCCCACACTGTGCAGAGTTGCGTCCCTTGGGCACGCTAGAAACCTATGATTGTGGCTTCGAATCCCTTTTCGCCCCGATTATGTTTCTAGTTTTGTTAACACCATACCCTTGCGGGTGGGTTTCACCGAAGTGGTAAACGTCTGAGACCTGAGATCACTTCGGGCTTTCCTCCCACATAAGGCTGAGACGCATTGATATAACTTGAATACTGTTATAAGCGGCGTTAAACCCAACTCACTCACTCACTCTGGCTCATAGCATTCATTCACCTGACGAAGGAGTAAGCATATACTCCGAAACGTCGTGTTGCTCCATAAAGTATCTTCCTTAAATCTAAGTACGTTAAATATGTCATAATGTCAGAAGGTTAATACAACTCAACATTTTGAAGCGGCCTATAATGCTTATAGTACATACATTAAGACGAAGTGGATTTGTCATTCGACCAACTTTGCTGAATATTGTATATGTCAAACACTCTTTTTTCAGTGGAGATTACGTTTCCGTTAAGCATATTTCACAATCTGACTATTTAAAACGTGTTAAATTGGACTCAAGGCCTGTATAATGTCTTAAAGCTTCGGACCACATGGATTTCTCGACAAATATTATTTTTCAAAGTCTCAAAACGTGGTATTCGATTGAATGTAATAAACTCAGGAGCGCAGTTATCATAGGAGCATATGATGTCATACAAGGTACAACGGCGCCATATTATCCAGAGTAACTATTTGTCTGTCTCAGGATGTTGGTACATGTACGTGTAGAAAGAGACCCCTCAGGAAATTCCGGAAAACCTTTTCTATTTACAGCGCCCAAAAAACAGTTTTTGGTTTAAGAATTGCTCTTGAAATTGTAAAAAAGATGCTGAAATTATGCCATGGGGTTTCCGGAGATCATCTACTGAATGATACCTACAAACCACACATACACATTACTTCATATCTATTTTCTGTCTGCCTTGTAAGTGAGTCGTTGGTTCAGACACAATGTTACGTTTTAGTGCATGGACGACCCGGCTTGTGGTCAACGTGGATAGACAATCCATGTCCTGCCACTTGCGGACCAGTAACAACGAAACATCTCGTGCGGAAAAGAAACTGCTCAGATCCTGAACCTGCCTATGGTGGGCGGAACTGTACAGATCCACTCTTGGAGACAAAGATCGGAACATGTGGTGGAGTTGATTGCGAAGACCCAGGTGAGTATTGACCACACAACGGCAAAGCCACAGAACAGCCAGGCTCGACTCCACCGGGCACAATAGTCATAATTATATGAATGGATCACGGAAAGTCACTGATGACACCAGGGGTCACTAATGTCACATGTTTCATGGGGATTATGTGCAATTACGATTGATTCATTTCTAGATTCAGGTTTACAGTGTCAGCTGGGGGCACGGATGGCCCAGTCGTCGTCCAAGGCGCCGCGATTCGCTGTGCAGAGTTGCGTCCCTTGGGCACGCCAGAAACCTTTGATTGTGGGTTCGAATCCCAGTTCGCCCCGATTATGTTTCTAGATTTGTCAGCCATGACCATACCCGTGCTCTTGGGGCTTCCTCCGACTGAGACATTGGGCAAACCGGCATGAAACAAAGCTGACGCACTCACGCACACAAACGTTAATTTTCACACGAACATCAGAGCGTGTTCTTCAGTGTGTACTGGAAGTGTCTTCCAGCTGCCGTATGTCGCTATTGCTGTACCTGCTCTTCATTATGTCATATTCTTCCTTTGACAGAAGTTTCATTTTGATAAATATGATTTCAGTTATCCCCACAACGGTGAGTTATCTCCTGATCGGGATAAGTGGTTCTCTGGCTGCACTGCTGGTCGTTGCTATAGTAGTCATGGCATCTGCAATCTATATTCGCAAGAAAAAGTAAGCTCAAGGTGTTTTTGTCAGTGTGTCAATGTTTCTTTGTTTGTTGTTTAACGCCGCACTCAGCAATATTCGAGCTTTATGATGGCGGTCTATAAAAAAACGAATCTGGACCAGAGAATCCTGTGATTGACATCATGAGCACGCAATTTGGATACGATGACATGCATAAACCAAGACAGCGAGCCTGTCCACCCGATCCCGTTAGTCGCCTCATACGCCAAGCATAGCCGCCTTTTACGGCAAGTATGGGTTGCTGAAGACCTATTCTATCCAGGCTCTTCACGTGTAGCGTGTCAATGAGCATTCCCAGCACAGAATGTGAACAAGGGACACTAAATCCTACTTATATGTCTTTGAGCACAACTCTTAATTCATTTGAAAGATATCGATAGTTTGGCAATACGATAATCGTGTGATCAGAGTACACAGTATGAAAAGGCAAATTTACGTTTTTATTGACGTTAATGGCGAGATTAACATAAATAAGAGTCCGGACCATGGACCTTTCTGTTCATGGTGTGGTTGTGGGTCAAGAGTTGTGATCAAGACTCTTCATGAGCTAATGGAAACGACATGGTGCATTTCTTCTACATTCATTTTCCTTTTAAGTAGTATTATAGCTAAAATGGATAGAATTATCAGTAAAGCGCCCGCACGTTATCAGAAATGAGCGGGCCACTGTAATTTGATAATGCCCTCAAATTGCTTGACGACGGGCCATTATCAAGCCCGTTGTTAGGTGACGTCATAGGGTAGAGAAAATGACGTCACGTATTATAGTGACGTCATCTGGTTTGTTCTATGACGTTTCCATATTTGTAAAATGTGGCCAGTGACATTCGTGTTGATTGCAGTAAATGTTTCAAAACCTATGTTGTTGTTTCTTTTTATTTGATAACAAATTCCATCCATTTTAGCTATAATAACGGTAACCCTGTTTTTTTTAGGGCATTATCATTTGCAGAAGCCCTCGGTCTTTTCAACTGCCCGACGAAGGAGGGCAGTTGATGGAAGACCTAGGGCTTCTGCAAATGATAATGCCCTGAAAAAAACGTTACCCTTATAGTAAGGTGTTATGATTGGTTTGCGTGCATACATATACAGGTTTTCGACATGATTGTCGGAAACATACACATATAGAGACACGTGATTCCCTCTAATATAACTAGTCCTAATGTGTTTACTGTTGTGCTTATTGGACCATGCTGATGACACTATTATTTTGAAATAGCTTTATTATATGGAATGTTTGAATCGGTTCGGTTCGGTTCAGTCCCGCCACATTGGATTTTCTTGGTTTTATGACTCTTCACCAATGTTTCAGATCAAGTGTTGAAGACAATGAACCACCATCTGAACCCTCAGAAACGGAGCCTTCAGAAGTAGGGTCAGATGTTGATCACGACACAACAATTAGTAGTATAAGTTTGGATCTAAAACTGTGGGAACCAAGAAACCCGGATGTTTTCCAAAGCCAGGAAGAACTAGTCGCAATCATCGACATACCCTTAAGGGAGTACTAGGTGCATCGTGAATGGGTCATCAGAGAGAAGCTTCATACATTGTTTCCGTGTACTCAGGGTTGAGGCGTGAGGGGCAAACGTTTGAACCAATAGGCTACCCCATAGTCAAGAGTGTATATACTGACGGTAGTGTAGGAAACTTTGAATGGTAATATAAATGTTTTTGGGGAAACAACCTCACTGTTTCTTCAATGCTCGCTGACCTCAAGTGATTTAACCCTTAACAAGAAAAAAAATTGTCAGTTCGTGATGTTTGTCGATATATAGTTTTACGTCTATTTTACACGAAAGTGTTAACCATTTTCTCAGGGTATAATCATTCTGCATAAAGGTGTGATGATGTCATTTAGGGTTAGATGTAGGTTACTATGCTAGAGAGAAAATGTCTCTCAAAATGTGCAATAATTGTGTTTTGTTATTACAAATATGTTCTTTTGAGGTTACACCTTATACCTGTATATGTTCTTTAAAGTTTTCACCTTATATCTGCATATCTTCTCTTAAGGTTATACCTTAAACCTGTATATGCTCTTTTAAGGTTATACCTTATGCATGTATATGTTCTTTAAGGTTATACCTTATGCATGTATACATGTATGTTCTTTAAGGTTATACCTTATGCATGTATATGTTCTTTCAGGTTATACCTTATTCATGTATATGTTCTTTAAGGTAATAGCTTATGCATGTATATGTTCTTTAAGGTTATAACTTATGCATGTATGCACCTTCTTAGACTAAGCCGTGAATGGAGTAGATGAAAACTACTAAGTCACATTCGTCTGTAGTTATATATTTTCCAGGGATAATGCTCGATATATCATATTCGTCAAGTGACTTTCAACAAGTGTTCTGTTTTTAATGAACATCGGAAACTGCAGAAATATTCTGTCATTGATTCTTCTGAGCATGTCTAATAACGAATAGAGTATTTTTTACTTTTTACTTACATCAATTATATAATCTGGTGCAACTCAACATCGTCAATGTATTTCAAAATTATTAACAATTGCTTATATTTATATTGTGTCGAATGTTACATGCTATATGATCTGCCGACCCAAAAGGGAAATGCATCCACACGGTTTTAAGTCAATGTTTTCCACATGCCACAAGAAGGAAAATACATAAAGGTTTCTTATATAAATGGTCTGCCGTGGTTAGTGTTTCTTATTTTTACTTTACTGCTTTTTCAGCATGGGCAAGGTAGTACCCTGTGGACTACAGTTGGCTGACAAAGTTTGATATGTCTCCAATCTAATCAAATCAGATCTGATTTACTCCTATCGATAAGTCTCTCCGTCGAGATCTGACAAATTGCACAGGTCACGTCGTGGTGAAGCAGGGGGCACGGGTGGCCCAGTCGTCAAAGGCGCCGCGATTCGCGTTGCAGAGTTGCGTTTCTTGGGCAGGCTAGAAACCTATGATTGTGGGTTAGAATCCCTTTTCCCCCCGATTATGTTTCTAGGTTTGTCCGTACCATATCCGTGCTCGTGGGTTTCACCGAAGTGGTCAACGTCCGAGACCTGCATCACTTCGAGCTTTCCTCCCACATTACACAGCTGACACGCCGTGATATAACTGGAATACTGTTCAATGCGGCGTTACACCTAAATCACTCACTCGTGGATCGATGCTCATGACGTCAATCACTGGATTATTTACAGACCGCGGTCATATAGCTGGAATATTGTGCGGCGTTAACAAATAAACAAACAAATCTTAAGAAAGTGATTGTACGATTCCAACTATATCGTGATCATGAGTTTATGAATCACTGTCAAAACGTCCTGATACTACACGTGGTGTTCGTGAAAAAATAACCTGTCACAAACATATGCAAAGGCAAGTCAATTCTGCACCTGAAGAACAACATGGCATATTGGCATTGCTATTTTCATTGGAAAAACAGATGAAGACGTAACACGATAAAGGACAGCTGACATAATTCCCATATATGCAAAACAAAAGTTCCTGTGACATTGAATAGGATTTAATGCAAAGTTATACTGACTTCAGAAAATGCGTGATTTCATAAAAAAACATGAAAATGCCAATTTACAAATCAATAGCATGTGTGTCCACCTCTGGTTGCGATGCAAGCAACACATCTTCCTCTCATGGAATGGACCAGGCGTCGCACAAAGTCCTCTGGGATATCTTTCCATATCTGCTGGAGCATGTTTCGAAGTTCCTGGAGTGTCTGTGGAACACGTGGTTGGCGTCGAAGACGCCGATCCATCTCATCCCACATGTGCTCGATTGGTGAGAGATAAGGGGAGCGAGCCGGCAAGGGGATGACATTCACGTTGTTTTGTTGAAGAGTTCCTGAACAAGTCGAGCAATATGAGGTCGGGCGTTGTCATTTTGAAAGGTAATACCTGGGCCATGACGACGCAAAAACGGTAGAACAACAGGGCCGATGATCTCGTCGCGGTGTTTATCTGAGTGGTTGTTGTCAGCACGATGCTAAACAATGCATATGGAATCCCGTTAACGCACATGTTTTTATACCCATTCTTGGGTAGTGAAATGCATGGGGCTTGCATAAACGTCAACTTTTGCATGGAATGCATGCTTTTCTGTAGCAGTTGCGTTCTTTTTACTTGATTCCATGCATGTACTACAATATTGAAAACCAAACTTTACTTGTTTGAAAAATACACTAAAATATTGGTGTCACAGGAACTTTTGTTGTTGAGTATAGTAAGATATATGATTTGTATTGCGCGTACGTGTGTATAGATAGATAGATAGATAGATAGATAGATAGATAGATAGATAGATAGATTGATAGAATTTTCATGCCTATTTTGTCATACAATAATTTCTCTTAGATGTGAAAATCAACCATACAAACGTAACTGTAAATAAGATAGGTATAATACAGAAAACTAAAAGAAATAACTGCACGAGCACAGTTTGCCACAACAAAAGTTGTAAACAGTTATCGTTAGGGAGTGACGACGGGAGGTCTTATTGCGCCAATGCTGTTTCATTTCATGTGACAGGAATTCGTGTATGAATACCCTCACCGCGTGGCGTTTGGATTACATTGTGCCGTCCAAAACATCATGTAACATGTGTACGTGCCCTGGGGGTTGGTTATGCAAACTAACTGGAGGTTTATAACCCCGTGCCTGTGTTTGAGTCAACCAGGACGTAAACCTGTATGTAAATAGTGTCATTATTATTGCGTTTCAAGTCCGAAACTTACTAAAGGTCTGAGGGATTGCTGCGTACTATCAAACGGGTTGGGCGGGGAAGAAATGGCATTCGGTTGTGATTCAATTTATTAAAATGTGAAGCATGCATCAGAGGCCTTAAAGACATTTTTAGTACTTGTGTACGTGATCACATTCAGATGATTTTACACTGCCTGCAGGAAATTATATCGTTGCTTTACTTTCTGTCGAACTGCATTGGTGATGCTGCAGAATGCTTTTCTGCTATCACAGACTCATGAAAAGGATAGTGTGAACCAGAGTATTTATAGTGGTCAAACGCTGAATCAATATTATTGTGATATTGGCGATATTGATTAATGAAGAGTAGTAATATGGACATGACACCCCCCATTCGAATGGATAAGAGTCCTTTAAAGGTTAACACGAGCTCATTTTATGTAGTGCCTAATTATCGGCTACCATTATCATGCGATCGTAGGTGTTATGACGACCACCTGATAGTTAACAGTACTCTGCATATATAAGCGAGTGAGTTAACATGGTGTTTCGCACGTATAGCAATATTCCAGCAATCAGGGATGATTGTTGAGTGGTGCATGGTGCGTGGTGCGTGGTGTGTGTATGGTGCTCCAAAAATGGCCTCACAGATCCAACTTTGAGAATCAAACCCTGGCCTTTTCTGGGACGGGCGAACGTTTAAACACTTGGCTTTGTTGTAAGACAAGTCCACATGGGGATTTGGGGTGACAGACACTGGACCATTATATGTGTTGTATTACACTGCAGTGATTTTGGCATGTAGTTACTTTGGGAGGATACCAGCTATCCTACCGCCACTACAACATATATGAGAGGAATCAACAATATCTGAAGGAGGGAGTCGCAGTTGAACAGTAGAATACACATTTGACTGTTGGACAATAACAAGTGTTGGGCTAGATGACACTAGTAATATTGAACTGACTCGAATTGACAATCGGGTTAAACATTGAGTAAGTGAGTGAGTATGATTTTACTCCGCTTTCAGCAATATTCCAGCAACATCACGACGGGAACACCAGAAATGGGCTTCACACAGTTTACCCATGTCGGGAATCTTCGGCGTGACGAGCGAACGCTTTAACAACAAAGCTACCCGACCGCCCCGGGTTAGACATTGCCTTATATAGTGTGTTAAATCAGGTTTTGTCCGCAGAGAGAACATTCCAATAGGACATAAGGTCTAAAGATTTCTAGCCTTGATATGACTTAAACACACGCTTTTATCGTTGCATTTACCTCGTCATAGTGGGCTAAATGTAAGGGGTTTATACATGCGTTACACGTTTACATTACATTTACATTTCAATAGTCGGAAAATGCGATATCGTTTACGTCAATTTTGTTCAACAGGATAGGGAGATATATCTTCATTGAACACTTTCACTCATGCATGGTCCTGCCTGAAATAACGTTTGTATAACTGACAAGGAAAGCGAATATTGATTTGATTGCAGATATAGAACTAGCATATGCATGAGCTTGTATATTTATATCAAAATGCCAATTCAACTGTGTGTACTTGTAAGGAGTTCATTACTAAAGCAAGTCTTGGGCGTGTCTCGGTTCATACGTGAAGTCCTACGACGTCGGTTACCACACACCTCTTTCCCATGTACTGAGAATAATGTAGAAATGTAAATGCGAACAATGTCGTTTCCGGATAAATCAGCCATTCTTTGGATATTACTCGTTTCGATTGGCTTTTCCAATTCACAAGGTATGTTCACTTTAGTTTACTGAAGATATCAAAGGAAATCACACGCATACAGACGTGTAATATGTATGTTTGATTTGATATGATGGTAATTCTCGAAACATACAAACAGCGGCTGCCAACTCTTACCTACTCGTTAATATTGCTTTGGCTACCAGAAAAAACACACGAACTGTTCAATGCCAAAAAAACCAAACACTCACGACTTTGTGGTTTGGTACATAACAGAGGCAGGGAATGGCGGCGCAGCGGAATTCGATGCCTTGGTGAATAATATACTTAACATACTTAATCTAATACTTGGTGATATAAACAGTGTAATAGATCATGTCATTCTCTGTATCTGGGTAATAAGCATGACACTATATGAGCTGCCGCCCTTGACTTCAATCGCTACATTTGTAGATTATTAAATTCAGGTTTACCTAAGCTTGAATTAACACGTCCAATTTTAATTCTGGAAACCCAATAGTCCAGAAACTCTACGGTCTTTGCTCAGTCTCGGTCAAAGGTATTTACAAAATTAAACATACTGTTTTCATGGGAACATACCAAGGAAGAAAAATTGAAAAACAAATTGTTAAAAAACTCAATATTTACACAATGTCGCCCATGGGCCTGCGAGAATATGTTTCTTTACTTAAAACTCTTGTTTTTGTTTCTCAAATACATAAATGTATTTCTTTTAACTTAATTCAACGATTCTATAGCGTTATTGAAATATTTCGACCATGGGGGAGAAAAAGGTTTTGCCCATGGGCCGGCCCTTTGCTCAAATTTCATGTTTTTGTTTCGCAAATACATACAGATGTTCTTATAAGTATCATGACGCAAAATTAAACTCATTTTAACTTAATTCAACGATTTTACAGCAATATTGAAATATTTCGCCCATGGGCGAGAAAAATTATTGGCCCATGGGCGAGAATATTTTCTTTTGCTCAAAACTCATGGTTTTGTTTCGCAAATACATACAGATGTTCTTACAAGTATCATGACACATAAAGTAACTCATTTTAACTTAATTCAACGTTTTTATAGCGTTATTGAAATATTTCGCCCATGGGCGAGAAAAGGTTTTGCCCATGGGCGAGAATATATTCTTTTGCTCAAAACTCATGGTTTTGTTCCGGAAATACATACAGATGTTCTTACAAGTATCATGACACATAATGTAACTCATTTTAACTTAATTCAACGATTTTATAGCGTTATTGAAATATTTCGCCAATGGGCGAGAAAAGGTTTGGCCCATGGGCGAGAATATTTTCCTTTGCTCAAATCCTGTGTTTTAGTGTCGCAAATACATAAAGGTGTTCTTAGAAGTTTCATGTCACATAATTTAATTTATTTTAACTCAATCGAACTATTTTATAGCGTTATTGAAATATTTCGCCCATGGGCGAGAATATTTCCTTTAGCTCAAAACTCGTGGTTTTGTTTCGCAAATACATAAAGGTGTTCTTAGAAGTTTCATGAAATACAATTTAACTCATTTTAACTTAATTCAACTATTTTATGGCGTTATTAAAATATTTCGCCCATGTTTTCGTCCCTTTAAAGCATCAACTAATTGTGTACAAAGTATATTGTATCATGTGAACATTACCATGGCAGTTAGTAAAGCCAGAAGTTGATCTATCATTAACTAAACTAAAGAAATCTGAAACAAATCAACTTATTTATCAACAATAATGTAATGAATTAAAAACCTCATATTATACTTACAAATCTATATTTACAGATGGATCCAAGGATAGTGAAGCTGTTGCCAGCACCACTGTCATTGGATCCAGGACTATCTCCTCCAGGTTACCCGATAATAGTTCTATTTTCACAGCAGAGGCCAATGCCATTTTAACAGCCTTACAATATATTAGTAAACAGTCAAAATATTAGAAGTTTATCGTGTTTTCCGATTCTCTTTCTTGCCTGCAGGCCATTCATAACTTATCATGTCAACTTCCAATTTTAATCAAAATTATTGAATTATCTAATGAACTTGCTACTGGACATTACGACATCGTCTTTTTTTGGTTACCCAGCCATGTTGGAATCATTGGTAACACAATGGCTGATGCTGCAGCTAAAGCAGCACTCAACAAATCTGTGACACCACTTTTGCTCCCATACACTGATTACAAGCCAGTGATAAGATCCTATATCCGTGATCTGATGCAAAAGAAGTGGGACACTTAAGTAGGTATCAATAAATTACATGAAATAAAACCAAATATTGGTTACACCTACTTGGGATGTCAGTCCAGATTTGAAGAGATCATAATACGACGATGTCGTATTGGCAATAGCAGGTATACACATGAATATTTGTTGAAAGGTGAGGATCCTCCATTTTGTATCCCTTGTGATGAGAGAATCACGGTCAAGCATATCCTGCTTGACTGTATTGATTTTGCCACCACAAGGGATAACTTTTTCAAAGTTTCATTCTTCAAGGATCTTTTTAATCATAAATCTCATTTAATCTTCGGTTTTTCAAAGGAAATTGAATAATAACATAAAGGAAAACTTGAGTGAATATTGTGACACGAAAGCAACTTTTACCATTTTCATACCAAAACTGGCAAAGCATTTAAAAGTTGCTTTCATTTCACAATATTCACTCACGTTTTCCTCAATCGCACTGAAACATAATTTCCATTAGTCAGTTCGACACCGCAATAGTTGAATTAAGTTAGGATGAATTGAATAATGTATCATGCTTATAACACATTTATGTATTTGCGAAACTAAAACTGTTGATCAAAGGAAAATATTTTCTTTTGTTCAAAACTCATGGTTTTGTTTCGCAAATACATAAATGTATTTCTTTCAAGTATCATTAAACAAAATTTAGCTCATTTTAACTTCATTCAACGATTTTATAGCGATATTGAAATATTTCGCCCATTGACGAGAATATTTTCCTTTTCTCAAAACTCATGTTTTTGTTTCGCAAATACATAATTGTATTTCTTTCAAGTATCATGACACAAAATTCAACGATTTTATAGCTATATTGAAATATTTCGCCCATGGGCGAGAAAAAGGTTTGCCCCATGGGCGAGAATACTTTCCTTTTCTCAAAACTCATGGTTTTGTATCGCAAATACATAAATGTCTTTCTTTCAAGTATCATAGCACAAAATTTAACTCATTTTAACTTAATTCAACGATTTTATAGCGTTATTGAAATATTTCGCCCGGCAGGCCCATGGGCCACACTTCGCATGGTGTAAATATTGGTTTTTTGAACATTTGTTTTTCATTTCTTCCTTGTTATGTTCCCATGAAAACAGCATGTTTAATTTTGTAAATACCTTTGAACGATTCTGGGCAAAGACCGTAGAGTATGTGGACTATTTGGTTGCCAGAATCAAAATTGGACGTGTTCTGTCATGAACGCCAACGGATATTATTCCGTCACCTTGGTGAGGTCCTTATGTGGTCCTCGTTAGTTTGAATCCATTAACCACCAATATCGTGCTTTTAAGACGATTACTCTCACGGACGTCAACGGACATTATTCCGAAACCATCAATCGTTGATCCGGTATATTTGGGATTTCAATGATCTCTTGAAATATATATTTAATGTCCAAAACTGGCTCTCCCAGGATATATGCTCATTTGAGATCAATCTGTAACCCCTTGAAAATATTGTTTTCCTGATACAGCCCTTGGGCGATTAGCATAAATTTTAAATGTTCAAATCTAACCTAGGTGAATCCATCTTAGTCGACATTTGATTCAAAAACACATTTTCTCTCGGTTCATTCAATCCGTGCCACGACATTACAGACAAATTCCGAAATCCTATTAGGTTAGTGATTATGTGATTGTGATGAAGGCAAAAAAGATTCCATAGTGACGCCATAGATAGTAACTTTACAACATGACACTGTGACGCTATAAGGAAAGTAAACAACTCTCTCGACTGCCGGCATTTCTCAACAGCTGAAATTCTTGACCAGCTACAGCTACGGCTAAATCAGGCATTAGTCCGGGCTAGTACAAACATCAATCGCCACCCCTGTTACATGAAAATGAAACAAACCCAAGCGAAATGAAAACATCAGTTTGAACCGATATAAAGTAAACGATACAGTGATGACACAACGGTCAAGACCGAAACAGAGAGATGAACTGTCAATGTTCAGTAGGCTACTATGATCATCATACCGTACCACCTGATCATAATAACAAGTAATTTCTGTAAACCGTACATGTATGCCTTTCAGAACTAGCGGTGTAGTTCGGTTTCAATATATCTTGCAAAATGTTATTATTTATCTTACTTGTGTGTGTGTATTACAACATAAACGATGTATGAAAAAAAACAAAAGCCTTATTTCCATTGTCTCGTCTCGATGGAGTAAATGTAAAATGCATAGTGAAATACGACATTGTCGTGGCCGTCTCCTGACCCCCTTCCCCGTGAATTTACAAAAGATTGACGCAAAAGGTCCTATTTTGAGGAGCAACTAGCTGGAAATAACATCGAGCGGCGAAATTGATGAATAAGTCGCAGCGATTATTTATTTGACCCTTGCTGAGAGAAAATGACAATGTTCATGAATTCGATTTTCAGCGATTTACAGGGAATGTCGGTGTTAAAGTGCAATCGCTGGTTGCGCATGGTTTTCGAATGAATTCGAATTATACGCGACCAAGATCAATTTGAAAATGAATTCAATTCAAAGGAAAAGCCCCCAAAATTCTGATCATGGGACACAGATGTTTCTAAAGCGCCATGATTGTGTGTTTCGCCAAAGTAGTAAACGTCTTAAACCTGCATCACATCGAGTTTTCCTCCCACATTTAGTTGTTATGCTGTGACTGCTTGTATATTCACTACAGGTGATAATGGAGGTTTTTTGGAGTGGACGAATTGGACAGACCCTCCTTGTGGGAAAACGTGTGGACAAAGTGTTACCAAACTAGTCTACAGAAACAGGCAGTGTACATCCACGCCGGCTGATTGTTCAGGGTCGTTCCTTGAGACTAAGGAGACAATCTGCAGTATTCCAAGATGTCCAGGTAAGCATTCGTATTTATAACAATCCCAACTTTCTCGTACGACAGCATTGCTCCTCGTGAAGTTCTAAATAATGACAATCTACCATGAGCGAGTCCGTGGGCCGTTTACTGCTGACTAAATGAACTTATGTTGAACAGCACTTTCATGATTTGCACCATTGTAAAACGCCGCAGCGACGTGGGGAACTGTCAGTTATCAGCAAGGCTGCCAGAAACTATAATGAAATGTCTTGGAAAACTGTTATTATTCTTGTACATATTTATTTCATGTCAACCTAAAATCAGTCAAACATAATCAACACATAGGCAGTAACGCAATAACTACACCTGAAAAATGTAGTTGTGTAACTTGTCTGAAAGATATGTTACTTCAAGAAACTACAAGTGTCAATTTCACTGATGTATGAATTCTGTAAATATATATGTTTTCTCGGAAACCTAGACTAAGTCTGTCTTACTAAAACAAAGACATTGCGGTACTACACAAAGAGCTTTGAGTTTTACACAGGATGATGCAGTTGTATAAAGAGATAGTCCTTCGCAATGAAACCTTGACTCTTAAATCCATGCCGTGACCTCAATTATCGCCCCACACATTTCATATAATTATGTTATTTGGTTCAACTAGTCTGTCCACATTCCTCATTGGAATGCCACCGAACTTTGCGGCGAAAACGCTGATGCAGTTTCCAGCCCGGAAATGGCTCGTGAGTGGCACATCGAACACACATAGAGCGGTGCGATTCTCCTGCCTACAAATGACGCGTCTTGGGCGCCAATTCGATCATGACTTGTCCCCCGTGGCAGAGGAATATTATATGATGGAGACCAATTTAATGCATATGCATTTTCCGTTAAGATTGAGTGAGTGAGTTGGATGTAACGCCGCTTTTAACATTATTCCAGTTATATCACGGCGTGTCGGTTTAATGTTGGAGGAAAGCCCGAAGTGATGCAGCTCTCAGACATTTACCACTTCGGTGAAACCAGGCAGTGTCAATTGACGCCGCTTTAATTGTACAGGGCCGTACGTTGAGACGAAGGAGACACCCTGCACTATTCCAACATGTCCAGATAAATAATTGGTATTTATAACAATCTCAACTTTCTTGTACGATAGCACTGCTCCTTGTGAAGTTCTAAAAAGAGCCAATCAACGCATGAGCGAGTTCGCATATCATTGACTTCTAAATTTATGAACTTATGTTGAACAGCACGCACTAGATTTGCTACATTGTAAAATGCCGCAACGACTTTGAGAACTAACAATTAATATTATTCTTGTCCATATTTATTCAACGTCAATCTAAAATCAGTGAAACATAATAAACACATACGTAATAACACAATAACTGCACCTGGAACACAAAGTTATATAATTACTTTTCGGAAAGATATTTTACCTGAAGAAACTACAGTTGTCATTTTCACTGATGTATAAATTCTGAAACAAAACAATTATGTTTTCTTTGTTGAAAACTTCTAACCTGAACAGATTCATTCGGAACTGAACAAAGATATTTGAATTTACACTGGATGATACAATTGTATGAAGAGATATTCTTTTGAAATTAAACCCTTACTCTGAATTCCGTGCTGTGACCTACCTCACTTATCGCCTCACACATCTTTCATAATCATGTTAGTTTGTTCAAATAGTCTGTCCACATTCCTCATTGGAATGCCTTCGAATTTTGCAGCGAAAACATTGTAACCATGTCGGGAATCGAACCCGGGTCTTCTGCGTGACGAGCGAATGCTTTAACCACTAGGCTACCCAACCGCCCCTCATAAGTAACGAAAATGCATGAGTTTAAATAAGTTTTGGAGAACTTTTTCCAAGTATCAGTTAATCTGACATACAGCATATTGCGAAAATATCATATGGTTTGGAGTTAGACTCCAAGTTTTTATTTTTATTTTTATTTTGTGATATTACATAGATCTTGAAATATGCCTCTTTTCACCTAGCAGTAAATGGGTACCCAGTCGGATAAGATGGCAGTGTGACTGTTAACCTTCTAGCGCCTCAAAGGCAACCTAGATTGCATCCTTTCCAGGGGGTTGAGAATGATTATTACCTTTGGATTTGTCTCGAGAGTCTCCAGACTTACTTAAGAAAACAAATGACGCCACACATCGTTTGATGACGTCACTGCAGCGGCATGTATAATTCAAGTTGATGATACACGCAACTCAATGATATTTAGGTCAAAAGTCATGAAACTGTACTTAGATCATTGTAAGGTAACTTCATTTGATTAATGCGTGTGGAAGTCAAGTTCGCTGACTTAGTTGATGCGTGTCATCTTATCCAAATTGCGTGGATCTATGCACTTGATATCATTGGGTTGTCTTGTTTACAGACCTCTGTCATATAGCTGGCATATTGCTGAATTCGGCGTTAAACAACAAACAAAAGTTATGTCATTATGATTTCTTGTAAGTATATAAAATTGCTATATATCTCCTATAGTAAATGGAGGATTCTCCGAGTGGGGGATGTGGGTCAGTGGTACATGTTCAGCCACATGTCAAGGCACGCTGACGCTCACCAGGACCAGAAGCTGTACCAATCCCAGCCCTCTATTTAATGGAGCTCAATGTCAAGGACCACTTCAAGACACTCAACAAAGATCCTGCGGGGACGAGAGGTGCCCAGGTATGTTACGTCCCTCACATCTTACATGCAAGTACCACATTGAAGTTTGGTTCTCAATAACAATTTTTTCTGTTGTAATGAAACTAAAAATAGTTTGTTTCTTCAGATACACTTTTTGGCTGATGTTCTTCTCATGTGATTATGGTAACTTGCTGATTACTTACCGCATTGAGTAAACGCTGACATACCATGAATTCAATTTACAAATCCTGTCACAGGTTTCGTAAATTCTGTACGATCCACAGGTGGCCGCTCGGCAAACTTGACTCGTGAGGGTTCTTGGGCTTCGGCCTTGCCCTACACATGGTGCCTGCTTAGGGATGTTACTTTGTTCGAAATATGTCTCTGCTCAACCAGCAGTGAATGGGTACCCGATGCGAAGAGATTGTAATGAGACTTAAAAACATTTTAAAAGTGAGGTCCTTGTATGATAACCATTAGTACGGTCCGGCTTTCCAGGATATTACTTTCATGAACGTCAACGGATATTATTCCGTAACCTTCAATCGTTGATCTGATGGGAATAGATTGTAATGAGACTTAAACGCATTTAAAAAAAGTGAGGTCCTTGTATGTTACTCGTCAGTACGGTCTCATTAAACACCGAAATCCGGCTTTCCAGGATATTACTGTCATGAACGCCAACGGTTATTATTCCGTTACCTTCAATCGTTGATCCGATGGGATGAAATTGTAATTAAACTTGAAAGCATTTAAGCACCTCACAAGGTGAGGTCCTTATGTGGTCCTCGTTAGTTCGAATCCATTTACCACCGATATTGTGCTTTCAGACGTCAACATTATTCCGAAACCATCAATCGTTGATCCGGTATATTTGGGATTTCAATGATCTCTTGAAATATATATTTAATGTCCAAAACTGGCTCTCCCAGGATATATGCTCATTTGAGATCAATCTGTAACTCCTTGAAAATATTGTTTTCCTGATACAGCCCTTGGGCGATTAGGATAATTGTTCAATGTTCAAATCTAACATAGGTGAATCCATCTTATAAATTAGTCGACTTTTCTTTTAAAGAACACATTTTCTCTCGGTTCACTCAATCCGTGAAACGACATTACAGACAAATTCCGAAATCATATTAGGTTAGCGATTATGTGATTGTGATCAAGGCAAAATAGGTTCCATAGTGACTCCATAGATAGTAACTCTCTCGACTGCCAGCATTTCTCAACAGCTTAAATTCTTGACCATGTTGCCATTTTAACAAGAGAAAGGCGTTTCCTTATAATTTGCGTTATGAATTATAAATATAAATACACATTTAAATATAATATATATGCATTGATTAGGTGGTGAATGGTCATATATGTATTGTATAGCTACATGTATAGAAAAGATACTGGCCGCAAAAGTTTGAGCCGAATAAATATACTGCATTGTGGGATTCAAACTGCGACTTTGTATTAAACGGGTAAGAACAATAGATCCGCTATTAGTCCGAGCTAGTGCAAACATCAATCGCCACCCTCAGTCCCAAACCCCAACCCCAACAAAAACGTGCATGCACGTCGCTATAATCATGAACGCAACCCAATTTCACTTCACCTCACACAACTGATATACAGACATAAACATTCTTATTCACAATAGTTTATCTGTTACATGGAAATGAAACAAACCCAAGCGAAATGAAAACATCAGTTTGAACCGATATAAAGTAAACGATACGGTGATGACACCGCGGCCAAGACCGAAACAGAGAGATGAACTGTCAATGTTCAGTAGGCTACTGTGATCGTCATACCGTACCACCTGATCATAATAACAAGTAATTTCTGTAAACCGTACATGTATGCCTTTCAGAACAAGCGGTGTATTTCGGTTTCAATATATCTTGCAAAATGTCATTATTTATCTTACTTGTGTGTGTGTATTACAACATAAACGATGTAAGAAAACCCCCAAAAGCCTTATTTCCAATGTAAATGCATAGGGAAATGCAACGTTGTCGTGGCCATCTCCTGACCTCCTTCCCCATAAATTTACAAAAGATTGACGCAAAAGGAAAAGGTCCCATTTTGACGAGCAACTAGCCGTAAATAGCAACGAGCGGCGAAATTGATGAAGAACCCAGCGATGATCTTTTGACCCTCGCTGAGAGGAAATGACAATGTTCACGAATTCAGCGATTTACGGGAAATGTCGGTGTGAAAGTGATCATGAGAATCGATGGTGAAATCGCTGGTTGCCCATGGTTTTCGAATTTATTCGAATTATTCGCGACAAAGATCAATTTGAAAATGAATACAATTCAAAGAAAAGCCCCAAAAATTCTGATCGTGGGACACGGGTGTTTCTAAGGCGCCATGATTGTGTGTTTCGCCAAAGTGGTAAACGTCTTAGACCTGCATCACATCGTGTTTTCCTCCCACATCTAGTTGTTATGCTGTGAATTTTGACTGCTTGTATATTCACTACAGGTGATAGTGGAGGTTTTTCGGAGTGGACGAATTGGACAGACCCTCCTTGTGGGAAAACGTGTGGACAAGGTGTTACCAAACTAGTCTACAGAAACAGGCAGTGTACATCCACGCCGGCTGATTGTTCAGGGTCGTTCCTTGAGACTAAGGAGACAATCTGCAGTATTCCAAGATGTCCAGGTAAGCATTCGTATTTATAACGATCCCAACTTTCTCGTACGACAGCATTGCTCCTCGTGAAGTTCTAAATAATGACAATCTACCATGAGCGAGTTCGTGGGCCGTTTACTGCTGACTTAATGAACTTATGTTGAACAGCACTTTCATGATTTGCACCATTGTAAAACGCCGCAAAGTCGTGGGGAACTGTCAGTTGTCAGCAAGGCTGCCAGAAACTATAATGAAATGTTTTGGGAAATGGTTATTATTCTTTTACATATTTATTTCATGTCAACCTAAAATCAGTCAAACATAGTCAACACATAGGCAGTAACAGAATAACTACACCTGAAAAATGTAGTTATATTACTTGTCTGAAAGATATGTTTCTTCAAGAAACTACAAGTGTCAATTTCACTGATGTATGAATTCTGTAAATATATATGTTTTCTCGGAAACGTAGATTAATTTCTAAGCCCCATTCACACGGACACTTTTACTTACGTTAGTATATATACTTACATAAGTAAATTTACTTATGGTGGCATGTGAACGCATATGCTTTCGTGAGTAAATATATTCCAGGAGTAGAGAGACATGAGTTAAAGTATATTTGCTACACCTGATGAGGTCTAGTAAAAGTATATTCAATCATAAATATAAATGCTCCTCGAGTATTTCTGGTCATGTGAACAGAATCTCTATTTGATTACGTAAGCATATTAAATCCTTGTGATCTAGCTCCAATGGTTCCCTCATATACATTTCCTGTGCAGGAAAATACAGCTGTAGTTCCTTGCAAAGAACATAAAATGTTTCGCGAGTCATGCGAAAGTTATCGATCCACAGTTTATCATCAAATGATCGCTTGTCGACATTGTTCCACCAGTGTTGAGAACGTTCTCTCTTCCACAGTTCTTTGCTGGCATAATCCTAAGACTAATCCCATAGTAAGAAAGTATGGAAAGTCTCTCTTTCGCCTCTGGTTGACTATCTTCGACAGCGACATGGCCTCAAATGATAAAAGTCCACAATATATTTATGAAATGATGTTTACTTCTGCCTTGCATAAACTTCATGTGAACGCAATGTAAATATACTTTTGCTTACATGAGTAAATTTTGTCCATGTGAATGGGGCTTTAGTCTATCTAACCTAAACAAAGTCATTGCGTTACTACACAAAGACTTTGAGTTTTACACAGGATGATGCAGTTGTATAAAGAGATAGTCCTTCGCAATGAAACCTTGACTCTGAAATCCATGCTGTGACCTCAATTATCGCCCCACATATCTGATGTAATTATGTTATTTGGTTTCACTAATCTGTCCACATTCCTCATTGGAATGCCACCGAACTTTGCGGCGAAAACACTGATGCAGTTTTCAGCCCGGAAATGGCTTGTGACTGGCACATATAGCGCACACAGAGCGGTGCGATTCTCCTGCCTACAAATGGCGCGCCTTGGGAGAATATTATTTGATGGAGTCCCATTTAATGCATATGCATTTTTAGTTGAGAGTGAGTGAGTTGGATTTAACGCCACTTTTAAAATTATTCGAGTTACATGTATATCACGGCGTGTAAGCTTAATGTGTGATGAAAGCCCAAAGTGATGCAGGTCTCAGACGTTTGCCTGCGAGCACGGGTATGGTGCTGACAAACCTAGAAACATAATCGGGCCAAACCGGGATTCGAACCCACAATCATAGGTTTCTGGCGTGCCTAGGGGACGCAACTCTGCACAGCGAATCGCGGCGTCTTAGACGACTGTGCCACCCGTGCCCCCATTAGTAAGGAAGAGTATGACAGACGTTTAGGAGAATTTGTTCCAAATACCAGTTAATCTGATATACAGCTATCGCGAAATACCTTATAGTTTTGATGAAGTTTCAAAGTTGTTTTTTTTATTTCGTGATATGATATATAATTTTAAATATGCATGTTTACACCCAGCAGTATATTGGTACCAAGTCGGATAAATCACTCTTGTTACGGTTACCGAATACACACACACACACACACACACACACACACACACACACACACACACACACACACACACACACACACACATATATATATATATATATATATAAATATATATATAAATACGATATTCGTGTAGCCTCGTTGAATGACACTATTTAAGTTTTGGACTGGGAATGAAAATGATGCATCTCAAGAAAATGTTTTATATGAAGTGAAATGTTCCAAATCCAGTGTAATAACGTTATTCAACAGATCAGATTATCCAAGTTATCCAAGCAAAAGACGAATCACCAGCTGTGTTTAATATAATCAACAACAAAAATTCCTGTGACACCAATATTTTAGTGGAGTTTTCAAAACAAGTAAAGTTTGGTTTTGAGTATTGTAGTACATGTACGGAATCAAGTCACAAAAACGCAACTGCTGCAGAAAAGCATGCATTCCATGCAAAAGTTGCCTTTTATGCAAGCCCCATGCATTTCACTTCTTAAGAATGGGTAAAAGACATGTGCGTTAACGGGATTCCATATGCATTGTTTTGCTGTTGTCTTGCTGACAACAACCACTCAGAAAAACAACAAAATGACGCAATTATTCAATATTACGAAATGCCACGCCTGTCCGAAAACGAGCGTCTGCGAGCCACTGGTATGCTTGAAGCAGGATCGAGTCAACGTGATGTTGCAAGACAATTTAACGTCCACAGAAACACCATTTTGTATTTATGGCAACGTTGGCAACAGAAAAATGCAGTCAGAGACCATCCTCGGAGTGACAGGCAACGCGTAACCAATAATCGACAAGACAACTGGATTCGAACAACACACCTACGGAATCGATCCCAGACAGCAACAGTGACTGCAAGAAGCATCCCTGGCTTTCAACGAATATCTTCACCAACCGTACGTCGCCGCCTCAGATGTGCAGGGATTGTCGCCAGAAGACCCGCCAAACGTCCCATTTGACAGGAAACCATCGTCAAGCACGTCTACAGTGGTGCAGACAGCGTCTACGCTGGACGGTCATGCAGTGGGGACAAGTTCCATTCACTGTCGAGTCTCGTTTTCACCTCAGCCACAGCTATGGACAGATTCGAGTGTACCGACGTCGAGATGAACGTTACGTCAATGATTGTGTCATGGAAGAAGATCGGTTCGGGGGCGGCAGCGTTATGGTATTGGGTTGGATTACAGCAAACAGAGGACCCGTTTGATAGTGGTAGAGGGAAATCTCAATGGACAACGCTACCGCGACGAGATCATCGACCCTGCTGTTCTACCGTTTTTACGTCGTCATGGCCAAGGCATTACCTTTCAACATGACAACGCCCGACCTTCTATTGCTCGACATGTTCGGGATTATCTTCAACAAAACAACGTGAATGTCATCCCCTTGCCGGCTCGCTCCCCTGATCTCTCACCAATCGAGCACATGTGAGATGAGATGGATATGCGTCTTCCACGTCAACCACATGTTCCACAGACACTCCAGGAACTTTGAAACATGCTCCAGCAGATATGGACAGATATCCCACAGGACTTTGTGCGACGCCTGGTCCATTCCCTGAGACGAAGATGTGTTGCTTGCATCGCGGCCAGAGGTGGACACACACGCTATTGATTTGTGAATTGACATTTTGGCATGTTCATGTTATTTTATGAAATCACGCATTTTCTGAAGTCAGTATGGCAAATTAAACCACTTAAACACTTACAGGAGTATTTTATCTGTTGCAAACCGAAATTGTTTCAGATTTGGTAAAAAACATAACTTTGCATTAAATCTTATTCAATGTCACAGGAAGTTTTGTTGTTCAGTATATATATTTCCTCATCCAGACATTAGCCCGTCCTATAATTTAGGGTGTGATTCCAATATAATTCAGATTGACAGAAAGAGACTTGGGTTCCACACAGTGTACACATGTTGAGAATCGAACCGGAGTGTTCAGCGTGACGAACGAACATTTCTACGTAGAACTTCCTATCTCCTACGTTTGACTTCCTATCTCCTACGTAGGAGACGTAGGAGATACTAAGTCCTACGTAGGAGTTAGTTATTCTAGTCCATACTAAGTCCTACGTAGGATATACTAAGTCCTACGTAGGAGATAGTAAGTCCTACGTAGGTGGTAGTAAGTCCCCCCCCCCCACACACACACACCGAGTCAATCCGAACCGAGATAATGCAGAATTTTGGGAGCAGAATTTTTTCACACCATTTAAAATGCTTAATTTATCCTCTTTCAACAGTTAACGGCGGCATCAGTAAGTGGACAAGTTGGAATACATACTCTTCTTGTTCTAAATCGTGTGGCACAAACGCACAAAGACGCAGAACAAGAACAAGAACCTGCACCAATCCTGTTCCAGCATTTGGAGGATTGTTCTGTGATTCCCCACTATTTGAAACAAAAACACAAACCTGTGTTCTCGCGCCCTGTCCAGGTAAGTAGGAATACATTTATTCATGTTTAAGTCGTTCCAGGAATTGTATGGTGGACACGTTACTTGTCAACATGATGCGCAATGGATTCCCATGCTTTGAGTTTTCACACTTCCTTACTCAACGGCGCATATTTAATGTCTTTGTCTTTGTTGGTTGTTTAACGCTGCACTCAGCAATATTCCAGCTATATGACGGCGGTCTGTAAATACCGAGTCTGGACATGACAATCCAGTGATTGACATCATGAGCATCGATCCACGCAATTGGGATCAATGACATGTATCAACCAAGTCAGCAAGCCTGACCACCCGATCCCGTTAGTCGCCTCTTATGGCAAGCGTATGTGTTGCTGAAGACCTTTTCTACCCCGGATCGTCACGGGTCGTCTATTTAATGAAATTGTGAACACGGAGACATGTGCACGCGATCAGGACATGCTTAATCCTATTTACGAACACCTGGTGATCAATCATACAATTTTATTTTCGCCCAATGGAATCATTTCGGCAGATATTCCAGACTGATTATTCTCCGGAGTTAACATTGGCTTGCAGAGAGGGACATTTCCATTAAATAATTATTACCTTCGTAATTTGTCTCGAGAGTCTCCAGATCCAAACCCCTTTCCTTAGGAAAACAAATGACGCCACACATCGTTTGATGACGTCCCTGCAGCGGCATGTATAATTCAAGTTGATGATACACGCAACTCAATATTATTCAGGTCAGAGGTCATGAAATTATACTTTGATCATTCTTAGGTAACTTCATTTGATTAATGAGTGTGGTAGTCAAGTTCGCTGACTTAGTTGATGCGTGTCATCTTATCCAAATTGCTCGGATCTATGCACATGGTATCAATGGGTTGTCTTTTTTCAGACCTCCGTTATAAAACTGGCATAATGCTGAATTCGGCGTTAAACAACAAACAAAAGTTACGTTAGGCATTGAGTAAACACTGATATACCATGAATTCAATTTACAAATCCTGTGACAGGTTTCGTCAATTCCGTACGATCCACAGGTGGCCGCTCTTGAGGGTTCTTGCCTTGCCCTACATATGGTGCCTGCTTATAGGGCTGTTACTTTGTTCGAAATATGTCTCTGCTTAACCAGCAGTGAATGGGTACCCGATGCGAAGAGATTGTAATGAGACTGAAAAAAACATTTTAAAAGTGAAGTCCTTGTATGATACTCATTAGTACGGTCCGGCTTTCCAGGATATTACTGTCATGAACGCCAACGGATAATATTCCGTTACCTTCAATCGTTGATCCGATGGGAAGAGATTGTAATGAGACTTAAACGCATTTTAAAAGTGAGGTCCTTGTATGTTACTCGTCAGTACGGTCACATTAAACACCGATATCCGGCTTTCCAGGATATTATGGCATGAACGCCAACGGATATTATTCCGTTACCTTTAATCGTTGATCCGATGGGATGAAATTGTAATGAAACTTAAAAGCAGTTAAGCACCTCACAAGGTGAGGTCCTTATGTGGTCCTCGTGCCTAGTTCGAATCCATTAACCACCGATATCGTGCTTTCAAGACACTTACTCTCATGGACGTCAACGGACATTATTCCGAAACCACCAATCGTTGATCCGGTATATTTGGATTTCAGTGATATCTTGAAATATATATTTGATGTCCAAAACTGGCTCTCCCAGGATATATGCTCATTTGAGATCAATTTGTAACTCCTTGAAAATATTGTTTTCCTGATACAGGCCTTGGGCGATTAGCAAAATAGTTCAATGTTCAAATCTAACATAGGTGAGTCCATATTAGTCGACTTTTGATTTAAAAAACACATTTTCTCTCGGTTCATTCAATCCGTGCCACGACATTACGAACAAATTCCGAAATCCTGTTAGGTTAGCGATGATATGATTGTGATGAAGGCAAAAAAGGTTCCATAGTGACGCCATAGTAGCGTGGTAGATATATTTAGCAAGTTGTGTAATAGTGTATTTACATTTAGAAGACATAAGATTTACAATTTTTTCATATGATGGATTAGCGTGAAAATATGTATCAATAAAATGTAAACGTAATGTTGAATATGAAGTACAAATAAGAAGGAAATGATATTCATTTTCAATGTAGTTGATGTCCAATTTTTGACATTGTTGGCAAAATCTTTTGTTTTCTTCTATATTGGTATGATGTCCAGTTTCGATAATAAGTTTATGGCAGCTGCATCGGAATCTTGTTAGGGTTTCTTTATAGATCTTCTTGTTTACTTTCTGAAGGTACATTTCTATGGTTAATACCGATTTGAAAGTCACCATATACAAACATATAAGTACCTTTCACGCTGGAAACATTGAAAGAAACTTCCGGCAATCATCAATACGATATAGAATTATATCACAAAGGTAACTATTGCTTGACGATGGTCCTGAATGTCTTTTAAAGTCATCCCAAAAGTTGAATATTGACGCTTGATTTTTTAAGTTATTTGTTCTTTTTCGGTTTCCAAATACACGTTCTTTACCAATCGTATCCTAAAATTAGATAATTTTCAAATTAAATGAATAGACAAGATCATATTTAGTGCTCTTTCTAACTGTTTATGAATTTTACACTCTTAACAACATTACTCAAACAGGTTCTATACTGTACGATTCCATTGGAAATACATATTTTTAGTAACGTAACTGAGACATTCGATTTCTTTGGAAATACATAGTTTGCAATTATTTTTCACTCAGAAATAGACTGACTTTTATTTTTTGCATTTGCTTGGTATATAATTGAATATAATACCCAGCCTTGTTTCACATTTATACGGGTATACATTTCAGATACAGTATTTGAATCTATTACTTCCCTTTGGGTCATCGTCCCCAAATTGTGAGATCGTTGCTCAATTTGTGTATGCAGGCTTTCGTGATGTAACAAGGATATTGCTGACTCAAAGAATATTAAATAAATTGCTGGTGATTCCACGGCATTACATTGCGGAACACGCAGGTTTGAGTACACATATTTCTATAAACCGAAAACGTTTGTTGGTCACGCCCACTAGAAGACTACGAATACTGTTTTATGATTGGCCGACAGGGTGGACGTTGGTTGTTGATTCATTGGACACTTTTCTATGTTGAAGTTCATAACCATACACAGAAGCACAAGTGAGCATCCGATAGCAATAACCAATCAATATGCGGTGATTAGTCTGTAATAGCCAGGAATAGCTAAGAATATTCAGGACATTATATATATAGGCAGAAGACATATAAACAGACAATAAAACAGAAGACAGTTATACAGACAGAAGACAATTGAACAGACAATCAGACATAAAACAATTAAACAGACACACATACAGAACACAATTAAACAGACACACATTATAAGCCACTCAATCCCACGCATTTTATACAACATGCACACACTACAGTACCCGTGCGTCTTTACTGGTCGGCCCAGTTCGTCATCTTTATATTTATTTCAAGCGACTTAATATCCATTCAGATATTTGTGTGTTGTCTATTTATACCGCCATGACGGAATAAATTATTGAACATGTCATGGAACACGGCACACCCAGAAACTTTTCACAATAGTTTGATGGGACAAATTTGATCTGTGAAGGTTATTGCCAAGTCGCTGCATGGCAGAATGCCTTAAACAACATCCGGGTCCAGGCTTAATAGCTTCACGCTCGAACGGTCATGACAGCTAGAATTGAATAAACTTGACTTTCAATGCTGTCTACGTAAAGAAAGGTGGTGGTGTGACAGTATTTCATTTATACCAAGGCGAGACGGATTGATGTGTGAGAGAAGCCCAACGTCATGCAGGTCAAAATCAGACATTTACCATTCATCATTTGGTCGACATGCATGGTCACAAGTCTTGACAGCGAATTGCGAACTGGACCACCCATGCATCCCCTGATAATGAAATTGCCATTTTAAACAAGAACAGCATCTTCACCTAAACTATCAGTGGAATTAACTTCATGAACATTAAAATAATGTGTCTTTTTCATAAGAACATATCTTATATACCAGCACCAGGAACAGGCACGACTGGATAATTGACATAGGAGGCTGCGTTTCCCTGTGGAGAGTTGCGTCACGTTGTGGGGCCAGGATGCGATGATCGTGGCTTCGAATTCCAGATTCGCCACGATTTTACCTCTCACAACCCGTGCTGGTTAGCCATGGCTTCGCCAAAGTTGTAAATGTCTAAGTCCTGGCAACACTTCACTTTTCACAACAGTAACCCGACACGCCATTGCATAACCCCAATACACTCACGACATCACAGCTCTTCAATGTATATAAAGTGATCTTTCACGTAAACTTTATATTGCGTACCAAAGGAAACACTGTTTACAATAACCACACACTGCAACCAGTATGAAAGTGTGAACCCATACCAACAAACAAACGTTGTCTGCCCCAAGCTGAAAAGCTCTGCCAACAATGACTTTTTATGCTTATCCTCCTGCCTATAGTATAACGTGACATGGTTGAATAGTTTTCGTTGGCATGTAGCACACATTTGGAGTACAGAGTACCGTCAACTTAGGATATAAGAATGCTCACAATGATGTTGTGATTTTCTGTGTACAGTCCTGAATAGCCAGAGCGTTTCTAACAGTCAACTCGAATAATCCTAACCTAACATGAGAGTAAACGAAGAACGACTTGGAATTCAGCTCTAGGAGGATAAGATGTGTATTTCCTGTACCATATAAACACACTGTATCTTATCGAAGATGCGAGACACACTACGACGAGTCTTATTCACTTTGGCTGTCTTGACAGTGATTCAGATCTCCTCTTCTCAAAGAAATGTGAATATGTTACGGACAATGAGTAAAATGACTGTGATTTTCACCAAGGCAATTTACAAAACGCAAAAATACAAATATCTTGCCATTTCCTGTATTATGATAACGAATTTAAAACTTTTTTATGTTTTATTTCATCACCCGGTGATAAAATTATAGGATTAAAAGAGTAAATGTATGTTTCATTTTTGTGGCTTCTAATACTACAATAGTTAATCGATTGTGATGTACAGACGTTTTGAATTCTTAATAACGTTTGGTCAATCTGATTAAAAAATGGTTGTTAAATGACTGAAATATCAATGACACAATGATGAATATGACCCTCGCTGAAAAGAAGTCACACGCTTCACGAATTCGTTTTTCAGCGATTTACGGCGAATGTCGTCGTAAAAGTGAGAATCAATGGAGATATTGGTGGTTATGCAATCGTATTTCGAAAGAATCTGCGGCGCAAAGTTATATTCGCAAAGTTATATTACTTTTCGGAAAGATATTTTACCTGAAGAAACTACAAGTGTCAATTTCACTGATGTATAAATTCTAAAACAAAACAGTTATGTTTTCTTTGTGGGAAACTTCTCACTTAAACAGATTCATTGCATTACTGAACAAAGATATTTGAATTTACACTGGATGATGCAATTGTAGGAAGAGATATTCCTTTGAAATTAAACCTTGACTCTGAATGCCGTGCTGTGACCTCACTTATCGCCTCACACATCTTTCATAATCATGTTAGTTTGTTCAAATAGTCTGTCCACATTCCTCATTGGAATGCCTTCGAATTTTGCAGTGAAAACATTAATGCAGTTTTCCGCCCGGTTTTCAGCAAATTGAGCGTTGCGATTCTCCTGGCTACAAATAACGCGTCACACATTGTACTCATGTCGGGAAACGAACCCGGGTCTTCTGTTTGAACGCTTTAACCACTAGGCTACCCGACCTCCCCTTACAAGTAACGAAAATGCATGAGTTTGACATAAGTTTTGGAGAATTTGTTCCAAATACCAGTTAATCTGATATCTGACATACAGCATATTTAAAATGTTTTAAAGATTTGTATATATATTTTGTCATATTACATAGATGTTGAAATATGCCTCTTTTCACCTAGCAGTAAATGGGTACCCAGTCGGCTAAGATGGAAGTGTGACTGTTAACCTTTTAGCGCCTCAAAGGCAGCCTAGATTGCATAGATTTCTAGGAATCGAACCTTCTGATCCTTGAATTATCCTCGAGGGTTTTTGTTTGCTTATTGTTCAACGCCGCACTCAGCAATATTCCAGCTATATGACGGCGGTCTTTAAATAATCGAGTCTGGGCCAGACAATCCGGCGATTGACGCCATGTGTATCGATCCACGCATTTCCGGATCCCGTAAGTGGCCTTTTACGGCAAGCATGGGTTGCTGAAGACCTATTCTAACCCGGATCTTCACGTGTCTCGAGGGAGAGATGATCACGAAATGGTGTGAACATCAGTCAACACCTTGAGTAAATATTTTTAAGGTAAATGTTAAACATGAAATCAAGATATTATTAAGTACGTTTTTAACTATTTAAAAAAATATTGTATATTGATATTTTGTATGCACTAGCTTATGAACAAATGTATCTTTGTTTGCTATCGTAAATCGAAGATGCAGTTTGAGTTCCATGTTGATATATTTCCACACACCACTCATTCCTTTTAAGATGGCATAATCAATGGAACCTATGGAGAGTGGGGCCCATGGGCTTCGGATCAATGTTTACTAACCTGTGGAGTCAAGGTTCAGACAGTAGAAAGGAGAAATAGATCCTGTGATAGCCCGGCACAACAAAATGGGGGATTGCCTTGTCAAGGGCCGTCTACCGAGGCACGACAAATTGATTGCGTGGGTGTTGTACCTTGCCCAGGTAGGTTTTACTTGTCTTTTAATGGCAGTGTTACATTAATATATATATTAAACAGGATTTACATGAACTAGAAACAGATATGTCTGTTTTTTTGTAGAAAATTGTGAAACCGGTTGAGTAAATTATACAGCTCAACTTTGGACTATTTTATTATATATATATATATACCTACATGTTATATGAGCTGTTAAGTGCCCAGTGATATATTTTCAAGATGACGTAGTTGATGGTGGTTATGGAGAATGGAGCCAGTGGGCTGGAGCGACGTGCACAAATACTTGTGGAGTCGGAGTTACCGTAAATATTTGGAGAAACAGGTCATGTGACAGTCCTTCACCACAAAATGGTGGTCTTCCATGCAGTGGTACCAACTCTGAAACAACATCCATGGAGTGTCCCATACCCCCGTGTCCAGGTAATGTAGCTGATAAATATTCTACTCAGTACTAACGTACTTCGTTAGGGTTTACCAATCAGTTGGTGTATTTTGACTTCCGTTGATTATGCAAATAAAAAATACAAAAATAACCTTGATTGCAACAAAACTATTATATCACACGTTCTGAAGAATATTTGAGCATTAGTTTTCTTTGTGATATTATAATTTTACTGCTGATAATTTTTTTATAATTTTTTATTTTTTCAATCATTTTACATTTATTTGATAAAATGTGACATTCCAGTACATAGTTGATTAATCATCTAAATAGATGATGGCAAGTTGACCAAAATTTATAGAATAGGCCAATGTCACACTCAGTAATCGCTGAACATTTAGTAAGGTTGTAGTAGTTTCTTATTTCGTTCTGAAAGACTTGAAAAGACGGGAGTCTCTTATTTAACTTACTTTTAAATGTAAGGTATACTGCTGATAATGTTCAGAATGTAATACCTATTTGCGATAAATGAGCTTTTGAAACCTGTGACTTTCCCTTTTAAGATGATGTCGTTGATGGCGGTTACAGCCAATGGGGCCAGTGGATTGCTGATCCATGCCCTGAAACTTGTGGAGTGCAGATTAGAAGGCTGCTAAACAGATATAGGCCTTGTGATAGCCCTGTGCCATTTAATGGTGGAAAGCGCTGTGAAGGTTCCTATTATCAACAAAAGTTTGAAGTATGTGAAGGCATTCCTCCATGTCCAGGTAAAACAATAATATTTTGCTCACTAACACCTATTACAAATATAGGTATTATTATCTCGATTTTTAAATCAACTAGGATTGAGTTCAAAATTTAAAGTGTTATAGATCATTGCATTGGAACGTATTTCTGTCAAATCATATATTCTTGATACATGCAGTCATGATCGGTGTCGAATATGTTGAAAGCACGCATGTGTTCTGTTTTATATATGGTATCCACCGCACACGCATTTTACAAAGCATTTTCTTAGAAGGGGAGATAAAAACGTTTTTACATAACTTGACACACACTATTCTTTAATATCATAACGTAAAATCGTGTTCTTTTTAAACGTTTATATTTATGTGTACTCTCCAAAAAGGCAGGCGTATTCGAAAATAATAGACGAGTACTGAAAGACAAAGAGGCGTCGAGTGATTGTAATGGATGACTAAGGAAAGGGAAGGACAAGGTAGTTGATTACGTGCACGCTGGGGATAAGGATTATTGCCTTGAAAAACAAAACGTGAACCAGCATGGCGGGCAAACGGCACAACTATTGGCACCAGTATGTTGTCTCTGGAGTAATCCTTCCAAGAACAATATGCAGTGGCGTTGTGGCAATCATGGTGATCCCGCCGCATATCATTACAGACCTACCCCCAATTCTGTCATGTTTCTTACGTTCACGTTCGCATGACTTTCGTTAAAGACACATCAACATATGTCTAGAAAGTCCAGCGTGAATCTGGACTATCTGAAAACATGACACGAGACCATCGGCGATTGCCCTGGTGTATATACTCCAAACTCCTAACATGTTTCAATGTTGCCGATTAGCTGCATGCTGACGATGGCGTATTGTCTGGTCAGAAACTTGAACTCTGGTGTCCTAGCACAGGTAAACAGCAACTTGATCGTGGACTTGTGTTGTTGACCTTGCGCACATTTTTTGTATGCAGAAAACTGTGCCAAAGTCTGCAAAAACTTGTTCCAAAGTTAGTTACTAAACGTTCACAGTGACATGTGGTTGTTGAAACTGTATATAATCAAGGGATCGACCGTTTTATACCTTGCATGGATGGCGAAAGAGGGCAACTGTACGTGTTCCAACAATAAGTATATTTAACACACCTTGGAGGATTCCCTGGGAGGAAAGTGTTGTGTATTTTCCAGTAAACAATCCCTCTTATCATGCGACCTCGTCATTGTACGAATGTTGGAAGCTAGTTTTTCTTTGTTTATAAAAAAACAAAACACAATCAGCCGATGCCACTTTAACATGTCACTGTGACATATAGATGTGTACATATTGAGTTAAAAGAGCACACTGTTTCTAACACTGTCTTTTGTTATCGATTTATTCGTCTTAGGTCAAGTCGTGAATGGCAGTTTCAGTCAGTGGAGTGAATGGACACAGATCATCTGCCCAAAGACTTGTGGAGTCGATGTGGAAACTTTACAGAGAAGGAGTAGGGCATGTGACAATCCTCCTTCATTCAATGGTGGGCTTCCATGTGACGGTTCAACTTCTCAGGAAAGAAATTGGAAATGCACGGATCTATCTCCATGCCCAGGTGCTGTAGCTCTGCTTTGTATACATTGAACTCTTTCCATGACTAAAATATGTAATCAGGAAAACGACATGGTTAAGTTAAACTTGACACGACAAATAAAAGACACCAATATTTGTTCCTGTACCACTGTATATTAAGGATATTGTGGATTAGAGTTCAGGTGAAGATGTACATATTACGATCATTAATAAACTAATTGTACAAACATATTGAAAGTTACAGGTAGGATACAAGAAAGAAGAATTTAGTATGTTTCTCTTGGCGGTGGATGTTGTGTGTTGTTTGTATAAACTGTTATAAGATATTCTGCGATTATGCATAATTGCAATTGAAATTGATCGTGAAAAGAAATGGAGATAATTACGCTTTTACGCGTACCCTTGTCTTGTCTATTTTAGTGACACTTTGGTATGTCTAAATTCCATCTCTTAACACTACCAACCTTATATACTTCCTTAGTTCATTAACTTTGGTTCTAATGTCACTGTTTAAATCCTAGAAACGATTGATGTAAATTTCACAGTTGATGGTGGAGTGTCAGAATGGGGAGAGTGGGACACTCCACGGTGTCCAACATGTGGGGAGAATGTTACGGGAGTATCATTAAGGCTGCGACAATGTGACAACCCAGTTCCGGCCAATGGTGGATCATTCTGCATTGAACCAGTGCAGGAGATCGTCGTCAGATCGTGTGAAGTCGCTCGTTGTCCAGGTATGTGTACTACTGTCAACTACCATGTAAATGGGGGAGGTCGGGGAGTCTAGTGGATAAAGCGCTCGCCTGACTCGCCGAAGACACTGGTTCGATTCCCGACATGGGTACAACGTGTGAAACCCATTTCTGGTGTCCCCCGCCGTGATATTGCTGGAATTCTGCTAACAGCGGCATACTCACTCACTCACTACCATGTAAATGCAAAATCGTAAACACAGAGTGTATTAGCAATAGCATAGAACGACGGAACCAAGCTGAACATTTCAATCATTGTTCAAAGTATATAGATTAACAAATTAACAAAGATTCCAGCCAATGAGATTTTGTTTGCCATTAAAAGCTTCGGTTTCACTTTGTAAAAATATGCCAGTTTGCATTTTATTTAAATTATTCGATATTAAGATGAAACCCTTCTTCTTTAGGGTGTGAAGATTTGGGGTTGCAACGCATGTCCGAGTCGAAACCTTTCATACTACTTAATATAGTTTAGACATTGGTAAATATCTACCTAGCACGGCGATATTGCGATATTGGCTGAGTGTTGAAGATATGGTTTGAATGTGAATATCCTATGAAGTATATTAAATACTGCTGTACCCTGATTAAAATGAATGATAACAGACATGCCCGACAGTGTTATTTGTTAAAGAAGAAGGTGGGTCAAACCAAACAAAACCAAATACAGTATAAAAACTGGCTGCAGATAATCACCAAACAAAGTAAGGCCTTAAAACTGGGGTCCTTGCATGGGGACTGACGCCACTTATGTTACCTGCATGACACCCCAGCAAGAGACAATGTGTTTGCTATGCATTGGTTCAAACTTAATGCATTGTAACATGTTGATTGCCAAATTTAATCAAATAGAATAACCCAGAACTCGATAGGTACAGAATTAAATTGTGAAATCAGTAAATACCAAAAAGGATTGATGAACAATTAACAAATGATCTTGAAACACATCGGATCAGGTCTACAGTCATAAAAGATAATACAACGGGTAAATATGTGCAGCGGCAATAAATAATAGGCACTGTTACAAAAGTCAGTTCCTGATTTCGCAATATGCAGCAAATAGTCGAATAAACACAACATCAGCATTTGTTATATTTGACGAACACTGTAGAGGTGAGACATGGGCAGAAACAAAGCGAAACCCAGCGAAAAAACAACACTGGTCTCTTTTTCTACTTGAACAGAAACATTCCTGATTTCACAATACGCAGCAAATAGTCGGATGAACACAACATCAGCATTTGCTACACAATTGTCACATTTATTAGTGATAATATATGGATTGCTAGCAAATCACTGTATTGAGAATGTTGATACTTTCCAGTTGATGGAAGGCTGTCAAACTGGACATCGTGGTCAATCGTACCCTGCCCTGTCACATGTGGAGTAGATGCCATGACAAACCAGAGCAGACATAGGGATTGTAACGCCCCTGCTCCGGAAGCCGGTGGCAAGAACTGCACGGGTCCACTGACGGAAACCAGTCAGACACACTGCAATGTTTCTCCATGTAGTGGTATGTGAAGGCCAATTTGTCATACAGTTTATACGTCTGTAGTGTACATGTACAACTTTCAGTTTAATTATCGGAGGACGACACTGTGCCTTTATGGTCATACGTCAAACCACGAAAATCATATGACATCTTAAGAGCTGTATGATCACACACAATCTTATGCACTTTCATATGAGTGTGAGATATGTGTCTGTTTCAACTAGCAGCAGTTAAAATACACATAACTTCTGGACGTGCAGAGCGACTGTCGTAAAGATACCAGGAGTATTTTAACTACAGAAATCAAGAGTATGACGAACCTAAAGAAGAAATTCATATTCCTTGTATTGATCAGATATATTATGGATATCAGACCACGCCCTTTGTACTGACTTTCCAATGTTAATTCATCTGTGTAGAAATGATAAAAATGTGTTCCCGAGAAATATAGAGGTATTGCACGAAACAATGAAAGGATTTGCTTATTCCAACCACTAGGCGACGACAATGTGACCGAGTGGAGCCAATGGAGTGCTGCAGCATGCACAGCCACCTGTGGTCCAGGCCAAGAGGGAAGCGTGAAAAGAAGCAGAAGTTGTATTACGCCGGCCAATAATATCAGCTGTACAGCCGAACTAATAGAAACCCAAATGGGAAACTGTGACCTCCCTAAATGTCCAGGTAAATGTGTAGCCATGTGTAACTGTATCACTTTCATGTACTGCAGTATATAAAATGTAGCAACCCTATCCTGAGAAGTAACTTGTTTCATGTACATTCTTAGTGCTATATTTCCTTCATCAGACTATGGAAAAGCGTCTCCTTCTTGACTGAAGCAGTTCTGACAGAGCGAGTTTGTATGTAAAGGTTGTTGGCTTTAATAGTTTGTCTCCAAGTTGACAAAGTACTACGAGTGGAATATCAAACCGTCTCCAATTCACTTGCTCGTATGACACATGTTCCCCAAATAAGATATGAAAAACCATGTCCATTTTATGCTGTTAATCAATCGCCAACTCTTTCTAATGTAACTACATTTTGAAATGCATGAAATATCCTGATAACATTATGTATCAATTTCTAAAGGCATCAGATAAATCGTCACTTTGCTTTATTTGACGAACACTGTAAAGGTGAGACATGGGCAGAAACAAAGCGAAACCCAGCGAAAAAGACAACACTGGTCTCTTTTTCTACTTTAACAGAAACATTCCTGATTTCACAATACGCAGCAAATAGTCGGATGCACATAACATCAGTATTTGCTACACAATTGTCACATTTATTAGTGATAATATATGGAATGCTAGCATATCACTGTATTGACAATATGTTGATACTTTGCAGTTGATGGAGGGCTGTCAAACTGGACATCGTGGTCAATCGTACCCTGCCCTGTCACATGTGGAGCAGATGCCATGACAAACCAGAGCAGACGTAGGGATTGTAACGCCCCTGCTCCGGAAGCCGGTGGCAAGAACTGCACGGGTCCACTGACGGAAACCAGTCAGACACACTGCAATGTTCCTCCATGTAGTGGTACGTGAAGACCAATTTGTCATACAGTTTATACGTCTGTAGTGTACATGTACAAGTTTCAGTTTAATTATCGGAGGACGACACTGTGCCTTTATGGTCATACGTCAAACCACGAAAATCATATGACATCTTAAGAGCTGTATGATCACACACAATCTTATGCACTTTCATATGAGTGTGAGATATGTGTCTGTTACAACTAGCAGCAGTTAAAATACACATAACTTCTGGACGTGCAGAGCGACTGTCGTAAAGATACCAGGAGTATTTTAACTACAGAAATCAAGAGTATGACGAACCTAAAGAAGAAATTCATATTCCTTGTATTGATCAGATATATTATGGATATCAGACCACGCCCTTTGTACTGACTTTCCAATGTTAATTCATCTGTGTAGAAATGATAAAAATGTGTTCCCGAGAAATATAGAGGTATTGCACGAAACAATGAAAGGATTTGCTTATTCCAACCACTAGGCGACGACAATGTGACCGAGTGGAGCCAATGGAGTGCTGCAGCATGCACAGCCACCTGTGGTCCAGGCCAAGAGGGAAGCGTGAAAAGAAGCAAAAGTTGTATTACGCCGGCCAATAATATCAGCTGTACAGCCGAACTAATAGAAACCCAAATGGGAAACTGTGACCTCCCTAAATGTCCAGGTAAATGTGTAGCCATGTGTAACTGTATCACTTTCATGTACTGCAGTATATAAAATGTAGCAACCCTACCCTGAGAAGTAACTTGTTTCATGTACATTCTTAGTGCTATATTTCCTTCATCAGACTATGGAAAAGCATCTCCTTCTTGACTGAAGCAGTTCTGACAGAGCGAGTTTGTATGTAAAGGTTGTTGGCTTTAATAGTTTGTCTCCAAGTTGACAAAGTACTACGAGTGGAATATCAAACCCGTCTCCAATTCACTTGCTCGTATGACACATGTTCCCCAAATAAGATATGAAAAAAACATGTCCATTTTATGCTGTTAATCAATCGCCAACTCTTTCTAATGTAACTACATTTTGAAATGCATGAAATATCCTGATAACATTATGTATCAATTTCTAAAGGCATCAGATAAATCGTCACTTTGCTTTATTTGACGAACACTGTAAAGGTGAGACATGGGCAGAAACAAAGCGAAACCCAGCGAAAAAGACAACACTGGTCTCTTTTTCTACTTTAACAGAAACATTCCTGATTTCACAATACGCAGCAAATAGTCGGATGCACACAACATCAGTATTTGCTACACAATTGTCACATTTATTAGTGATAATATATGGATTGCTAGCATATCACTGTATTGACAATATGTTGATACTTTGCAGTTGATGGAGGGCTGTCAAACTGGACATCGTGGTCAATCGTACCCTGCCCTGTCACATGTGGAGCAGATGCCATGACAAATCAGAGCAGACGTAGGGATTGTAACGCCCCTGCTCCGGAAGCCGGTGGCAAGAACTGCACGGGTCCACTGACGGAAACCAGTCAGACACACTGCAATGTTCCTCCATGTAGTGGTACGTGAAGACCAATTTGTCATACAGTTTATACGTCTGTAGTGTACATGTACAACTTTCAGTTTAATTATCGGAGGACGAAACTGTGCCTTTATGGTCATACGTCAAACCACGAAAATCATATGACATCTTAAGAGCTGTATGATCACACACAATCTTATGCACTTTCATATGAGTGTGAGATATGTGTCTGTTACAACTAGCAGCAGATAAAATACACATAACTTCTGGACGTGCAGAGCGACTGTCGTAAAGATACCAGGAGTATTTAAACTACAGAAATCAAGAGTATGACGAACCTAAAGAAGAAATTCATATTCCTTGTATTGATCAGATATATTATGGATATCAGACCACGCCCTTTGTACTGACTTTCCAATGTTAATTCATCTGTGTAGAAATGATAGAAATGTGTTCCCGAGAAATATAGAGGTATTGCACAAAACAATGAAAGGATTTGCTTATTCCAACCACTAGGCGACGACAATGTGACCGAGTGGAGCCAATGGAGTGCTGCAGCATGCACAGCCACCTGTGGTCCAGGCCAAGAGGGAAGCGTGAAAAGAAGCAGAAGTTGTATTACGCCGGCCAATAATATCAGCTGTACAGCCGAACTAATAGAAACCCAAATGGGAAACTGTGACCTCCCTAAATGTCCAGGTAAATGTGTAGCCATGTGTAACTGTATCACTTTCATGTACTGCAGTATATAAAATGTAGCAACCCTACCCTGAGAAGTAACTTGTTTCATGTACATTCTTAGTGCTATATTTCCTTCATCAGACTATGGAAAAGCGTCTCCTTCTTGACTGAAGCAGTTCTGACAGAGCGAGTTTGTATGTAAAGGTTGTTGGCTTTAATAGTTTGTCTCCAAGTTGACAAAGTACTACGAGTGGAATATCAAACCGTCTCCAATTCACTTGCTCGTATGACACATGTTCCCCAAATAAGATATGAAAAATCATGTCCATTTTATGCTGTTAATCAATCGCCAACTCTTTCTAATGTAACTACATTTTGAAATGCATGAAATATCCTGATAACATTATGTAGTAATTTCTAAAGGCATCAAATAAATCGTCACTTTGCTTTATTTGACGAACACTTTAAAGGTGAGACATGGGCAGAAACAAAGCGAAACCCAGCGAAAAAGACAACACTGGTCTCTTTTTCTACTTTAACAGAAACATTCCTGATTTCACAATACGCAGCAAATAGTCGGATGCACACAACATCAGTATTTGCTACACAATTGTCACATTTATTAGTGATAATATATGGATTGCTAGCATATCACTGTATTGACAATATGTTGATACTTTGCAGTTGATGGAGGGCTGTCAAACTGGACATCGTGGTCAATCGTACCCTGCCCTGTCACATGTGGAGCAGATGCCATGACAAACCAGAGCAGACGTAGGGATTGTAACGCCCCTGCTCCGGAAGCCGGTGGCAAGAACTGCACGGGTCCACTGACGGAAACCAGTCAGACACACTGCAATGTTTCTCCATGTAGTGGTATGTGAAGGCCAATTTGTCATACAGTTTATACGTCTGTAGTGTACATGTACAACTTTCAGTTTAATTATCGGAGGACTAAACTGTGCCTTTATGGTCATACGTCAAACCACGAAAATCATATGACATCTTAAGAGCTGTATGATCACACACAATCTTATGCACTTTCATATGAGTGTGAGATATGTGTCTGTTACAACTAGCAGCAGTTAAAATACACATAACTTCTGGACGTGCAGAGCGACTGTCGTAAAGATACCAGGAGTATTTAAACTACAGAAATCAAGAGTATGACGAACCTAAAGAAGAAATTCATATTCCTTGTATTGATCAGATATATTATGGATATCAGACCACGCCCTTTGTACTGACTTTCCAATGTTAATTCATCTGTGTAGAAATGATAAAAATGTGTTCCCGAGAAATATAGAGGTATTGCACGAAACAATGAAAGGATTTGCTTATTCCAACCACTAGGCGACGACAATGTGACCGAGTGGAGCCAATGGAGTGCTGCAGCATGCACAGCCACCTGTGGTCCAGGCCAAGAGGGAAGCGTGAAAAGAAGCAGAAGTTGTATTACGCCGGCCAATAATATCAGCTGTACAGCCGAACTAATAGAAACCCAAATGGGAAACTGTGACCTCCCTAAATGTCCAGGTAAATGTGTAGCCATGTGTAACTGTATCACTTTCATGTACTGCAGTATATAAAATGTAGCAACCCTACCCTGAGAAGTAACTTGTTTCATGTACATTCTTAGTGCTATATTTCCTTCATCAGACTATGGAAAAGCGTCTCCTTCTTGACTGAAGCAGTTCTGACAGAGCGAGTTTGTATGTAAAGGTTGTTGGCTTTAATAGTTTGTCTCCAAGTTAACAAAGTACTACGAGTGGAATATCAAACCCGTCTCCAATTCACTTGCTCGTATGACACATGTTCCCCAAATAAGATATGAAAAACCATGTCCATTTTATGCTGTTAATCAATCGCCAACTCTTTTCTAATGTAACTACATTTTGAAATGCATGAAATATCCTGATAACATTATGTATCAATTTCTAAAGGCATCAGATAAATCGTCACTTTGCTTTATTTGACGAACACTGTAAAGGTGAGACATGGGCAGAAACAAAGCGAAACCCAGCGAAAAAGACAACACTGGTCTCTTTTTCTACTTTAACAGAAACATTCCTGATTTCACAATACGCAGCAAATAGTCGGATGCACACAACATCAGTATTTGCTACACAATTGTCACATTTATTAGTGATAATATATGGATTGCTAGCATATCACTGTATTGACAATATGTTGATACTTTGCAGTTGATGGAGGGCTGTCAAACTGGACATCGTGGTCAATCGTACCCTGCCCTGTCACATGTGGAGCAGATGCCATGACAAACCAGAGCAGACGTAGGGATTGTAACGCCCCTGCTCCGGAAGCCGGTGGCAAGAACTGCACGGGTCCACTGACGGAAACCAGTCAGACACACTGCAATGTTCCTCCATGTAGTGGTACGTGAAGACCAATTTGTCATACAGTTTATACGTCTGTAGTGTACATGTACAACTTTCATTTTAATTATCGGAGGACTAAACTGTGCCTTTATGGTCATACGTCAAACCACGAAAATCATATGACATCTTAAGAGCTGTATGATCACACACAATCTTATGCACTTTCATATGAGTGTGAGATATGTGTCTGTTACAACTAGCAGCAGTTAAAATACACATAACTTCTGGACGTGCAGAGCGACTGTCGTAAAGATACCAGGAGTATTTAAACTACAGAAATCAAGAGTATGACGAACCTAAAGAAGAAATTCATATTCCTTGTATTGATCAGATATATTATGGATATCAGACCATGCCCTTTGTACTGACTTTCCAATGTTAATTCATCTGTGTAGAAATGATAAAAATGTGTTCCCGAGAAATATAGAGGTATTGCACGAAACAATGAAAGGATTTGCTTATTCCAACCACTAGGCGACGACAATGTGACCGAGTGGAGCCAATGGAGTGCTGCAGCATGCACAGCCACCTGTGGTCCAGGCCAAGAGGGAAGCGTGAAAAGAAGCAGAAGTTGTATCACGCCGGCCAATAATATCAGCTGTACAGCCGAACTAATAGAAACCCAAATGGGAAACTGTGACCTCCCTAAATGTCCAGGTAAATGTGTAGCCATGTGTAACTGTATCACTTTCATGTACTGCAGTATATAAAATGTAGCAACCCTACCCTGAGAAGTAACTTGTTTCATGTACATTCTTAGTGCTATATTTCCTTCATCAGACTATGGAAAAGCGTCTCCTTTTTGACTGAAGCAGTTCTGACAGAGCGAGTTTGTATGTAAAGGTTGTTGGCTTTAATAGTTTGTCTCCAAGTTGACAAAGTACTACGAGTGGAATATCAAACCGTCTCCAATTCACTTGCTCGTATGACACATGTTCCCCAAATAAGATATGAAAAACCATGTCCATTTTATGCTGTTAATCAATCGCCAACTCTTTCTAATGTAACTACATTTTGAAATGCATGAAATATCCTGATAACATTATGTATCAATTTCTAAAGGCATCAGATAAATCGTCACTTTGCTTTATTTGACGAACACTGTAAAAGTGAGACATGGGCAGAAACAAAGCGAAACCCAGCGAAAAAGACAACACTGGTCTCTTTTTCTACTTTAACAGAAACATTCCTGATTTCACAATACGCAGCAAATAGTCGGATGCACATAACATCAGTATTTGCTACACAATTGTCACATTTATTAGTGATAATATATGGAATGCTAGCATATCACTGTATTGCCAATATGTTGATACTTTGCAGTTGATGGAGGGCTGTCAAACTGGACATCGTGGTCAATCGTACCCTGCCCTGTCACATGTGGAGCAGATGCCATGACAAACCAGAGCAGACGTAGGGATTGTAACGCCCCTGCTCCGGAAGCCGGTGGCAAGAACTGCACGGGTCCACTGACGGAAACCAGTCAGACACACTGCAATGTTCCTCCATGTAGTGGTACGTGAAGACCAATTTGTCATACAGTTTATACGTCTGTAGTGTACATGTACAACTTTCAGTTTAATTATCGGAGGACGACACTGTGCCTTTATGGTCATACGTCAAACCACGAAAATCATATGACATCTTAAGAGCTGTATGATCACACACAATCTTATGCACTTTCATATGAGTGTGAGATATGTGCCTGTTTCAACTAGCAGCAGTTAAAATACACATAACTTCTGGACGTGCAGAGCGACTGTCGTAAAGATACCAGGAGTATTTTAACTACAGAAATCAAGAGTATGACGAACCTAAAGAAGAAATTCATATTCCTTGTATTGATCAGATATATTATGGATATCAGACCACGCCCTTTGTACTGACTTTCCAATGTTAATTCATCTGTGTAGAAATGATAAAAATGTGTTCCCGAGAAATATAGAGGTATTGCACGAAACAATGAAAGGATTTGCTTATTCCAACCACTAGGCGACGACAATGTGACCGAGTGGAGCCAATGGAGTGCTGCAGCATGCACAGCCACCTGTGGTCCAGGCCAAGAGGGAAGCGTGAAAAGAAGCAAAAGTTGTATTACGCCGGCCAATAATATCAGCTGTACAGCCGAACTAATAGAAACCCAAATGGGAAACTGTGACCTCCCTAAATGTCCAGGTAAATGTGTAGCCATGTGTAACTGTATCACTTTCATGTACTGCAGTATATAAAATGTAGCAACCCTACCCTGAGAAGTAACTTGTTTCATGTACATTCTTAGTGCTATATTTCCTTCATCAGACTATGGAAAAGCGTCTCCTTCTTGACTGAAGCAGTTCTGACAGAGCGAGTTTGTATGTAAAGGTTGTTGGCTTTAATAGTTTGTCTCCAAGTTAACAAAGTACTACGAGTGGAATATCAAACCCGTCTCCAATTCACTTGCTCGTATGACACATGTTCCCCAAATAAGATATGAAAAACCATGTCCATTTTATGCTGTTAATCAATCGCCAACTCTTTTCTAATGTAACTACATTTTGAAATGCATGAAATATCCTGATAACATTATGTATCAATTTCTAAAGGCATCAGATAAATCGTCACTTTGCTTTATTTGACGAACACTGTAAAGGTGAGACATGGGCAGAAACAAAGCGGAACCCAGCGAAAAAGACAACACTGGTCTCTTTTTCTACTTTAACAGAAACATTCCTGATTTCACAATACGCAGCAAATAGTCGGATGCACACAACATCAGTATTTGCTACACAATTGTCACATTTATTAGTGATAATATATGGATTGCTAGCATATCACTGTATTGACAATATGTTGATACTTTGCAGTTGATGGAGGGCTGTCAAACTGGACATCGTGGTCAATCGTACCCTGCCCTGTCACATGTGGAGCAGATGCCATGACAAACCAGAGCAGACGTAGGGATTGTAACGCCCCTGCTCCGGAAGCCGGTGGCAAGAACTGCACGGGTCCACTGACGGAAACCAGTCAGACACACTGCAATGTTCCTCCATGTAGTGGTACGTGAAGACCAATTTGTCATACAGTTTATACGTCTGTAGTGTACATGTACAACTTTCATTTTAATTATCGGAGGACTAAACTGTGCCTTTATGGTCATACGTCAAACCACGAAAATCATATGACATCTTAAGAGCTGTATGATCACACACAATCTTATGCACTTTCATATGAGTGTGAGATATGTGTCTGTTACAACTAGCAGCAGTTAAAATACACATAACTTCTGGACGTGCAGAGCGACTGTCGTAAAGATACCAGGAGTATTTAAACTACAGAAATCAAGAGTATGACGAACCTAAAGAAGAAATTCATATTCCTTGTATTGATCAGATATATTATGGATATCAGACCATGCCCTTTGTACTGACTTTCCAATGTTAATTCATCTGTGTAGAAATGATAAAAATGTGTTCCCGAGAAATATAGAGGTATTGCACGAAACAATGAAAGGATTTGCTTATTCCAACCACTAGGCGACGACAATGTGACCGAGTGGAGCCAATGGAGTGCTGCAGCATGCACAGCCACCTGTGGTCCAGGCCAAGAGGGAAGCGTGAAAAGAAGCAGAAGTTGTATCACGCCGGCCAATAATATCAGCTGTACAGCCGAACTAATAGAAACCCAAATGGGAAACTGTGACCTCCCTAAATGTCCAGGTAAATGTGTAGCCATGTGTAACTGTATCACTTTCATGTACTGCAGTATATAAAATGTAGCAACCCTACCCTGAGAAGTAACTTGTTTCATGTACATTCTTAGTGCTATATTTCCTTCATCAGACTATGGAAAAGCGTCTCCTTCTTGACTGAAGCAGTTCTGACAGAGCGAGTTTGTATGTAAAGGTTGTTGGCTTTAATAGTTTGTCTCCAAGTTGACAAAGTACTACGAGTGGAATATCAAACCGTCTCCAATTCACTTGCTCGTATGACACATGTTCCCCAAATAAGATATGAAAAACCATGTCCATTTTATGCTGTTAATCAATCGCCAACTCTTTCTAATGTAACTACATTTTGAAATGCATGAAATATCCTGATAACATTATGTATCAATTTCTAAAGGCATCAGATAAATCGTCACTTTGCTTTATTTGACGAACACTGTAAAAGTGAGACATGGGCAGAAACAAAGCGAAACCCAGCGAAAAAGACAACACTGGTCTCTTTTTCTACTTTAACAGAAACATTCCTGATTTCACAATACGCAGCAAATAGTCGGATGCACATAACATCAGTATTTGCTACACAATTGTCACATTTATTAGTGATAATATATGGAATGCTAGCATATCACTGTATTGCCAATATGTTGATACTTTGCAGTTGATGGAGGGCTGTCAAACTGGACATCGTGGTCAATCGTACCCTGCCCTGTCACATGTGGAGCAGATGCCATGACAAACCAGAGCAGACGTAGGGATTGTAACGCCCCTGCTCCGGAAGCCGGTGGCAAGAACTGCACGGGTCCACTGACGGAAACCAGTCAGACACACTGCAATGTTCCTCCATGTAGTGGTACGTGAAGACCAATTTGTCATACAGTTTATACGTCTGTAGTGTACATGTACAACTTTCAGTTTAATTATCGGAGGACGACACTGTGCCTTTATGGTCATACGTCAAACCACGAAAATCATATGACATCTTAAGAGCTGTATGATCACACACAATCTTATGCACTTTCATATGAGTGTGAGATATGTGTCTGTTTCAACTAGCAGCAGTTAAAATACACATAACTTCTGGACGTGCAGAGCGACTGTCGTAAAGATACCAGGAGTATTTTAACTACAGAAATCAAGAGTATGACGAACCTAAAGAAGAAATTCATATTCCTTGTATTGATCAGATATATTATGGATATCAGACCACGCCCTTTGTACTGACTTTCCAATGTTAATTCATCTGTGTAGAAATGATAAAAATGTGTTCCCGAGAAATATAGAGGTATTGCACGAAACAATGAAAGGATTTGCTTATTCCAACCACTAGGCGACGACAATGTGACCGAGTGGAGCCAATGGAGTGCTGCAGCATGCACAGCCACCTGTGGTCCAGGCCAAGAGGGAAGCGTGAAAAGAAGCAAAAGTTGTATTACGCCGGCCAATAATATCAGCTGTACAGCCGAACTAATAGAAACCCAAATGGGAAACTGTGACCTCCCTAAATGTCCAGGTAAATGTGTAGCCATGTGTAACTGTATCACTTTCATGTACTGCAGTATATAAAATGTAGCAACCCTACCCTGAGAAGTAACTTGTTTCATGTACATTCTTAGTGCTATATTTCCTTCATCAGACTATGGAAAAGCATCTCCTTCTTGACTGAAGCAGTTCTGACAGAGCGAGTTTGTATGTAAAGGTTGTTGGCTTTAATAGTTTGTCTCCAAGTTAACAAAGTACTACGAGTGGAATATCAAACCCGTCTCCAATTCACTTGCTCGTATGACACATGTTCCCCAAATAAGATATGAAAAAAACATGTCCATTTTATGCTGTTAATCAATCGCCAACTCTTTCTAATGTAACTACATTTTGAAATGCATGAAATATCCTGATAACATTATGTATCAATTTCTAAAGGCATCAGATAAATCGTCACTTTGCTTTATTTGACGAACACTGTAAAGGTGAGACATGGGCAGAAACAAAGCGAAACCCAGCGAAAAAGACAACACTGGTCTCTTTTTCTACTTTAACAGAAACATTCCTGATTTCACAATACGCAGCAAATAGTCGGATGCACACAACATCAGTATTTGCTACACAATTGTCACATTTATTAGTGATAATATATGGATTGCTAGCATATCACTGTATTGACAATATGTTGATACTTTGCAGTTGATGGAGGGCTGTCAAACTGGACATCGTGGTCAATCGTACCCTGCCCTGTCACATGTGGAGCAGATGCCATGACAAATCAGAGCAGACGTAGGGATTGTAACGCCCCTGCTCCGGAAGCCGGTGGCAAGAACTGCACGGGTCCACTGACGGAAACCAGTCAGACACACTGCAATGTTCCTCCATGTAGTGGTACGTGAAGACCAATTTGTCATACAGTTTATACGTCTGTAGTGTACATGTACAACTTTCAGTTTAATTATCGGAGGACGAAACTGTGCCTTTATGGTCATACGTCAAACCACGAAAATCATATGACATCTTAAGAGCTGTATGATCACACACAATCTTATGCACTTTCATATGAGTGTGAGATATGTGTCTGTTACAACTAGCAGCAGATAAAATACACATAACTTCTGGACGTGCAGAGCGACTGTCGTAAAGATACCAGGAGTATTTAAACTACAGAAATCAAGAGTATGACGAACCTAAAGAAGAAATTCATATTCCTTGTATTGATCAGATATATTATGGATATCAGACCACGCCCTTTGTACTGACTTTCCAATGTTAATTCATCTGTGTAGAAATGATAAAAATGTGTTCCCGAGAAATATAGAGGTATTGCACAAAACAATGAAAGGATTTGCTTATTCCAACCACTAGGCGACGACAATGTGACCGAGTGGAGCCAATGGAGTGCTGCAGCATGCACAGCCACCTGTGGTCCAGGCCAAGAGGGAAGCGTGAAAAGAAGCAGAAGTTGTATTACGCCGGCCAATAATATCAGCTGTACAGCCGAACTAATAGAAACCCAAATGGGAAACTGTGACCTCCCTAAATGTCCAGGTAAATGTGTAGCCATGTGTAACTGTATCACTTTCATGTACTGCAGTATATAAAATGTAGCAACCCTACCCTGAGAAGTAACTTGTTTCATGTACATTCTTAGTGCTATATTTCCTTCATCAGACTATGGAAAAGCGTCTCCTTCTTGACTGAAGCAGTTCTGACAGAGCGAGTTTGTATGTAAAGGTTGTTGGCTTTAATAGTTTGTCTCCAAGTTGACAAAGTACTACGAGTGGAATATCAAACCGTCTCCAATTCACTTGCTCGTATGACACATGTTCCCCAAATAAGATATGAAAAACCATGTCCATTTTATGCTGTTAATCAATCGCCAACTCTTTCTAATGTAACTACATTTTGAAATGCATGAAATATCCTGATAACATTATGTATCAATTTCTAAAGGCATCAAATAAATCGTCACTTTGCTTTATTTGACGAACACTTTAAAGGTGAGACATGGGCAGAAACAAAGCGAAACCCAGCGAAAAAGACAACACTGGTCTCTTTTTCTACTTTAACAGAAACATTCCTGATTTCACAATACGCAGCAAATAGTCGGATGCACACAACATCAGTATTTGCTACACAATTGTCACATTTATTAGTGATAATATATGGATTGCTAGCATATCACTGTATTGACAATATGTTGATACTTTGCAGTTGATGGAGGGCTGTCAAACTGGACATCGTGGTCAATCGTACCCTGCCCTGTCACATGTGGAGCAGATGCCATGACAAACCAGAGCAGACGTAGGGATTGTAACGCCCCTGCTCCGGAAGCCGGTGGCAAGAACTGCACGGGTCCACTGACGGAAACCAGTCAGACACACTGCAATGTTCCTCCATGTAGTGGTACGTGAAGACCAATTTGTCATACAGTTTATACGTCTGTAGTGTACATGTACAACTTTCATTTTAATTATCGGAGGACTAAACTGTGCCTTTATGGTCATACGTCAAACCACGAAAATCATATGACATCTTAAGAGCTGTATGATCACACACAATCTTATGCACTTTCATATGAGTGTGAGATATGTGTCTGTTACAACTAGCAGCAGTTAAAATACACATAACTTCTGGACGTGCAGAGCGACTGTCGTAAAGATACCAGGAGTATTTAAACTACAGAAATCAAGAGTATGACGAACCTAAAGAAGAAATTCATATTCCTTGTATTGATCAGATATATTATGGATTTCAGACCACGCCCTTTGTACTGACTTTCCAATGTTAATTCATCTGTGTAGAAATGATAAAAATGTGTTCCCGAGAAATATAGAGGTATTGCACAAAACAATGAAAGGATTTGCTTATTCCAACCACTAGGCGACGACAATGTGACCGAGTGGAGCCAATGGAGTGCTGCAGCATGCACAGCCACCTGTGGTCCAGGCCAAGAGGGAAGCGTGAAAAGAAGCAGAAGTTGTATTACGCCGGCCAATAATATCAGCTGTACAGCCGAACTAATAGAAACCCAAATGGGAAACTGTGACCTCCCTAAATGTCCAGGTAAATGTGTAGCCATGTGTAACTGTATCACTTTCATGTACCGCAGTATATAAAATGTAGCAACCCTACCCTGAGAAGTAACTTGTTTCATGTACATTCTTAGTGCTATATTTCCTTCATCAGACTATGGAAAAGCGTCTCCTTCTTGACTGAAGCAGTTCTGACAGAGCGAGTTTGTATGTAAAGGTTGTTGGCTTTAATAGTTTGTCTCCAAGTTGACAAAGTACTACGAGTGGAATATCAAACCCGTCTCCAATTCACTTGCTCGTATGACACATGTTCCCCAAATAAGATATGAAAAACCATGTCCATTTTATGCTGTTAATCAATCGCCAACTCTTTCTAATGTAACTACATTTTGAAATGCATGAAGTATCCTGATAACATTATGTATCAATTTCTAAAGGCATCAAATAAATCGTCACTTTGCTTTATTTGACGAACACTTTAAAGGTGAGACATGGGCAGAAACAAAGCGAAACCCAGCGAAAAAGACAACACTGGTCTCTTTTTCTACTTTAACAGAAACATTCCTGATTTCACAATACGCAGCAAATAGTCGGATGCACACAACATCAGTATTTGCTACACAATTGTCACATTTATTAGTGATAATATATGGATTGCTAGCATATCACTGTATTGACAATATGTTGATACTTTGCAGTTGATGGAGGGCTGTCAAACTGGACATCGTGGTCAATCGTACCCTGCCCTGTCACATGTGGAGCAGATGCCATGACAAACCAGAGCAGACGTAGGGATTGTAACGCCCCTGCTCCGGAAGCCGGTGGCAAGAACTGCACGGGTCCACTGACGGAAACCAGTCAGACACACTGCAATGTTCCTCCATGTAGTGGTACGTGAAGACCAATTTGTCATACAGTTTATACGTCTGTAGTGTACATGTACAACTTTCAGTTTAATTATCGGAGGACTAAACTGTGCCTTTATGGTCATACGTCAAACCACGAAAATCATATGACATCTTAAGAGCTGTATGATCACACACAATCTTATGCACTTTCATATGAGTGTGAGATATGTGTCTGTTACAACTAGCAGCAGTTAAAATACACATAACTTCTGGACGTGCAGAGCGACTGTCGTAAAGATACCAGGAGTATTTAAACTACAGAAATCAAGAGTATGACGAACCTAAAGAAGAAATTCATATTCCTTGTATTGATCAGATATATTATGGATATCAGACCATGCCCTTTGTACTGACTTTCCAATGTTAATTCATCTGTGTAGAAATGATAAAAATGTGTTCCCGAGAAATATAGAGGTATTGCACGAAACAATGAAAGGATTTGCTTATTCCAACCACTAGGCGACGACAATGTGACCGAGTGGAGCCAGTGGAGTGCTGCAGCATGCACAGCCACCTGTGGTCCAGGCCAAGAGGGAAGCGTGAAAAGAAGCAGAAGTTGTATCACGCCGGCCAATAATATCAGCTGTACAGCCGAACTAATAGAAACCCAAATTGGAAACTGTGACCTCCCTAAATGTCCAGGTAAATGTGTAGCCATGTGTAACTGTATCACTTTCATGTACTGCAGTATATAAAATGTAGCAACCCTACCCTGAGAAGTAACTTGTTTCATGTACATTCTTAGTGCTATATTTCCTTCATCAGACTATGGAAAAGCGTCTCCTTTTTGACTGAAGCAGTTCTGACAGAGCGAGTTTGTATGTAAAGGTTGTTGGCTTTAATAGTTTGTCTCCAAGTTGACAAAGTACTACGAGTGAATATCAAACCCGTCTCCAATTCACTTGCTCGTATGACACATGTTCCCCAAATAAGATATGAAAAACCATGTCCATTTTATGCTGTTAATCAATTGCAAACTCTTTCTAATGTAACTACATTTTGAAATGCATGAAATATCCTGATAATATTATGTATCGATTTCTAAAGGCATCAGATAAATCGTCACTTTGCTTTATTTGACGAACACTGTAAAGGTGAGACATGGGCAGAAACAAAGCGAAACCCAGCGAAAAAGACAACACTGGTCTCTTTTTCTACTTTAACAGAAACATTCCTGATTTCACAATACGCAGCAAATAGTCGGATGAACAAAACATCAGTATTTGCTACACAATTGTCACATTTATTAGTGATAATATATGGATTGCTAGCATATCACTGTATTGACAATATGTTGATACTTTGCAGTTGATGGAGGGCTGTCAAACTGGACATCGTGGTCAATCGTACCCTGCCCTGTCACATGTGGAGCAGATGCCATGACAAACCAGAGCAGACGTAGGGATTGTAACGCCCCTGCTCCGGAAGCCAGTGGCAAGAACTGCACGGGTCCACTGACGGAAACCAGTCAGACACACTGCAATGTTCCTCCATGTAGTGGTACGTGAAGACCAATTTGTCATACAGTTTATACGTCTGTAGTGTACATGTACAACTTTCAGTTTAATTATCGGAGGACTAAACTGTGCCTTTATGGTCATACGTCAAACCACGAAAATCATATGACATCTTAAGAGCTGTATGATCACACACAATCTTATGCACTTTCACATGAGTGTGAGATATGTGTCTGTTACAACTAGCAGCAGTTAAAATACACATAACTTCTGGACGTGCAGAGCGACTGTCGTAAAGATACCAGGAGTATTTAAACTACAGAAATCAAGAGTATGACGAACCTAAAGAAGAAATTCATATTCCTTGTATTGATCAGATATATTATGGATATCAGACCACGCCCTTTGTACTGACTTTCCAATGTTAATTCATCTGTGTAGAAATGATAAAAATGTGTTCCCGAGAAATATAGAGGTATTGCACGAAACAATGAAAGGATTTGCTTATTCCAACCACTAGGCGACGACAATGTGACCGAGTGGAGCCAGTGGAGTGCTGCAGCATGCACAGCCACCTGTGGTCCAGGCCAAGAGGGAAGCGTGAAAAGAAGCAGAAGTTGTATTACGCCGGCCAATAATATCAGCTGTACAGCCGAACTAATAGAAACCCAAATGGGAAACTGTGACCTCCCTAAATGTTCAGGTAAATGTGTAGCCACGTGTAACTGTATCACTTTCATGTACTGCAGTATATAAAATGTAGCAACCCTACCCTGAGAAGTAACTTGTTTCATGTACATTCTTAGTGCTATATTTCCTTCATCAGACTATGGAAAAGCGTCTCCTTCTTGACTGAAGCAGTTCTGACAGAGCGAGTTTGTATGTAAAGGTTGTTGGCTTTAATAGTTTGTCTCCAAGTTAACAAAGTACTACGAGTGGAATATCAAACCCGTCTCCAATTCACTTGCTCGTATGACACATGTTCCCCAAATAAGATATGAAAAACCATGTCCATTTTATGCTGTTAATCAATCGCCAACTCTTTTCTAATGTAACTACATTTTGAAATGCATGAAATATCCTGATAACATTATGTATCAATTTCTAAAGGCATCAGATAAATCGTCACTTTGCTTTATTTGACGAACACTGTAAAGGTGAGACATGGGCAGAAACAAAGCGAAACCCAGCGAAAAAGACAACACTGGTCTCTTTTTCTACTTTAACAGAAACATTCCTGATTTCACAATACGCAGCAAATAGTCGGATGAACACAACATCAGTATTTGCTACACAATTGTCACATTTATTAGTGATAATATATGGATTGCTAGCATATCACTGTATTGACAATATGTTGATACTTTGCAGTTGATGGAGGGCTGTCAAACTGGACATCGTGGTCAATCGTACCCTGCCCTGTCACATGTGGAGCAGATGCCATGACAAACCAGAGCAGACGTAGGGATTGTAACGCCCCTGCTCCAGAAGCCGGTGGCAAGAACTGCACGGGTCCACTGACGGAAACCAGTCAGACACACTGCAATGTTCCTCCATGTAGTGGTACGTGAAGACCAATTTGTCATACAGTTTATACGTCTGTAGTGTACATGTACAACTTTCAGTTTAATTATCGGAGGACGACACTGTGTCTTTATGGTCATACGTCAAACCACGAAAATCATATGACATCTTAAGTGCTGTATGATCACACACAATCTTATGCACTTTCACATGAGTGTGAGATATGTGTCTGTTACAACTAGCAGCAGTTAAAATACACATAACTTCTGGACGTGCAGAGCGACTGTCGTAAAGATACCAGGAGTATTTAAACTACAGAAATCAAGAGTATGACGAACCTAAAGAAGAAATTCATATTCCTTGTATTGATCAGATATATTATGGATATCAGACCACGCCCTTTGTACTGACTTTCCAATGTTAATTCATCTGTGTAGAAATGATAAAAATGTGTTCCCGAGAAATATAGAGGTATTGCACGAAACAATGAAAGGATTTGCTTATTCCAACCACTAGGCGACGACAATGTGACCGAGTGGAGCCAGTGGAGTGCTGCAGCATGCACAGCCACCTGTGGTCCAGGCCAAGAGGGAAGCGTGAAAAGAAGCAGAAGTTGTATTACGCCGGCCAATAATATCAGCTGTACAGCCGAACTAATAGAAACCCAAATGGGAAACTGTGACCTCCCTAAATGTTCAGGTAAATGTGTAGCCACGTGTAACTGTATCACTTTCATGTACTGCAGTATATAAAATGTAGCAACCCTACCCTGAGAAGTAACTTGTTTCATGTACATTCTTAGTGCTATATTTCCTTCATCAGACTATGGAAAAGCGTCTCCTTCTTGACTGAAGCAGTTCTGACAGAGCGAGTTTGTATGTAAAGGTTGTTGGCTTTAATAGTTTGTCTCCAAGTTAACAAAGTACTACGAGTGGAATATCAAACCCGTCTCCAATTCACTTGCTCGTATGACACATGTTCCCCAAATAAGATATGAAAAACCATGTCCATTTTATGCTGTTAATCAATCGCCAACTCTTTTCTAATGTAACTACATTTTGAAATGCATGAAATATCCTGATAACATTATGTATCAATTTCTAAAGGCATCAGATAAATCGTCACTTTGCTTTATTTGACGAACACTGTAAAGGTGAGACATGGGCAGAAACAAAGCGAAACCCAGCGAAAAAGACAACATTGGTCTCTTTTTCTACTTTAACAGAAACATTCCTGATTTCACAATACGCAGCAAATAGTCGGATGAACACAACATCAGTATTTGCTACACAATTGTCACATTTATTAGTGATAATATATGGATTGCTAGCATATCACTGTATTGACAATATGTTGATACTTTGCAGTTGATGGAGGGCTGTCAAACTGGACATCGTGGTCAATCGTACCCTGCCCTGTCACATGTGGAGCAGATGCCATGACAAACCAGAGCAGACGTAGGGATTGTAACGCCCCTGCTCCAGAAGCCGGTGGCAAGAACTGCACGGGTCCACTGACGGAAACCAGTCAGACACACTGCAATGTTCCTCCATGTAGTGGTACGTGAAGACCAATTTGTCATACAGTTTATACGTCTGTAGTGTACATGTACAACTTTCAGTTTAATTATCGGAGGACGACACTGTGTCTTTATGGTCATACGTCAAACCACGAAAATCATATGACATCTTAAGAGCTGTATGATCACACACAATCTTATGCACTTTCATATGAGTGTGAGATATGTGTCTGTTACAACTAGCAGCAGTTAAAATACACATAACTTCTGGACGTGCAGAGCGACTGTCGTAAAGATACCAGGAGTATTTAAACTACAGAAATCAAGAGTATGACGAACCTAAAGAAGAAATTCATATTCCTTGTATTGATCAGATATATTATGGATATCAGACCACGCCCTTTGTACTGACTTTCCAATGTTAATTCATCTGTGTAGAAATGATAAAAATGTGTTCCCGAGAAATATAGAGGTATTGCACGAAACAATGAAAGGATTTGCTTATTCCAACCACTAGGCGACGACAATGTGACCGAGTGGAGCCAGTGGAGTGCTGCAGCATGCACAGCCACCTGTGGTCCAGGCCAAGAGGGAAGCGTGAAAAGAAGCAGAAGTTGTATTACGCCGGCCAATAATATCAGCTGTACAGCCGAACTAATAGAAACCCAAATGGGAAACTGTGACCTCCCTAAATGTTCAGGTAAATGTGTAGCCATGTGTAACTGTATCACTTTCATGTACTGCAGTATATAAAATGTAGCAACCCTACCCTGAGAAGTAACTTGTTTCATGTACATTCTTAGTGCTATATTTCCTTCATCAGACTATGGAAAAGCGTCTCCTTCTTGACTGAAGCAGTTCTGACAGAGCGAATTTGTATGTAAAGGTTGTTGGCTTTAATAGTTTATCTCCAAGTTGACAAAGTACTACGAGTGAATATCAAACCCGTCTCCAATTCACTTGCTCGTATGACACATGTTCCCCAAATAAGATATGAAAAACCATGTCCATTTTATGCTGTTAATCAATCGCCAACTCTTTTCTAATGTAACTACATTTTGAAATGCATGAAATATCCTGATAACATTATGTATCAATTTCTAAAGGCATCAGATAAATCGTCACTTTGCTTTATTTGACGAACACTGTAAAGGTGAGACGTGGGCAGAAACAAAGCGAAACCCAGCGAAAAAGACAACACTGGTCTCTTTTTCTACTTTAACAGAAACATTCCTGATTTCACAATACGCAGCAAATAGTCGGATGAACACAACATCAGTATTTGCTACACAATTGTCACATTTATTAGTGATAATATATGGATTGCTAGCATATCACTGTATTGACAATATGTTGATACTTTGCAGTTGATGGAGGGCTGTCAAACTGGACATCGTGGTCAATCGTACCCTGCCCTGTCACATGTGGAGCAGATGCCATGACAAACCAGAGCAGACGTAGGGATTGTAACGCCCCTGCTCCGGAAGCCGGTGGCAAGAACTGCACGGGTCCACTGACGGAAACCAGTCAGACACACTGCAATGTTCCTCCATGTAGTGGTACGTGAAGACCAATTTGTCATACAGTTTATACGTCTGTAGTGTACATGTACAACTTTCAGTTTAATTATCGGAGGACGACACTGTGTCTTTATGGTCATACACTACTGCCTAGAAGTTCATTCCCCTTACACGCATGGGCAACGCGTTACGCAACCAGTGTGCATCGGGTTGGTCACGCGTGTGAGACCCGTGTGCAACGCGTTGCACACGGGTGTGCACCCCGTCCGCCACTCGTGTGCAACGCGTGACACACTCATTAGAGGGGGAACAAACTTTTGACCAAAGGAGGACCCGTGTTAAACTGAACCTGGAGGTGGTAACAAGGAGAGAAAATTTTGTTATCCTGACGAAAAATGATAATACACATGTATTTCCTAATGTCTCCTTTCTTTATGTGATTTTGTGGGAATAACATGAATACTGTTGCGATTAAATAGATCTGTTTTGTTTTATACGACCATTGCTTCTAAATCCGATGGTGTTAAGAGAATACATGGTCCTGGAACATGTTATTGCAATTGAAATGCTTTTATTGTGATTTGACATTAACCGTCTGTAGTACGACTTTCAGTGATAATATGTATGAGGTTTGGCGGCGCATTGTTTTTATTGGACCCTAATTACTTTATGATGACTTGGACTCTTTATCACAGCACAGGCTGGAAAAGAGCAGCATGTAATTAATGAGGGTGGGTTATATCATTGAGGATACACTTGAGGGAGAGAATACTAATTACCGTACTACAGGAAGAGACCTGTAGACGTAAGGGCGGGGTTGTGTTTTAGCTTGCCGTTTGATAATGGCCGCCAGGAGAAGTGAGCTTTGCCTGCGTCATCTAAAATAAATAATAAGATACAGCAGTGTTATTTTCACGGTCTGTTGAATAAACTCCCAGCGCAACGGCCAATGTATCTTCTTCTTGATCCTTGATACATCATTTAGTCTTTCACAATATATAGTATTTCAACGTACAAAGGACACTGATCTAAAGCAATTCCGCGGGAGTAGTTGTAACCTGTGCATTACTGTATTTTCCCAGTGAGTACCCGGATGATATAGCATAAATCTAGACTTGTTCGCGACCTGTGCTCGCCATTCGTAAACGCATTTTAATGGAAAGTAGAAGGACGTATGGTCACACTGATCAACAAAAAGGAAATACAGTTTTTGAAATGTAGGTATATTTGTGGGGAGCATCGGTAATGGTGATGCAGTTTTGATAAGTCACTTGCTTGGTAATTTGTGCGATCTTCGTGTACACTATTTTGACTTGCAACACAGAGTAAATATTTCACTGAACATTGCTTATTTTACCGTGTGTATATGTTTACATTCAAAATGTAAACAGATTTCACTAAGGAAATGTATTAAACGCCTAAATATTCAGTTTATTTTACAAATTAACTGAAAAATATGTCCATCTTTATTAATATGATAACGAATTCCAAATATTTGTTTATGTTTAATATCATCACCAAGTACAGTTCTGTATTGTTTGGCTTCTTTTCTTAGCATAATTAATATATTGTGATGTGTTTAAGCTCTCTTGGTCGTCTTTATCATTTTTAGTCAGTCGGTTAAATAAATGAATGGATTATTCAGTCAATTTGTAAAATGACTGAAATATTTAGATATTTAATAAATTGCCTGAGTGAATCATATTTTACACATTGACTGTAACATATACACGCTTACAAAAGAAAATACTTGGGAAAACAACGTCTATCGCGCATCGAAAAACTTCCCAACCAAACGGAAAGGAACAAGAATGATTCTGTTCAAAGCTGCAGCGAATGAATGAAAACAAAATGCAAACATCATTATAACAACCTACCAAAGTTATAATGTATCCGGGAATATCAACATACAGGAACAATATCCATCGCGTCTGCAGCTGTACAAAAATACTTATTCGATGTAAAATGTCTATGTGAGAATCAAATACTTTAATAATAATTATTTGGAAACAATATTTGGAATATATATGAAATATATTAAAATATTTAAATATATCGTTTTTAAACGTTATTTAAATGTATCGAATAGTATAACCCGTGTTTGTTTCTTAACTGATCACTTATTTTGTTTCAATTGTTTCACATAGGTGCCAAGTTAGCTGAGAAAGCCCACGTGACAACTATTTTTATAATGTCCACGGTTCTTAAAAACATACATTGAGTTAGATAACAATGAACAACCAGTCAGTGTATTATCGGTTACCCTTTGAACAAAGTATGTTGTTTTTACATCTGTACTTCACGCCATGATATGAGTATTCCCTAGGTTTAGTAACCCTACCTTCACATGTAAACACTTACTTTTGACATATCCACTGTGCAAGATAACAGTAATTAATCAATCAACGTATTTCCTGTTGATCCTTTGATGTCTGGGAATGATCAGTTGATTTACAAAAAAAAGTAAAGCAACTGATCATACATCACTTGCTGGGCTGCGACGTGCATAACTCACATTCCACCTCACTTCAAACCTGGATTTAGATTAAATAATTACCCCAGGTGCAAGAAAGACCAAATTTGAACCTTTATCGGGTAATCTGAGTGGTGCTACAACTAAGTATACATGTTATAAATTCATTAACTGAGCAGCAAGTGAATTACGACAAATACAGAAGTGTAGGGTTATACCAGAAAATGTGGATGACAACAAGGGAGTAGTAATTGTATCATCCACGCAATCCGAAATCCGCAAATGCTTTCACTCAGGGATACTTTTTTATTATCAAACTGTAACAATCAGGGGTATTTCCAAATGACGACATCCGATGGGCTTTCGCCGTTATTTGTCTGTTTGTTTAGGCTGAAGAAATTAATTACCATGCGCCCTTTGTTGAAATCTTCATAGATCACGGGTAACCAATCAGTTTTCAAAAATGCGTAAGTTTATTTAGCTGTCCTTGCAGACTGGTAGCCCAGTCTCTTGTCACGCTCGGTTGCGTTAACGAGCAAATTGACTCACGGCAGCTAGTAAGCCCAAGCGGAAATACTAAGGTCGTGTTACCTGAAGAATCAACCTTCATTTGCGAAATATCTACTGCTCTCAAAATCAATATTTCTCCCAATACTAAAAGTCAGAACTTTCTAACCAAGGAGTACCAGTTGAAACTGGTCGATGGCTGAACATTCCCAGGGAAGACAACCAGTGTCCACTCTGTGATTCTATCGCTGTGGGAGATGAATTGCATTATATATTCCGATGTGAAGCTTTTCACCAACGGCGATATGAACTCTTAAATAAGCAATATCTTAAGTTTCCAAACATTTAAGAAAATTATGACCACTAACAGTGTAAGAAATCTAAAAGGCCTATCTAAATTCCTTAACAATGTGTACAATACAATTGGTAAATTGTATTAGTATCCACGTATCCAATTTGTATTAAATTGTACATAATAAAAATTGTAGATAATTGTATGTCATGTTATTCTAAGAATAAATGAGTTTGAGTCCGACACCCGAGAAGAAGCCAGAGATTAGTGCCCCTTTTTGAATAGTTTACAATCATGTGTTTTATGGTTAGCTGTGTTGGCTTAAACGTATTTTTATTTCAAAAGAAATCTGGATCGGTAAACAAGCAAAACTTGCTTATGTAATACCTCTCCAGGTAACAACTTAACAACAGCTGGATATATATAAGAGAGTGATGAACATAAACATACAAAATGCACAAATGAAATACACGAAGCCAATACACTGAAGCAAGTGGTGTCTGTGAAATAAGGTAATGCAGTTTTCCTTTACTACATGCATAAAATTAAGCTACTCAAACCTTTTGCTTTTGACAATGATGTCATGAACTGATTTAAGAAGAGTCATGTTTGTAGAAGTGCTTAACTACTGCCATGTAATATCATTTTTAGACCATACCCATGTGTGTAGAAATACACAGTGTTTCTGATATTATCGTATTTTTTAACAGTTATAGAAAAAGTGAATTGCATCTTCAAGGTGATATCCACAAGTGCAGTCTGGTATATCTGATACATGTCGTCTAAACTTATCAGCGTTTAAGTCACTGCAGCCGAGCCTAAGGCGACAGTGGACAATTTGGCATGATCTATGAAAATATTTGAAGTCAAAATTATTAATAATTGCATCAGAACGATTAATTAAGGATTTGATTTCTTTTAATGAGCGAGCATTAGTTACTTCATCAGATAGAGGGTTCCGCAGGTTGATCATATCCAGAAGAAATGATAATAAGCATAGGACTGTGTTCTACATTTGATTGTTTGTATGTTGAATCTTTTTCTAAGGTTATATTTGCTGTTATCAGAGAATTGAATATACACTTTACAAATATTTTGGCTAAGCAACTTGTGAGTGCTACAAGTCTATAATTTGAGCATTCATGTTCATCGCTGACACTGACACCGCATCAGCCCGGCAGTGGACTTGACAAAATTATTTGCGCACAGATTATATAACTCCTACAGACAGGTGGGGTGGTTGTTCAAAGCGAAACGGACGACCCCGTCTGTTATCTAATAAATGCTGTGCGGCGCCTTTGATCTTGCCTCCAACCATACACCTTATAGTAGTAAACGACGATCAGGATGGCCTGGAAATAAACACAATTCTGTCTGCCCAGTGCATCCACAATTAACTAACACTTCTTTATTTAATCATTACGCTTTTTTACCCTAATAGTACAAGTGCTTCCCCGTGAGCGAGATAGGCTTAAGTCGGAAAGCGCACGTTAAATCTCCGAGGTACCTATCTACCAGAACTCTATTTGCTGTTCTGGCCATACATAAATATATGTAAGTTACGTACATGGGGAGGCTAGATTATTTACAGCTTACAGCAATATAGTGCAAATATTATGTTCAATAAAAGAAAACGTTGATAGATCTATAACACACTTTTTGTACTATTAAACCAACTGTGGACTTTTAAGACATTTTCGCTTATTGTAATAACATCTAGCTAACCAATCATGTCTATCTCTGAAATCCACAAGCATAGTTGCTGTCAAACCTAAAAAACATATTCAGGGAGGTCAGTTTTGACTTGCCAAGCACCTTAAGGTGAGTTTATTTTTAAACTGTCAAAAGCGATTGTCCCTTCAATACTAGTATATGTCTGGAAGCTGTCTGTCAGACTGTTATGAGTTATGATGTATTTTATGATATAACTGGGGAATGTTCAAATTAGTTACTGTCATTTAATCCAACGTTCTAACTGTCAACTGTCTCAACAGGATCATAGGTTTGGTTATATATCTCCTCCCTGTCTCTATGTCTTAAGTTGTCAATCGGTAACTGCGGTCCAAATGTATCAACTTATTCATCTATTGTTGCAAACTTGACTGATTTAAACATATCTTATTGATCATGAACTACTCAGTCAGTCAAGCACCTGTATCAGAAATGTAAAACCAGCCATGTTTCATGTTGTCCCAATATCACTGAAAAATGCCGATGTAACGTGACAAATAAATTTACTCACAGACAATATATTTTTCGTGAGAGTGAAGCACAATTTTATTAAAGTTTTATTAACAATTTCATAAACTATAATAATATTAATATTAAAATTCATCATCACTTGCCAAGTTTATGAAAATGTCCCCATTTGGGAGATGTCACATATAAACAAGGATTCGAACTAAGTTTGATCGTCTTTGACACTGAGGTTTATTCCCCTTTTGCCAGCAAACTGCAGAAGATTAACAGTGAGTGAGTGAGCATCGTTTCTATGTTTATACAAGAAAAGATCTCATGCCAAAACGCTCACAGTAGTTAGTAAGTAAACTCACGACCTGTCATGACCTGGTTGAGTGACTTCCTCAAATCAACGTGAAAGGATTACCCACAGAGAAAGAAAGGATTAAAGTCACCCATAAATCTTATCCTAACGTAGTACTCCAACTTCTAAATGCCTCTCAAAGAAGGATTAAAATCCTAAAGATATCCTATCTACGTGGTATAGGTACTCACAACCTCTAATAATAAACTGTTACGTTTGGTATCCCCAGCAATACTCACTATGGTCATTGGGCAAATGTAAAAATCACAAACCCTAACGAGATTCTGTCTACATGGTCACACCCGGTGATTGTGAAGATCTCAAATTTTATCAACTGTCAGACAGCATGGCTGTTCATATTCATTTACAACATCCTCTTATAATTAGTATAAAAGTGTCCCACACAAAACCTTCTTTTATTTATTTTTCAAAATACAACACAGAAAGTGGGGTGTGGGGAAATGGGACATATTCCTACGTGAAATAATGAGACATTAGTAGTGGTGACGGCTATGTCATAATTGAACTGTCTAAAGCATAAATTTGGCGAACGAAAAACGTTATATTTGCAATCAAATGGAATCAAATGGAATGACTCGTGTGGGCAAATGAATATGTTCGCAATCCACAAACAATTATTTTATTAATGGCGAACATTTACCAACCCGCGACAAACACAGGGGTTCCCTTAGCAATAAACTCGCATCTAAATTCACTACTGTTCTACTGTCGGCTAGCCACAATGGCTAGACTGGACCCTAGTGGAATGGTTCATGCCATAAAAGTCTAGCAACCGATTGTATTTACGGTCTGGTGAACACAGCTCAATGGCCGCTCATTAACTCAAATTTCACATCTCACTGTTTTGTTTTATCTCACTATTCATTTGATAAATTTGTCAACTTCAACTGGAACCCGGTCCCGTGTTACACGCGTGGCACACGCGTGTGCAACGGGTTGCACACGCGATTCACACACATTGCACACCCGTGTCCAACGGGTGCTCACCCCGTGTGCAACCCGTTGAGCACCCGTGTCACATGCGTGTTACACGCGTTCTCAACGCGTGTTAGGGGAATGACTTTTTAGGCAGTAGTGTACGTCAAACCACGAAAATCATATGACATCTTAAGAGCTGTATGATCACACACAATCTTATGCACTTTCATATGAGTGTGAGATATGTGTCTGTTACAACTAGCAGCAGTTAAAATACACATAACTTCTGGACGTGCAGAGCGACTGTCGTAAAGATACCAGGAGTATTTAAACTACAGAAATCAAGAGTATGACGAACCTAAAGAAGAAATTCATATTCCTTGTATTGATCAGATATATTATGGATATCAGACCACGCCCTTTGTACTGACTTTCCAATGTTAATTCATCTGTGTAGAAATGATAAAAATGTGTTCCCGAGAAAATATAGAGGTATTGCATGAAACAATGAAAGGATTTGCTTATTCCAACCACTAGGCGACGACAATGTGACCGAGTGGAGCCAATGGAGTGCTGCAGCATGCACAGCCACCTGTGGTCCAGGCCAAGAGGGAAGCGTGAAAAGAAGCAGAAGTTGTATTACGCCGGCCAATAATATCAGCTGTACAGCCGAACTAATAGAAACCCAAATGGGAAACTGTGACCTCCCTAAATGTCCAGGTAAATGTGTAGCCATGTGTAACTGTATCACTTTCATGTACTGCAGCATATAAAATGTAGCAACCCTACCCTGAGAAGTACATGTAACTTGTTTCATGTACATTCTTAGTGCTATATTTCCTTCATCAGACTATGGAAAAGCGTCTCCTTCTTGACTGAAGCAGTTCTGACAGAGCGAGTTTGTATGTAAAGGTTGTTGGCTTTAATAATTTGTCTCCAAGTTGACAAAGTACTACGAGTGGAATATCAAACCGTCTCCAATTCACTTGCTCGTATGACACATGTTCCCCAAATAAGATATGAAAAACCATGTCCATTTTATGCTGTTAATCAATCGCCAACTCTTTCTAATGTAACTACATTTTGAAATGCATGAAATATCCTGATAATATTATGTATCAATTTCTAAAGGCATCAGATAAATCGTCACTTTGCTTTATTTGACGAACACTGTAAAGGTGAGACATGGGCAGAAACAAAGCGAAACCCAGCGAAAAAGACAACACTGGTCTCTTTTTCTACTTTAACAGAAACATTCCTGATTTCACAATACGCAGCAAATAGTCGGATGAACACAACATCAGTATTTGCTACACAATTGTCACATTTATTAGTGATAATATATGGATTGCTAGCATATCACTGTATTGACAATATGTTGATACTTTGCAGTTGATGGAGGGCTGTCAAACTGGACATCGTGGTCAATCGTACCCTGCCCTGTCACATGTGGAGCAGATGCCATGACAAACCAGAGCAGACGTAGGGATTGTAACGCCCCTGCTCCGGAAGCCGGTGGCAAGAACTGCACGGGTCCACTGACGGAAACCAGTCAGACACACTGCAATGTTCCTCCATGTAGTGGTACGTGAAGACCAATTTGTCATACAGTTTATACGTCTGTAGTGTACATGTACAACTTTCAGTTTAATTATCGGAGGACTAAACTGTGCCTTTATGGTCATACGTCAAACCACGAAAATCATATGACATCTTAAGAGCTGTATGATCACACACAATCTTATGCACTTTCATATGAGTGTGAGATATGTGTCTGTTACAACTAGCAGCAGTTAAAATACACATAACTTCTGGACGTGCAGAGCGACTGTCGTAAAGATACCAGGAGTATTTAAACTACAGAAATCAAGAGTATGACGAACCTAAAGAAGAAATTCATATTCCTTGTATTGATCAGATATATTATGGATATCAGATCACGCCCTTTGTACTGACTTTCCAATGTTAACTCATCTGTGTAGAAATGATAAAAATGTGTTCCCGAGAAATATAGAGGTATTGCACGAAACAATGAAAGGATTTGCTTATTCCAACCACTAGGCGACGACAATGTGACCGAGTGGAGCCAATGGAGTGCTGCAGCATGCACAGCCACCTGTGGTCCAGGCCAAGAGGGAAGCGTGAAAAGAAGCAGAAGTTGTATTACGCCGGCCAATAATATCAGCTGTACAGCCGAACTAATAGAAACCCAAATGGGAAACTGTGACCTCCCTAAATGTCCAGGTAAATGTGTAGCCATGTGTAACTGTATCACTTTCATGTACTGCAGCATATAAAATGTAGCAAACCCTACCCTGAGAAGTACATGTAACTTGTTTCATGTACATTCTTAGTGCTATATTTCCTTCATCAGACTATGGAAAAGCGTCTCCTTCTTGACTGAAGCAGTTCTGACAGAGCGAGTTTGTATGTAAAGGTTGTTGGCTTTAATAATTTGTCTCCAAGTTGACAAAGTACTACGAGTGGAATATCAAACCCGTCTCCAATTCACTTGCTCGTATGACACATGTTCCCCAAATAAGATATGAAAAACCATGTCCATTTTATGCTGTTAATCAATCGCCAACTCTTTCTAATGTAACTACATTTTGAAATGCATGAAATATCCTGATAATATTATGTATCAATTTCTAAAGGCATCAGATAAATCGTCACTTTGCTTTATTTGACGAACACTGTAAAGGTGAGACATGGGCAGAAACAAAGCGAAACCCAGCGAAAAAGACAACACTGGTCTCTTTTTCTACTTTAACAGAAACATTCCTGATTTCACAATACGCAGCAAATAGTCGGATGAACACAACATCAGTATTTGCTACACAATTGTCACATTTATTAGTGATAATATATGGATTGCTAGCATATCACTGTATTGACAATATGTTGATACTTTGCAGTTGATGGAGGGCTGTCAAACTGGACATCGTGGTCAATCGTACCCTGCCCTGTCACATGTGGAGCAGATGCCATGACAAACCAGAGCAGACGTAGGGATTGTAACGCCCCTGCTCCGGAAGCCGGTGGCAAGAACTGCACGGGTCCACTGACGGAAACCAGTCAGACACACTGCAATGTTCCTCCATGTAGTGGTACGTGAAGACCAATTTGTCATACAGTTTATACGTCTGTAGTGTACATGTACAACTTTCAGTTTAATTATCGGAGGACTAAACTGTGCCTTTATGGTCATACGTCAAACCACGAAAATCATATGACATCTTAAGAGCTGTATGATCACACACAATCTTATGCACTTTCATATGAGTGTGAGATATGTGTCTGTTACAACTAGCAGCAGTTAAAATACACATAACTTCTGGACGTGCAGAGCGACTGTCGTAAAGATACCAGGAGTATTTAAACTACAGAAATCAAGAGTATGACGAACCTAAAGAAGAAATTCATATTCCTTGTATTGATCAGATATATTATGGATATCAGACCACGCCCTTTGTACTGACTTTCCAATGTTAACTCATCTGTGTAGAAATGATAAAAATGTGTTCCCGAGAAATATAGAGGTATTGCACGAAACAATGAAAGGATTTGCTTATTCCAACCACTAGGCGACGACAATGTGACCGAGTGGAGCCAATGGAGTGCTGCAGCATGCACAGCCACCTGTGGTCCAGGCCAAGAGGGAAGCGTGAAAAGAAGCAGAAGTTGTATTACGCCGGCCAATAATATCAGCTGTACAGCCGAACTAATAGAAACCCAAATGGGAAACTGTGACCTCCCTAAATGTCCAGGTAAATGTGTAGCCATGTGTAACTGTATCACTTTCATGTACTGCAGCATATAAAATGTAGCAAACCCTACCCTGAGAAGTACATGTAACTTGTTTCATGTACATTCTTAGTGCTATATTTCCTTCATCAGACTATGGAAAAGCGTCTCCTTCTTGACTGAAGCAGTTCTGACAGAGCGAGTTTGTATGTAAAGGTTGTTGGCTTTAATAATTTGTCTCCAAGTTGACAAAGTACTACGAGTGGAATATCAAACCCGTCTCCAATTCACTTGCTCGTATGACACATGTTCCCCAAATAAGATATGAAAAACCATGTCCATTTTATGCTGTTAATCAATCGCCAACTCTTTCTAATGTAACTACATTTTGAAATGCATGAAATATCCTGATAATATTATGTATCAATTTCTAAAGGCATCAGATAAATCGTCACTTTGCTTTATTTGACGAACACTGTAAAGGTGAGACATGGGCAGAAACAAAGCGAAACCCAGCGAAAAAGACAACACTGGTCTCTTTTTCTACTTTAACAGAAACATTCCTGATTTCACAATACGCAGCAAATAGTCGGATGAACACAACATCAGTATTTGCTACACAATTGTCACATTTATTAGTGATAATATATGGATTGCTAGCATATCACTGTATTGACAATATGTTGATACTTTGCAGTTGATGGAGGGCTGTCAAACTGGACATCGTGGTCAATCGTACCCTGCCCTGTCACATGTGGAGCAGATGCCATGACAAACCAGAGCAGACGTAGGGATTGTAACGCCCCTGCTCCGGAAGCCGGTGGCAAGAACTGCACGGGTCCACTGACGGAAACCAGTCAGACACACTGCAATGTTCCTCCATGTAGTGGTACGTGAAGACCAATTTGTCATACAGTTTATACGTCTGTAGTGTACATGTACAACTTTCAGTTTAATTATCGGAGGACTAAACTGTGCCTTTATGGTCATACGTCAAACCACGAAAATCATATGACATCTTAAGAGCTGTATGATCACACACAATCTTATGCACTTTCATATGAGTGTGAGATATGTGTCTGTTACAACTAGCAGCAGTTAAAATACACATAACTTCTGGACGTGCAGAGCGACTGTCGTAAAGATACCAGGAGTATTTAAACTACAGAAATCAAGAGTATGACGAACCTAAAGAAGAAATTCATATTCCTTGTATTGATCAGATATATTATGGATATCAGACCACGCCCTTTGTACTGACTTTCCAATGTTAACTCATCTGTGTAGAAATGATAAAAATGTGTTCCCGAGAAATATAGAGGTATTGCACGAAACAATGAAAGGATTTGCTTATTCCAACCACTAGGCGACGACAATGTGACCGAGTGGAGCCAATGGAGTGCTGCAGCATGCACAGCCACCTGTGGTCCAGGCCAAGAGGGAAGCGTGAAAAGAAGCAGAAGTTGTATTACGCCGGCCAATAATATCAGCTGTACAGCCGAACTAATAGAAACCCAAATGGGAAACTGTGACCTCCCTAAATGTCCAGGTAAATGTGTAGCCATGTGTAACTGTATCACTTTCATGTACTGAAGTATATAAAATGTAGCAACCCTACCCTGAGAAGTAACTTGTTTCATGTACATTCTTAGTGCTATATTTCCTTCATCAGACTATGGAAAAGCGTCTCCTTCTTGACTGAAGCAGTTCTGACAGAGCGAGTTTGTATGTAAAGGTTGTTGGCTTTAATAATTTGTCTCCAAGTTGACAAAGTACTACGAGTGGAATATCAAACCGTCTCCAATTCACTTGCTCGTATGACACATGTTCCCCAAATAAGATATGAAAAACCATGTCCATTTTATGCTGTTAATCAATCGCCAACTCTTTCCAAAGTAACTACATTTTGAAATGCATGAAATATCCTGATAACATTATGTATCGATTTCTAAAGGCATCAGATAAATCGTCACTTTGCTTTATTTGACGAACACTGTAAAGGTGAGACATGGGCAGAAACAAAGCGAAACCCAGCGAAAAAGACAACACTGGTCTCTTTTTCTACTTTAACAGAAACATTCCTGATTTCACAATACGCAGCAAATAGTCGGATGAACACAACATCAGTATTTGCTACACAATTGTCACATTTATTAGTGATAATATATGGATTGCTAGCATATCACTGTATTGACAATATGTTGATACTTTGCAGTTGATGGAGGGCTGTCAAACTGGACATCGTGGTCAATCGTACCCTGCCCTGTCACATGTGGAGCAGATGCCATGACAAACCAGAGCAGACGTAGGGATTGTAACGCCCCTGCTCCGGAAGCCGGTGGCAAGAACTGCACGGGTCCACTGACGGAAACCAGTCAGACACACTGCAATGTTCCTCCATGTAGTGGTACGTGAAGACCAATTTGTCATACAGTTTATACGTCTGTAGTGTACATGTACAACTTTCAGTTTAATTATCGGAGGACTAAACTGTGCCTTTATGGTCATACGTCAAACCACGAAAATCATATGACATCTTAAGAGCTGTATGATCACACACAATCTTATGCACTTTCATATGAGTGTGAGATATGTGTCTGTTACAACTAGCAGCAGTTAAAATACACATAACTTCTGGACGTGCAGAGCGACTGTCGTAAAGATACCAGGAGTATTTAAACTACAGAAATCAAGAGTATGACGAACCTAAAGAAGAAATTCATATGCCTTGTATTGATCAGATATATTATGGATATCAGACCACGCCCTTTGTACTGACTTTCCAATGTTAACTCATCTGTGTAGAAATGATAAAAATGTGTTCCCGAGAAATATAGAGGTATTGCACGAAACAATGAAAGGATTTGCTTATTCCAACCACTAGGCGACGACAATGTGACCGAGTGGAGCCAATGGAGTGCTGCAGCATGCACAGCCACCTGTGGTCCAGGCCAAGAGGGAAGCGTGAAAAGAAGCAGAAGTTGTATTACGCCGGCCAATAATATCAGCTGTACAGCCGAACTAATAGAAACCCAAATGGGAAACTGTGACCTCCCTAAATGTCCAGGTAAATGTGTAGCCATGTGTAACTGTATCACTTTCATGTACTGCAGTATATAAAATGTAGCAACCCTACCCTGAGAAGTAACTTGTTTCATGTACATTCTTAGTGCTATATTTCCTTCATCAGACTATGGAAAAGCGTCTCCTTCTTGACTGAAGCAGTTCTGACAGAGCGAGTTTGTATGTAAAAGTTGTTGGCTTTAATAATTTGTCTCCAAGTTGACAAAGTACTACGAGTGGAATATCAAACCCGTCTCCAATTCACTTGCTCGTATGACACATGTTCCCCAAATAAGATATGAAAAACCATGTCCATTTTATGCTGTTAATCAATCGCCAACTCTTTCTAATGTAACTACATTTTGAAATGCATGAAATATCCTTATAACATTATGTATCGATTTCTAAAGGCATCAGATAAATCGTCACTTTGCTTTATTTGACGAACACTGTAAAGGTGAGACATGGGCAGAAACAAAGCGAAACCCAGCGAAAAAGACAACACTGGTCTCTTTTTCTACTTTAACAGAAACATTCCTGATTTCACAATACGCAGCAAATAGTCGGATGAACACAACATCAGTATTTGCTACACAATTGTCACATTTATTAGTGATAATATATGGATTGCTAGCATATCACTGTATTGACAATATGTTGATACTTTGCAGTTGATGGAGGGCTGTCAAACTGGACATCGTGGTCAATCGTACCCTGCCCTGTCACATGTGGAGCAGATGCCATGACAAACCAGAGCAGACGTAGGGATTGTAACAACCCTGCTCCGGAAGCCGGTGGCAAGAACTGCACGGGTCCACTGACGGAAACCAGTCAGACACACTGCAATGTTCCTCCATGTAGTGGTACGTGAAGACCAATTTGTCATACAGTTTATACGTCTGTAGTGTACATGTACAACTTTCAGTTTAATTATCGGAGGACTAAACTGTGCCTTTATGGTCATACGTCAAACCACGAAAATCATATGACATCTTAAGAGCTGTATGATCACACACAATCTTATGCACTTTCACATGAGTGTGAGATATGTGTCTGTTACAACTAGCAGCAGTTAAAATACACATAACTTCTGGACGTGCAGAGCGACTGTCGTAAAGATACCAGGAGTATTTAAACTACAGAAATCAAGAGTATGACGAACCTCAAGAAGAAATTCATATTCCTTGTATTGATCAGATATATTATGGATATCAGACCACGCCCTTTGTACTGACTTTCCAATGTTAACTCATCTGTGTAGAAATGATAAAAATGTGTTCCCGAGAAATATAGAGGTATTGCACGAAACAATGACAGGATTTGCTTATTCCAACCACTAGGCGACGACAATGTGACCGAGTGGAGCCAATGGAGTGCTGCAGCATGCACAGCCACCTGTGGTCCAGGCCAAGAGGGAAGCGTGAAAAGAAGCAGAAGTTGTATTACGCCGGCCAATAATATCAGCTGTACAGCCGAACTAATAGAAACCCAAATGGGAAACTGTGACCTCCCTAAATGTCCAGGTAAATGTGTAGCCATGTGTAACTGTATCACTTTCATGTACTGCAGTATATAAAATGTAGCAACCCTACCCTGAGAAGTAACTTGTTTCATGTACATTCTTAGTGCTATATTTCCTTCATCAGACTATGGAAAAGCGTCTCCTTCTTGACTGAAGCAGTTCTGACAGAGCGAGTTTGTATGTAAAGGTTGTTGGCTTTAATAATTTGTCTCCAAGTTGACAAAGTACTACGAGTGGAATATCAAACCCGTCTCCAATTCACTTGCTCGTATGACACATGTTCCCCAAATAAGATATGAAAAACCATGTCCATTTTATGCTGTTAATCAATCGCCAACTCTTTTCTAATGTAACTACATTTTGAAATGCATGAAATATCCTGATAACATTATGTATCAATTTCTAAAGGCATCAGATAAATCGTCACTTTGCTTTATTTGACGAACACTGTAAAGGTGAGACATGGGCAGAAACAAAGCGAAACCCAGCGAAAAAGACAACACTGGTCTCTTTTTCTACTTTGACAGAAACATTCCTGATTTCACAATACGCAGCAAATAGTCGGATGCACACAACATCAGTATTTGCTACACAATTGTCACATTTATTAGTGATAATATATGGATTGCTAGCATATCACTGTATTGACAATATGTTGATACTTTGCAGTTGATGGAGGGCTGTCAAACTGGACATCGTGGTCAATCGTACCCTGCCCTGTCACATGTGGAGCAGATGCCATGACAAACCAGAGCAGACGTAGGGATTGTAACGCCCCTGCTCCGGAAGCCGGTGGCAAGAACTGCACGGGTCCACTGACGGAAACCAGTCAGACACACTGCAATGTTCCTCCATGTAGTGGTACGTGAAGACCAATTTGTCATACAGTTTATACGTCTGTAGTGTACATGTACAACTTTCAGTTTAATTATCGGAGGACTAAACTGTGCCTTTATGGTCATACGTCAAACCACGAAAATCATATGACATCTTAAGAGCTGTATGATCACACACAATCTTATGCACTTTCATATGAGTGTGAGATATGTGTCTGTTACAACTAGCAGCAGTTAAAATACACATAACTTCTGGACGTGCAGAGCGACTGTCGTAAAGATACCAGGAGTATTTAAACTACAGAAATCAAGAGTATGACGAACCTAAAGAAGACATTCATATTCCTTGTATTGATCAGATATATTATGGATATCAGACCACGCCCTTTGAACTGACTTTCCAATGTTAATTCATCTGTGTAGAAATGATAAAAATGTGTTCCCGAGAAAATATAGAGGTATTGCATGAAACAATGAAAGGATTTGCTTATTCCAACCACTAGGCGACGACAATGTGACCGAGTGGAGCCAATGGAGTGCTGCAGCATGCACAGCCACCTGTGGTCCAGGCCAAGAGGGAAGCGTGAAAAGAAGCAGAAGTTGTATTACGCCGGCCAATAATATCAGCTGTACAGCCGAACTAATAGAAACCCAAATGGGAAACTGTGACCTCCCTAAATGTCCAGGTAAATGTGTAGCCATGTGTAACTGTATCACTTTCATGTACTGCAGTATATAAAATGTAGCAACCCTACCCTGAGAAGTAACTTGTTTCATGTACATTCTTAGTGCTATATTTCCTTCATCAGACTATGGAAAAGCGTCTCCTTCTTGACTGAAGCAGTTCTGACAGAGCGAGTTTGTATGTAAAGGTTGTTGGCTTTAATAATTTGTCTCCAAGTTGACAAAGTACTACGAGTGGAATATCAAACCCGTCTCCAATTCACTTGCTCGTATGACACATGTTCCCCAAATAAGATATGAAAAACCATGTCCATTTTATGCTGTTAATCAATCGCCAACTCTTTCTAATGTAACTACATTTTGAAATGCATGAAATATCCTGATAACATTATGTATCAATTTCTAAAGGCATCAGATAAATCGTCACTTTGCTTTATTTGACGAACACTGTAAAGGTGAGACATGGGCAGAAACAAAGCGAAACCCAGCGAAAAAGACAACACTGGTCTCTTTTTCTACTTTAACAGAAACATTCCTGATTTCACAATACGCAGCAAATAGTCGGATGCACACAACATCAGTATTTGCTACACAATTGTCACATTTATTAGTGATAATATATGGATTGCTAGCATATCACTGTATTGACAATATGTTGATACTTTGCAGTTGATGGAGGGCAGTCAAACTGGACATCGTGGTCAATCGTACCCTGCCCTGTCACATGTGGAGCAGATGCCATGACAAACCAGAGCAGACGTAGGGATTGTAACGCCCCTGCTCCGGAAGCCGGTGGCAAGAACTGCACGGGTCCACTGACGGAAACCAGTCAGACACACTGCAATGTTCCTCCATGTAGTGGTACGTGAAGACCAATTTGTCATACAGTTTATACGTCTGTAGTGTACATGTACAACTTTCAGTTTAATTATCGGAGGACTAAACTGTGCCTTTATGGTCATACGTCAAACCACGAAAATCATATGACATCTTAAGAGCTGTATGATCACACACAATCTTATGCACTTTCATATGAGTGTGAGATATGTGTCTGTTACAACTAGCAGCAGTTAAAATACACATAACTTCTGGACGTGCAGAGCGACTGTCGTAAAGATACCAGGAGTATTTAAACTACAGAAATCAAGAGTATGACGAACCTAAAGAAGACATTCATATTCCTTGTATTGATCAGATATATTATGGATATCAGACCACGCCCTTTGAACTGACTTTCCAATGTTAATTCATCTGTGTAGAAATGATAAAAATGTGTTCCCGAGAAAATATAGAGGTATTGCATGAAACAATGAAAGGATTTGCTTATTCCAACCACTAGGCGACGACAATGTGACCGAGTGGAGCCAATGGAGTGCTGCAGCATGCACAGCCACCTGTGGTCCAGGCCAAGAGGGAAGCGTGAAAAGAAGCAGAAGTTGTATTACGCCGGCCAATAATATCAGCTGTACAGCCGAACTAATAGAAACCCAAATGGGAAACTGTGACCTCCCTAAATGTCCAGGTAAATGTGTAGCCATGTGTAACTGTATCACTTTCATGTACTGCAGTATATAAAATGTAGCAACCCTACCCTGAGAAGTAACTTGTTTCATGTACATTCTTAGTGCTATATTTCCTTCATCAGACTATGGAAAAGCGTCTCCTTCTTGACTGAAGCAGTTCTGACAGAGCGAGTTTGTATGTAAAGGTTGTTGGCTTTAATAATTTGTCTCCAAGTTGACAAAGTACTACGAGTGGAATATCAAACCCGTCTCCAATTCACTTGCTCGTATGACACATGTTCCCCAAATAAGATATGAAAAACCATGTCCATTTTATGCTGTTAATCAATCGCCAACTCTTTCTAATGTAACTACATTTTGAAATGCATGAAATATCCTGATAACATTATGTATCAATTTCTAAAGGCATCAGATAAATCGTCACTTTGCTTTATTTGACGAACACTGTAAAGGTGAGACATGGGCAGAAACAAAGCGAAACCCAGCGAAAAAGACAACACTGGTCTCTTTTTCTACTTTAACAGAAACATTCCTGATTTCACAATACGCAGCAAATAGTCGGATGCACACAACATCAGTATTTGCTACACAATTGTCACATTTATTAGTGATAATATATGGATTGCTAGCATATCACTGTATTGACAATATGTTGATACTTTGCAGTTGATGGAGGGCAGTCAAACTGGACATCGTGGTCAATCGTACCCTGCCCTGTCACATGTGGAGCAGATGCCATGACAAACCAGAGCAGACGTAGGGATTGTAACGCCCCTGCTCCGGAAGCCGGTGGCAAGAACTGCACGGGTCCACTGACGGAAACCAGTCAGACACACTGCAATGTTCCTCCATGTAGTGGTACGTGAAGACCAATTTGTCATACAGTTTATACGTCTGTAGTGTACATGTACAACTTTCAGTTTAATTATCGGAGGACTAAACTGTGCCTTTATGGTCATACGTCAAACCACGAAAATCATATGACATCTTAAGAGCTGTATGATCACACACAATCTTATGCACTTTCATATGAGTGTGAGATATGTGTCTGTTACAACTAGCAGCAGTTAAAATACACATAACTTCTGGACGTGCAGAGCGACTGTCGTAAAGATACCAGGAGTATTTAAACTACAGAAATCAAGAGTATGACGAACCTAAAGAAGACATTCATATTCCTTGTATTGATCAGATATATTATGGATATCAGACCACGCCCTTTGTACTGACTTTCCAATGTTAATTCATCTGTGTAGAAATGATAAAAATGTGTTCCCGAGAAAATATAGAGGTATTGCAGGAAACAATGAAAGGATTTGCTTATTCCAACCACTAGGCGACGACAATGTGACCGAGTGGAGCCAATGGAGTGCTGCAGCATGCACAGCCACCTGTGGTCCAGGCCAAGAGGGAAGCGTGAAAAGAAGCAGAAGTTGTATTACGCCGGCCAATAATATCAGCTGTACAGCCGAACTAATAGAAACCCAAATGGGAAACTGTGACCTCCCTAAATGTCCTGGTAAATGTGTAGCCATGTGTAACTGTATCACTTTCATGTACTGCAGTATATAAAATGTAGCAACCCTACCCTGAGAAGTAACTTTTTTAATGTACATTCTTAGTGCTATATTTCCACCATCAGATAATGGAAAAGCCTCTCCCCCTTGACTGAAGCATCTCTGACAGAGCGAATTTGTATGTAAAGGTTGTTGGATTTAATAGTGTGTCTCTAAGTTAACAAAGGAGAGAATACGAGTGGAATATCAAATCCGTCTCCAATTCACTTGCTCATTTGACCAATGTTCCCAAAATGTGATATTAAAAACCATGTCCATTTTATGCCGTTAATTAATGTCCAACTCCATTTTATGTAACTACATTTTGTAATACATGAAATATCCTGATAACATTATGTATCAATTCTAAAGCATCATATAAATCGCCCTTTTGCTTTATAGACACACACTGTACAGGTGAGAGATGGGCAGAACTAAAACGAATCTGAGTGAATAAACACTGGTTACTTTTTCTACGTGCAAAACTGAAGCATTCCTGATTTCACAATATGCAGCAAATTGTCGGATGAACACAACATCAGCATTTGCTACACAGTTGTGACATTTATTATTGGTAATATATGGATTGATAAAAGTTCACTGTGTTGACAATGTTGATACTTTGCAGTTAATGGCGGGCTGTCAAACTGGACATCGTGGTCAATCGTACCCTGCCATGTCACATGTGGAGTAGATGTCATGACAAATCAGAGCAGACATAGGGATTGTAACAACCCTGCTCCAGAAGCCGGTGGCAAGAACTGCACAGGTCCACTGACGGAAGCCAGTCAGACACACTGCAATGTCCCTCCATGTAGTGGTATGTGAAGGCCAATTTGCCATACAGTTTATACTTCTGAATTGTACATTTAAAACTTTCATTTTAATTATCGGAGGACGAAACTGTGCCTTTATGGTCATATGTCGAACCACAAAGATCAAATGACATCTTAAGAGCTGTATATCACACACAATCTTGTGCATTCTTATATGGGTATTAGATATGTGTCTGTTACAACTAGCAGCAACTAAAATACGCATAACTTCTGGACGTGTAGAGCGACTGTCGTAAAGATACCAGGAGTATTTAAACTAAGGAAATCAAGAGTATGACAAACCTTAAGAATAAATTCATATTCCTTGTACTGATGACATATATTATGTATGTCAGACCAAGCCTTTCGTATTGACTTTCCAATTTTCATTCAACTATGTAGAAATGTTAGAAATGTTGTCCAGAGAAATATAGAGGCATTGCACGAAACAATGAAACGATTTTCTTATTCCAACCACTAGGCGACGACGATGTTGGCGAGTGGAGCCAATGGAGTGCTGCAGCATGCACAGCCACCTGTGGTCCAGACCAGGAGGGAAGCATGGAAAGAAGCAGAAGTTGTGTTATGCCGGGCAATAGTATCAGCTGTACAGCCGCACTAACAGAAACCCAAATGGGAAACTGCGGCCTCCCTAAATGCCCAGGTAAATGTGTAGCCATGTGTAACTGTTACACTTTCATGTACTGCAGTATATACAATGTAGCAGCCCTGCACTGAGATGTAACTCGTTTCAGGTACATTGTTAGTGCTATATTTCCACCATCAGACTATGGAAAAGCCTCTCCTCTTTGACTTAAGCAACCCTGACAGAGTGCGTTTGTATGTAAAGGTTGTTTGCATTAATAGTGTGTCTCCAAGTTAACAAAGGAGAGAATACGAGTGGAATATCAAATCCGTCTCCAATTCACTTGCTCATTTGACCAATGTTCCCAAAATATGATATTAAAAACCATGTCCAGTTTATGCCGTTAATCAATCGCCAACTCCTTTATTATGTAACCACATTATGAAATACATGGAAAATGCTGATAACATTATGTATCAATTTCTAAAGGCATCATATAAATCGTCACTTTGCTTTATTGACGCACACTGTACAGGTGAGAGATGGTCAGAACCTAAACGAATCCCAGTGAATAAACAACACTGGTTTATTCCTCCATGTACAAACAGAAACATTCCTGATTTCACAATATGCAGCAAATAGTCGGATGAACACAACATTAGCATTTGCTACACAATTGTGACATTTATTATTGGTAATATATGAATTGATAAAAGTTCATTGTGTTGACCATGTTGATACTTTGCAGTTGATGGCGGGCTGTCAAACTGGACATCGTGGTCAGTCGTACCCTGTCCTGTCACATGTGGAGTAGATGCCATGACAAACCAGAGCAGACGTAGGGATTGTAACGCCCCTGCTCCGGAAGCCGGTGGCAAGAACTGCGCGGGTCCACTGATTGAAACCAGCCAGACACACTGCAATGTCCCTCCATGTAGTGGTATGTGAAGGCCAATTTGCCATACAGTTTATACTTCTGCAGTGTAAAGTTCGATTATGGGAGGAGGAAACTGTGCCTTTATGGTCAAATGTCGAACCACAAAGATCAGATGCCATTTTTAGAGCTTTTTGATCACACACAATCTTATGCATTTTCATATGGGTGTGGGATATGTGTCTGTAACAACCAGCTTCAAGTAAAACATACATAACTTCTGGACTTGTAGAAAGACTGTCGTAAAGATATCAGGAGCATCCAAACTAAAGAAATCGAGTGTATGAGGAAATTCGTATTCTTTCTTTTGATCACATATGTTATTTATGTCAGACCAAGCCTTTTGTACCGATTTCAATGTTCATTCATCTGTTTAGAAATGATGGAAATGTTGTCCAGAGAAAAGTAGAGATATTGCACGAAAGAATGAAACGATATGCTTATTCTAACTAGTAGGCGACGACAATGTGACCGAGTGGAGCCAATGGAGTGCTGCAGCATGCACAGCCACCTGTGGTCCAGGCGAAGAGGGAAGCGTGAAAAGAAGCAGAAGTTGTATTATGCTGGCCAATAATATCAGCTGTAAAGCCGCACTAATAGAGACCCAAATGGGAAACTGCGGCCTCCCTAAATGTCCTGGTAAATGTGCAGCTATGTGTAACTGTATCACTTTCATGTACTGCAGTATATAAAATGTAGGAACCCTACCCTGAGAAGTAACATGGTTAGAACCAAAACGAATCTGAGTAAATAAACAACACTGGTTTCTTTTTCTACGTGCAAACTGAAACCTTCCTGATTTTACAATACGCAGCAAATAGTCGGATGAACACAACATCAGCATTTGCTACACAATTGTCAAATATATTATTGGTTATATATGGATTGCTAGCATATCACTGTGTTGACCATGTTGATACTTTGCAGTTGATGGAGGGCTGTCAAACTGGACATCGTGGTCAATCGTACCCTGCCCTGTCACATGTGGAGTAGATGTCATGACAAATCAGAGCAGACGTAGGGATTGTAACAACCCTGCTCCGGAGGCCGGTGGCAAGAACTGCACAGGTCCACTGATGGAAACCAGTCAGACACACTGCAATGTCTCTCGATGTAGTGGTATGTGAAGGCCAATTTGCCATACACTTTATACTTCTGAAGTGTACATGTAAAACTTTCATTTCAATTATAGGAGGACGAAACTGTGCCTTTATGGCCATATGTCGAACCACAAAGATCAGATAACATCTTTAGAGCTGTATATCACACACAATCTTATGCATTCTCATATGGGTATTAGATATGTGTTTGTTACAACTAGCAGCAATTAAAATACGCATAACTTCTGGACGTGTAGAGCGACTGTCGTAAAGATACCAGGAGTATTTAAACTTAGGAAATCAAGAGTATGACAACTCTTAAGAATAAATTCATATTCCTTTTATTGATCACATATATTATGTATGTCCGACCATGAAGAATGAAACGATTTTCTTATTCCAACCACTAGGCGACGACAATGTGACCGAGTGGAGCCAATGGAGTGCTGCAGCATGCACAACCACCTGTGGTCCAGGCCAAGAGGGAAGCATTGAAAGAAGCAGAAGTTGTGTTATGCCGGCCAATAGTATCAGCTGTATAGCCACATTAACAGAAACCCAAATGGAAAACTGCGGCCTTCCTAAATGCCCGGGTAAATGTGTAGCCATGTGGAACTGTAACACTTTCATGTACTGCAGTATATGAAATGTAGCACCTCTAACATGAGACGTAACCCGTTTCATGTACATTCTTAGTGCTATATTTCCACCATCAGACTATGGAAAAGCCTCTCCTCTTTGACTCAAGCAACTCTGACAGAGCGAGTTTGTATGTAAAGGTTGTTTGCAATTATAGTGTGTCTCCAAGTTAACAAAGGAGTGAATACAAGTGGAATATCAAATCCGTCTTCAATTACCTTGCTCGTATGACACATGTTCCCCAAAAAAGATATTAAAATCCATGTCCATTTAATTCTGTTAATCAATCGCCAACTGTTTTGAATGAAACTACATTTTGAAAGACATGCAATATTCTGATAACATTATGCATCACTTTTTAAAGGCATCATATAAATCGTCACTTTGCTTTATTTGACGCACACTGTACAGGTGAGACATGGTTAGAACCCAAACGAATCTGAGTAAATAAACAACACTGGTTTCTTTTTCTACGTGCAAACTGAAACCTTCCTGATTTTACAATACGCAGCAAATAGTCGGATGAACACAACATCAGCATTTGATACATAATTGTCACATTTGTTATTGATAATATATGGATTGCTAGTATATCTCTGTGTTGACCATGTTGATACTTTGCAGTTGATGGAGGGTTGTCAAACTGGACATCGTGGTCAATCGTACCCTGCCATGTCACGTGTGGAGTAGATGCCATGAGAAATCAGAGCAGACGTAGGGATTGTAACAACCCCGCTCCGGAAGCCGGTGGCAAGAACTGCACAGGTCCGCTGATGGAAACCAGTCAGACACACTGCAACGTCCCTCCATGTAGTGGTATGTGAAGGCCAATTTGCCACACAGTTTATACTTCTGTTGTGTACATGTACAACTTTCAGTTTAATTATCGTAGGACGAAACTGTCTTTATGGCCATATGTCGAACCACAATAATCAGAAGACATCTTAAGAGTTGTATGATCACACACAATCTTATGCATTCTCATATGGGTGTTGGATATGTGTCTGTTACAACTAGCAGCTGTTTAAATACGCATAACTTCTGGACGTGTAGAGCGACTGTTGTAAAGATACCAGGAGTATTTAAACTAAAGAAATCAAGAGTATGGCAAACCTTAAAAGAAATTCATATTCCTTGTATTGATCACATATATTATGTATGTTCGACCAAGCCTTTTGTATTGACTTTCCAATTTTCATTCATCTGTGTAGAAATGATAGAAATGTTGTCCAGAGCAATATAGAGGATTTGCGCAGAAGAATGAAACGATTTTCTTATTCCAACCACTAGATGACGACGATGTTGGCGAGTGGAGCCAATGGAGTGCTGCATCATGCACAGCCACCTGTGGTCCAGGCCAAGAGGGAAGCATTGAAAGAAGCAGAAGTTGTGTTATGCCGGCCAATAGTATCAGCTGTATAGCCACATTAACAGAAACCCAAATGGAAAACTGCGGCCTTCCTAAATGCCCAGGTAAATGTGTAGCCATGTGGAACTGTAACACTTTCATGTACTGCAGTATATGAAATGTAGCACCTCTAACCTGAGACGTAACCCGTTTCATGTACATTCTTAGTGCTATATTTCCACCATCAGACTATGGAAAAGCCTCTCCTCTTTGACTCAAGCAACTCTGACAGAGCGAGTTTGTATGTAAAGGTTGTTTGCAATTATAGTGTGTCTCCAAGTTAACAAAGGAGTGAATACAAGTGGAATATCAAATCCGTCTTCAATTACCTTGCTCGTATGACACATGTTCCCAACATAAGATATTAAAAACCATGTCCATTTAATTCTGTTAATCAATCGCCAACTGTTTTGAATGAAACTACATTTTGAAAGACATGCAATATCCTGATAACATTATGCATCACTTTTTAAAGGCATCATATAAATCGTCACTTTGCTTTATTTGACGCACACTGTACAGGTGAGACATGGTTAGAACCCAAACGAATCTGAGTAAATAAACAACACTGGTTTCTTTTTCTACGTGCAAACTGAAACCTTCCTGATTTTACAATACGCAGCAAATAGTCGGATGAACACAACATCAGCATTTGCTACACAATTGTCAAATATATTATTGGTTATATATGAATTGCTAGCATATCACTGTGTTGACCATGTTGATACTTTGCAGTTGATGGAGGGTTGTCAAACTGGACATCGTGGTCAATCGTACCCTGCCCTGTCACATGTGGAGTAGATGTCATGACAAATCAGAGCAGACGTAGGGATTGTAACAACCCTGCTCCGGAGGCCGGTGGCAAGAACTGCACAGGTCCACTGATGGAAACCAGTCAGACACACTGCAATGTCTCTCGATGTAGTGGTATGTGAAGGCCAATTTTCCATACACTTTATACTTCTGAAGTGTACATGTAAAACTTTCATTTCAATTATAGGAGGACGAAACTGTGCCTTTATGGCCATATGTCGAACCACAAAGATCAGATAACATCTTTAGAGCTGTATATCACACACAATCTTATGCATTCTCATATGGGTATTAGATATGTGTTTGTTACAACTAGCAGCAATTAAAATACGCATAACTTCTGGACGTGTAGAGCGACTGTCGTAAAGATACCAGGAGTATTTAAACTTAGGAAATCAAGAGTATGACAACTCTTAAGAATAAATTCATATTCCTTTTATTGATCACATATATTATGTATGTCCGACCATGAAGAATGAAACGATTTTCTTATTCCAACCACTAGGCGACGACAATGTGACCGAGTGGAGCCAATGGAGTGCTGCAGCATGCACAACCACCTGTGGTCCAGGCCAAGAGGGAAGCATTGAAAGAAGCAGAAGTTGTGTTATGCCGGCCAATAGTATCAGCTGTATAGCCACATTAACAGAAACCCAAATGGAAAACTGCGGCCTTCCTAAATGCCCAGGTAAATGTGTAGCCATGTGGAACTGTAACACTTTCATGTACTGCAGTATATGAAATGTAGCACCTCTAACCTGAGACGTAACCCGTTTCATGTACATTCTTAGTGCTATATTTCCACCATCAGACTATGGAAAAGCCTCTCCTCTTTGACTCAAGCAACTCTGACAGAGCGAGTTTGTATGTAAAGGTTGTTTGCAATTATAGTGTGTCTCCAAGTTAACAAAGGAGTGAATACAAGTGGAATATCAAATACGTCTTCAATTACCTTGCTCGTATGACACATGTTCCCCAAAAAAGATATTAAAATCCATGTCCATTTAATTCTGTTAATCAATCGCCAACTGTTTTGAATGAAACTACATTTTGAAAGACATGCAATATTCTGATAACATTATGCATCACTTTTTAAAGGCATCATATAAATCGTCACTTTGCTTTATTTGACGCACACTGTACAGGTGAGACATGGTTAGAACCCAAACGAATCTGAGTAAATAAACAACACTGGTTTCTTTTTCTACGTGCAAACTGAAACCTTCCTGATTTTACAATACGCAGCAAATAGTCGGATGAACACAACATCAGCATTTGATACATAATTGTCACATTTGTTATTGATAATATATGGATTGCTAGTATATCTCTGTGTTGACCATGTTGATACTTTGCAGTTGATGGAGGGTTGTCAAACTGGACATCGTGGTCAATCGTACCCTGCCATGTCACGTGTGGAGTAGATGCCATGAGAAATCAGAGCAGACGTAGGGATTGTAACAACCCCGCTCCGGAAGCTGGTGGCAAGAACTGCACAGGTCCGCTGATGGAAACCAGTCAGACACACTGCAACGTCCCTCCATGTAGTGGTATGTGAAGGCCAATTTGCCACACAGTTTATACTTCTGTTGTGTACATGTACAACTTTCAGTTTAATTATCGTAGGACGAAACTGTCTTTATGGCCATATGTCGAACCACAATAATCAGAAGACATCTTAAGAGTTGTATGATCACACACAATCTTATGCATTCTCATATGGGTGTTGGATATGTGTCTGTTACAACTAGCAGCTGTTTAAATACGCATAACTTCTGGACGTGTAGAGCGACTGTTGTAAAGATACCAGGAGTATTTAAACTAAAGAAATCAAGAGTATGGCAAACCTTAAAAGAAATTCATATTCCTTGTATTGATCACATATATTATGTATGTTCGACCAAGCCTTTTGTATTGACTTTCCAATTTTCATTCATCTGTGTAGAAATGATAGAAATGTTGTCCAGAGAAATATAGAGGATTTGCGCAGAAGAATGAAACGATTTTCTTATTCCAACCACTAGATGACGACGATGTTGGCGAGTGGAGCCAATGGAGTGCTGCATCATGCACAGCCACCTGTGGTCCAGGCCAAGAGGGAAGCATTGAAAGAAGCAGAAGTTGTGTTATGCCGGCCAATAGTATCAGCTGTATAGCCACATTAACAGAAACCCAAATGGAAAACTGCGGCCTTCCTAAATGCCCAGGTAAATGTGTAGCCATGTGGAACTGTAACACTTTCATGTACTGCAGTATATGAAATGTAGCACCTCTAACCTGAGACGTAACCCGTTTCATGTACATTCTTAGTGCTATATTTCCACCATCAGACTATGGAAAAGCCTCTCCTCTTTGACTCAAGCAACTCTGACAGAGCGAGTTTGTATGTAAAGGTTGTTTGCAATTATAGTGTGTCTCCAAGTTAACAAAGGAGTGAATACAAGTGGAATATCAAATACGTCTTCAATTACCTTGCTCGTATGACACATGTTCCCCAAAAAAGATATTAAAATCCATGTCCATTTAATTCTGTTAATCAATCGCCAACTGTTTTGAATGAAACTACATTTTGAAAGACATGCAATATTCTGATAACATTATGCATCACTTTTTAAAGGCATCATATAAATCGTCACTTTGCTTTATTTGACGCACACTGTACAGGTGAGACATGGTTAGAACCCAAACGAATCTGAGTAAATAAACAACACTGGTTTCTTTTTCTACGTGCAAACTGAAACCTTCCTGATTTTACAATACGCAGCAAATAGTCGGATGAACACAACATCAGCATTTGATACATAATTGTCACATTTGTTATTGATAATATATGGATTGCTAGTATATCTCTGTGTTGACCATGTTGATACTTTGCAGTTGATGGAGGGTTGTCAAACTGGACATCGTGGTCAATCGTACCCTGCCATGTCACGTGTGGAGTAGATGCCATGAGAAATCAGAGCAGACGTAGGGATTGTAACAACCCCGCTCCGGAAGCCGGTGGCAAGAACTGCACAGGTCCGCTGAGTGAAACCAGTCAGACACACTGCAACGTCCCTCCATGTAGTGGTATGTGAAGGCCAATTTGCCACACAGTTTATACTTCTGTTGTGTACATGTACAACTTTCAGTTTAATTATCGTAGGACGAAACTGTCTTTATGGCCATATGTCGAACCACAATAATCAGAAGACATCTTAAGAGTTGTATGATCACACACAATCTTATGCATTCTCATATGGGTGTTGGATATGTGTCTGTTACAACTAGCAGCTGTTTAAATACGCATAACTTCTGGACGTGTAGAGCGACTGTTGTAAAGATACCAGGAGTATTTAAACTAAAGAAATCAAGAGTATGGCAAACCTTAAAAGAAATTCATATTCCTTGTATTGATCACATATATTATGTATGTTCGACCAAGCCTTTTGTATTGACTTTCCAATTTTCATTCATCTGTGTAGAAATGATAGAAATGTTGTCCAGAGAAATATAGAGGATTTGCGCAGAAGAATGAAACGATTTTCTTATTCCAACCACTAGATGACGACGATGTTGGCGAGTGGAGCCAATGGAGTGCTGCATCATGCACAGCCACCTGTGGTCCAGGCCAAGAGGGAAGCATTGAAAGAAGCAGAAGTTGTGTTATGCCGGCCAATAGTATCAGCTGTATAGCCACATTAACAGAAACCCAAATGGAAAACTGCGGCCTTCCTAAATGCCCAGGTAAATGTGTAGCCATGTGGAACTGTAACACTTTCATGTACTGCAGTATATGAAATGTAGCACCTCTAACCTGAGACGTAACCCGTTTCATGTACATTCTTAGTGCTATATTTCCACCATCAGACTATGGAAAAGCCTCTCCTCTTTGACTCAAGCAACTCTGACAGAGCGAGTTTGTATGTAAAGGTTGTTTGCAATTATAGTGTGTCTCCAAGTTAACAAAGGAGTGAATACAAGTGGAATATCAAATCCGTCTTCAATTACCTTGCTCGTATGACACATGTTCCCAAAAAAAGATATTAAAATCCATGTCCATTTAATTCTGTTAATCAATCGCCAACTGTTTTGAATGAAACTACATTTTGAAAGACATGCAATATTCTGATAACATTATGCATCACTTTTTAAAGGCATCATATAAATCGTCACTTTGCTTTATTTGACGCACACTGTACAGGTGAGACATGGTTAGAACCCAAACGAATCTGAGTAAATAAACAACACTGGTTTCTTTTTCTACGTGCAAACTGAAACCTTCCTGATTTTACAATACGCAGCAAATAGTCGGATGAACACAACATCAGCATTTGATACATAATTGTCACATTTGTTATTGATAATATATGGATTTCTAGTATATCTCTGTGTTGACCATGTTGATACTTTGCAGTTGATGGAGGGTTGTCAAACTGGACATCGTGGTCAATCGTACCCTGCCATGTCACGTGTGGAGTAGATGCCATGAGAAATCAGAGCAGACGTAGGGATTGTAACAACCCCGCTCCGGAAGCCGGTGGCAAGAACTGCACAGGTCCGCTGATGGAAACCAGTCAGACACACTGCAACGTCCCTCCATGTAGTGGTATGTGAAGGCCAATTTGCCACACAGTTTATACTTCTGTTGTGTACATGTACAACTTTCAGTTTAATTATCGTAGGACGAAACTGTCTTTATGGCCATATGTCGAACCACAATAATCAGAAGACATCTTAAGAGTTGTATGATCACACACAATCTTATGCATTCTCATATGGGTGTTGGATATGTGTCTGTTACAACTAGCAGCTGTTTAAATACGCATAACTTCTGGACGTGTAGAGCGACTGTTGTAAAGATACCAGGAGTATTTAAACTAAAGAAATCAAGAGTATGGCAAACCTTAAAAGAAATTCATATTCCTTGTATTGATCACATATATTATGTATGTTCGACCAAGCCTTTTGTATTGACTTTCCAATTTTCATTCATCTGTGTAGAAATGATAGAAATGTTGTCCAGAGAAATATAGAGGATTTGCGCAGAAGAATGAAACGATTTTCTTATTCCAACCACTAGATGACGACGATGTTGGCGAGTGGAGCCAATGGAGTGCTGCATCATGCACAGCCACCTGTGGTCCAGGCCAAGAGGGAAGCATTGAAAGAAGCAGAAGTTGTGTTACGCCAGCCAATAGTATCAGCTGTATAGCCACATTAACAGAAACCCAAATGGAAAACTGCGGCCTTCCTAAATGCCCAGGTAAATGTGTAGCCATGTGGAACTGTAACACTTTCATGTACTGCAGTATATGAAATGTAGCACCTCTAACCTGAGACGTAACCCGTTTCATGTACATTCTTAGTGCTATATTTCCACCATCAGACTATGGAAAAGCCTCTCCTCTTTGACTCAAGCAACTCTGACAGAGCGAGTTTGTATGTAAAGGTTGTTTGCAATTATAGTGTGTCTCCAAGTTAACAAAGGAGTGAATACAAGTGGAATATCAAATCCGTCTTCAATTACCTTGCTCGTATGACACATGTTCCCAACATAAGATATTAAAAACCATGTCCATTTAATTCTGTTAATCAATCGCCAACTGTTTTGAATGAAACTACATTTTGAAAGACATGCAATATCCTGATAACATTATGCATCACTTTTTAAAGGCATCATATAAATCGTCACTTTGCTTTATTTGACGCACACTGTACAGGTGAGACATGGTTAGAACCCAAACGAATCTGAGTAAATAAACAACACTGGTTTCTTTTTCTACGTGCAAACTGAAACCTTCCTGATTTTACAATACGCAGCAAATAGTCGGATGAACACAACATCAGCATTTGCTACACAATTGTCAAATATATTATTGGTTATATATGGATTGCTAGCATATCACTGTGTTGACCATGTTGATACTTTGCAGTTGATGGAGGGCTGTCAAACTGGACATCGTGGTCAATCGTACCCTGCCCTGTTACATGTGGAGTAGATGTCATGACAAATCAGAGCAGACGTAGGGATTGTAACAACCCTCCTCCGGAGGCCGGTGGCAAGAACTGCACAGGTCCACTGATGGAAACCAGTCAGACACACTGCAATGTCTCTCGATGTAGTGGTATGTGAAGGCCAATTTGCCATACACTTTATACTTCTGAAGTGTACATGTAAAACTTTCATTTCAATTATCGGAGGACGAAACTGTGCCTTCATGGCCATATGTCGAACCACAAAGATCAGATAACATCTTTAGAGCTGTATATCACACACAATCTTATGCATTCTCATATGGGTATTAGATATGTCTCTGTTACAACTAGCAGCAATTAAAATACGCATAACTTCTGGACGTGTAGAGCGACTGTCGTAAAGATACCAGGAGTATTTAAACTTAGGAAATCAAGAGTATGACAACTCTTAAGAATAAATTCATATTCCTTTTATTGATCACATATATTATGTATGTCCGACCAAGCCTTTTGTATTGACTTTCCAATTTTCATTCAACTATGTAGAAATGATAAAAATGTTGTCCAGAGAAATATAGAGGCATTGCACGAAAGAATGAAACGATTTTCTTATTCCAACCACTAGGCGACGACAATGTGACCGAGTGGAGCCAATGGAGTGCTGCAGCATGCACAACCACCTGTGGTCCAGGCCAAGAGGGAAGCATTGAAAGAAGCAGAAGTTGTGTTATGCCGGCCAATAGTATCAGCTGTATAGCCACATTAACAGAAACCCAAATGGAAAACTGCGGCCTTCCTAAATGCCCAGGTAAATGTGTAGCCATGTGGAACTGTAACACTTTCATGTACTGCAGTATATGAAATGTAGCACCTCTAACCTGAGACGTAACCCGTTTCATGTACATTCTTAGTGCTATATTTCCACCATCAGACTATGGAAAAGCCTCTCCTCTTTGACTAAAGCAACTCTGACAGAGCGAGTTTGTTTGTAAAGGTTGTTTGCAATTATAGTGTTTCTCCAAGTTAACAAAGGAGTGAATACAAGTGGAATATCAAATCCGTCTTCAATTACCTTGCTCGTATGACACATGTTCCCAACATAAGATATTAAAAACCATGTCCATTTAATTCTGTTAATCAATCGCCAACTGTTTTGAATGAAACTACATTTTGAAAGACATGCAATATCCTGATAACATTATGTATCACTTTTTAAAGGCATCATATAAATCGTCACTTTGCTTTAATTGACGCACACTGTACAGGTGAGACATGGTTAGAACCCAAACGAATCTGAGTAAATAAACAACACTGGTTTCTTTTTCTACGTGCAAACTGAAACCTTCCTGATTTTACAATACGCAGCAAATAGTCGGATGAACACAGCATCAGCAGTTGCTACACAATTGTCAAATACATTATTGGTTATATATGGATTGCTAGCATATCACTGTGTTGACCATGTTGATACTTTGCAGTTGATGGAGGGCTGTCAAACTGGACATCGTGGTCAATCGTACCCTGCCCTGTTACATGTGGAGTAGATGTCATGACAAATCAGAGCAGACGTAGGGATTGTAACAACCCTCCTCCGGAGGCCGGTGGCAAGAACTGCACAGGTCCACTGATGGAAACCAGTCAGACACACTGCAATGTCTCTCGATGTAGTGGTATGTGAAGGCCAATTTGCCATACACTTTATACTTCTGAAGTGTACATGTAAAACTTTCATTTCAATTATCGGAGGACGAAACTGTGCCTTCATGGCCATATGTCGAACCACAAAGATCAGATAACATCTTTAGAGCTGTATATCACACACAATCTTATGCATTCTCATATGGGTATTAGATATGTCTCTGTTACAACTAGCAGCAATTAAAATACGCATAACTTCTGGACGTGTAGAGCGACTGTCGTAAAGATACCAGGAGTATTTAAACTTAGGAAATCAAGAGTATGACAACTCTTAAGAATAAATTCATATTCCTTTTATTGATCACATATATTATGTATGTCCGACCAAGCCTTTTGTATTGACTTTCCAATTTTCATTCAACTATGTAGAAATGATAAAAATGTTGTCCAGAGAAATATAGAGGCATTGCACGAAAGAATGAAACGATTTTCTTATTCCAACCACTAGGCGACGACAATGTGACCGAGTGGAGCCAATGGAGTGCTGCAGCATGCACAACCACCTGTGGTCCAGGCCAAGAGGGAAGCATTGAAAGAAGCAGAAGTTGTGTTATGCCGGCCAATAGTATCAGCTGTATAGCCACATTAACAGAAACCCAAATGGAAAACTGCGGCCTTCCTAAATGCCCAGGTAAATGTGTAGCCATGTGGAACTGTAACACTTTCATGTACTGCAGTATATGAAATGTAGCACCTCTAACCTGAGACGTAACCCGTTTCATGTACATTCTTAGTGCTATATTTCCACCATCAGACTATGGAAAAGCCTCTCCTCTTTGACTAAAGCAACTCTGACAGAGCGAGTTTGTTTGTAAAGGTTGTTTGCAATTATAGTGTTTCTCCAAGTTAACAAAGGAGTGAATACAAGTGGAATATCAAATCCGTCTTCAATTACCTTGCTCGTATGACACATGTTCCCAACATAAGATATTAAAAACCATGTCCATTTAATTCTGTTAATCAATCGCCAACTGTTTTGAATGAAACTACATTTTGAAAGACATGCAATATCCTGATAACATTATGTATCACTTTTTAAAGGCATCATATAAATCGTCACTTTGCTTTAATTGACGCACACTGTACAGGTGAGACATGGTTAGAACCCAAACGAATCTGAGTAAATAAACAACACTGGTTTCTTTTTCTACGTGCAAACTGAAACCTTCCTGATTTTACAATACGCAGCAAATAGTCGGATGAACACAACATCAGCAGTTGCTACACAATTGTCAAATACATTATTGGTTATATATGGATTGCTAGCATATCACTGTGTTGACCATGTTGATACTTTGCAGTTGATGGAGGGCTGTCAAACTGGACATCGTGGTCAATCGTACCCTGCCCTGTTACATGTGGAGTAGATGTCATGACAAATCAGAGAAGACGTAGGGATTGTAACAACCCTGCTCCGGAGGCCGGTGGCAAGAACTGCACAGGTCCACTGATGGAAACCAGTCAGACACACTGCAATGTCTCTCGATGTAGTGGTATGTGAAGGCCAATTTGCCATACACTTTATACTTCTGTTGTGTACATGTAAAACTTTCATTTCAATTATCGGAGGACGAAACTGTGCCTTTATGGCCATATGTCGAACCACAAAGATCAGATAACATCTTTAGAGCTGTATATCACACACAATCTTATGCATTCTCATATGGGTATTAGATATGTGTTTGTTACAACTAGCAGCAATTAAAATACGCATAACTTCTGGACGTGTAGAGCGACTGTTGTAAAGATACCAGGAGTATTTAAACTAAGGAAATCAAGAGTATGACAACCCTTAAGAATAAATTCATATTCCTTTTATTGATCACATATATTATGTATGTTCGACCAAGCCTTTCGTATTGACTTTCCAATTTTCATTCAACTATGTAGAAATGATAAAAATGTTGTCCAGAGAAATATAGAGGCATTGCACGAAAGAATGAAACGATTTTCTTATTCCAACCACTAGGCGACGACAATGTGACCGAGTGGAGCCAATGGAGTGCTGCAGCATGCACAGCCACCTGTGGTCCAGGCCAAGAGGGAAGCATTGAAAGAAGCAGAAGTTGTGTTACGCCAGCCAATAGTATCAGCTGTATAGCCACATTAACAGAAACCCAAATGGAAAACTGCGGCCTTCCTAAATGCCGAAGTAAATGTGTAGCCATGTGGAACTGTAACACTTTCATGTACTGCAGTATATGAAATGTAGCACCTCTAACCTGAGACGTAACCCGTTTCATGTACATTCTTAGTGCTATATTTCCACCATCAGACTATGGAAAAGCCTCTCCTCTTTGACTAAAGCAACTCTGACAGAGCGAGTTTGTTTGTAAAGGTTGTTTGCAATTATAGTGTGTCTCCAAGTTAACAAAGGAGTGAATACAAGTGGAATATCAAATCCGTCTTCAATTACCTTGCTCGTATGACACATGTTCCCAAAATAAGATATTAAAAACCATGTCCATTTAATTCTGTTAATCAATCGCCAACTGTTTTGAATGAAACTACATTTTGAAAGACATGCAATATCCTGATAACATTATGTATCACTTTTTAAAGGCATCATATAAATCGTCACTTTGCTTTATTTGACGCACACTGTACAGGTGAGACATGGTTAGAACCCAAACGAATCTGAGTAAATAAACAACAGTGGTTTCTTTTTCTACGTGCAAACTGAAACCTTCCTGATTTTACAATACGCAGCAAATAGTCGGATGAACACAACATCAGCAGTTGCTACACAATTGTCAAATACATTATTGGTTATATATGGATTGCTAGCATATCACTGTGTTGACCATGTTGATACTTTGCAGTTGATGGAGGGCTGTCAAACTGGACATCGTGGTCAATCGTACCCTGCCCTGTTACATGTGGAGTAGATGTCATGACAAATCAGAGCAGACGTAGGGATTGTAACAACCCTGCTCCGGAGGCCGGTGGCAAGAACTGCACAGGTCCACTGATGGAAACCAGTCAGACACACTGCAATGTCTCTCGATGTAGTGGTATGTGAAGGCCAATTTGCCATACACTTTATACTTCTGTTGTGTACATGTAAAACTTTCATTTCAATTATCGGAGGACGAAACTGTGCCTTTATGGCCATATGTCGAACCACAAAGATCAGATAACATCTTTAGAGCTGTATATCACACACAATCTTATGCATTCTCATATGGGTATTAGATATGTGTTTGTTACAACTAGCAGCAATTAAAATACGCATAACTTCTGGACGTGTAGAGCGACTGTCGTAAAGATACCAGGAGTATTTAAACAAAGGAAATCAAGAGTATGACAACTCTTAAGAATAAATTCATATTCCTTTTATTGATCACATATATTATGTATGTCCGACCAAGCCTTTCGTATTGACTTTCCAATTTTCATTCAACTATGTAGAAATGATAAAAATGTTGTCCAGAGAAATATAGAGGCATTGCACGAAAGAATGAAACGATTTTCTTATTCCAACCACTAGGCGACGACAATGTGACCGAGTGGAGCCAATGGAGTGCTGCAGCATGCACAACCACCTGTGGTCCAGGCCAAGAGGGAAGCATTGAAAGAAGCAGAAGTTGTGTTATGCCGGCCAATAGTATCAGCTGTATAGCCACATTAACAGAAACCCAAATGGAAAACTGCGGCCTTCCTAAATGCCCAGGTAAATGTGTAGCCATGTGGAACTGTAACACTTTCATGTACTGCAGTATATGAAATGTAGCACCTCTAACCTGAGACGTAACCCGTTTCATGTACATTCTTAGTGCTATATTTCCACCATCAGACTATGGAAAAGCCTCTCCTCTTTGACTAAAGCAACTCTGACAGAGCGAGTTTGTTTGTAAAGGTTGTTTGCAATTATAGTGTTTCTCCAAGTTAACAAAGGAGTGAATACAAGTGGAATATCAAATCCGTCTTCAATTACCTTGCTCGTATGACACATGTTCCCAACATAAGATATTAAAAACCATGTCCATTTAATTCTGTTAATCAATCGCCAACTGTTTTGAATGAAACTACATTTTGAAAGACATGCAATATCCTGATAACATTATGTATCACTTTTTAAAGGCATCATATAAATCGTCACTTTGCTTTAATTGACGCACACTGTACAGGTGAGACATGGTTAGAACCCAAACGAATCTGAGTAAATAAACAACACTGGTTTCTTTTTCTACGTGCAAACTGAAACCTTCCTGATTTTACAATACGCAGCAAATAGTCGGATGAACACAGCATCAGCAGTTGCTACACAATTGTCAAATACATTATTGGTTATATATGGATTGCTAGCATATCACTGTGTTGACCATGTTGATACTTTGCAGTTGATGGAGGGCTGTCAAACTGGACATCGTGGTCAATCGTACCCTGCCCTGTTACATGTGGAGTAGATGTCATGACAAATCAGAGCAGACGTAGGGATTGTAACAACCCTCCTCCGGAGGCCGGTGGCAAGAACTGCACAGGTCCACTGATGGAAACCAGTCAGACACACTGCAATGTCTCTCGATGTAGTGGTATGTGAAGGCCAATTTGCCATACACTTTATACTTCTGAAGTGTACATGTAAAACTTTCATTTCAATTATCGGAGGACGAAACTGTGCCTTCATGGCCATATGTCGAACCACAAAGATCAGATAACATCTTTAGAGCTGTATATCACACACAATCTTATGCATTCTCATATGGGTATTAGATATGTCTCTGTTACAACTAGCAGCAATTAAAATACGCATAACTTCTGGACGTGTAGAGCGACTGTCGTAAAGATACCAGGAGTATTTAAACTTAGGAAATCAAGAGTATGACAACTCTTAAGAATAAATTCATATTCCTTTTATTGATCACATATATTATGTATGTCCGACCAAGCCTTTTGTATTGACTTTCCAATTTTCATTCAACTATGTAGAAATGATAAAAATGTTGTCCAGAGAAATATAGAGGCATTGCACGAAAGAATGAAACGATTTTCTTATTCCAACCACTAGGCGACGACAATGTGACCGAGTGGAGCCAATGGAGTGCTGCAGCATGCACAACCACCTGTGGTCCAGGCCAAGAGGGAAGCATTGAAAGAAGCAGAAGTTGTGTTATGCCGGCCAATAGTATCAGCTGTATAGCCACATTAACAGAAACCCAAATGGAAAACTGCGGCCTTCCTAAATGCCCAGGTAAATGTGTAGCCATGTGGAACTGTAACACTTTCATGTACTGCAGTATATGAAATGTAGCACCTCTAACCTGAGACGTAACCCGTTTCATGTACATTCTTAGTGCTATATTTCCACCATCAGACTATGGAAAAGCCTCTCCTCTTTGACTAAAGCAACTCTGACAGAGCGAGTTTGTTTGTAAAGGTTGTTTGCAATTATAGTGTTTCTCCAAGTTAACAAAGGAGTGAATACAAGTGGAATATCAAATCCGTCTTCAATTACCTTGCTCGTATGACACATGTTCCCAACATAAGATATTAAAAACCATGTCCATTTAATTCTGTTAATCAATCGCCAACTGTTTTGAATGAAACTACATTTTGAAAGACATGCAATATCCTGATAACATTATGTATCACTTTTTAAAGGCATCATATAAATCGTCACTTTGCTTTAATTGACGCACACTGTACAGGTGAGACATGGTTAGAACCCAAACGAATCTGAGTAAATAAACAACACTGGTTTCTTTTTCTACGTGCAAACTGAAACCTTCCTGATTTTACAATACGCAGCAAATAGTCGGATGAACACAACATCAGCAGTTGCTACACAATTGTCAAATACATTATTGGTTATATATGGATTGCTAGCATATCACTGTGTTGACCATGTTGATACTTTGCAGTTGATGGAGGGCTGTCAAACTGGACATCGTGGTCAATCGTACCCTGCCCTGTTACATGTGGAGTAGATGTCATGACAAATCAGAGAAGACGTAGGGATTGTAACAACCCTGCTCCGGAGGCCGGTGGCAAGAACTGCACAGGTCCACTGATGGAAACCAGTCAGACACACTGCAATGTTTCTCGATGTAGTGGTATGTGAAGGCCAATTTGCCATACACTTTATACTTCTGTTGTGTACATGTAAAACTTTCATTTCAATTATCGGAGGACGAAACTGTGCCTTTATGGCCATATGTCGAACCACAAAGATCAGATAACATCTTTAGAGCTGTATATCACACACAATCTTATGCATTCTCATATGGGTATTAGATATGTGTTTGTTACAACTAGCAGCAATTAAAATACGCATAACTTCTGGACGTGTAGAGCGACTGTCGTAAAGATACCAGGAGTATTTAAACTAAGGAAATCAAGAGTATGACAACCCTTAAGAATAAATTCATATTCCTTTTATTGATCACATATATTATGTATGTTCGACCAAGCCTTTCGTATTGACTTTCCAATTTTCATTCAACTATGTAGAAATGATAAAAATGTTGTCCAGAGAAATATAGAGGCATTGCACGAAAGAATGAAACGATTTTCTTATTCCAACCACTAGGCGACGACAATGTGACCGAGTGGAGCCAATGGAGTGCTGCAGCATGCACAGCCACCTGTGGTCCAGGCCAAGAGGGAAGCATTGAAAGAAGCAGAAGTTGTGTTACGCCAGCCAATAGTATCAGCTGTATAGCCACATTAACAGAAACCCAAATGGAAAACTGCGGCCTTCCTAAATGCCGAAGTAAATGTGTAGCCATGTGGAACTGTAACACTTTCATGTACTGCAGTATATGAAATGTAGCACCTCTAACCTGAGACGTAACCCGTTTCATGTACATTCTTAGTGCTATATTTCCACCATCAGACTATGGAAAAGCCTCTCCTCTTTGACTAAAGCAACTCTGACAGAGCGAGTTTGTATGTAAAGGTTGTTTGCAATTATAGTGTGTCTCCAAGTTAACAAAGGAGTGAATACAAGTGGAATATCAAATCCGTCTTCAATTACCTTGCTCGTATGACACATGTTCCCAAAATAAGATATTAAAAACCATGTCCATTTAATTCTGTTAATCAATCGCCAACTGTTTTGAATGAAACTACATTTTGAAAGACATGCAATATCCTGATAACATTATGTATCACTTTTTAAAGGCATCATATAAATCGTCACTTTGCTTTATTTGACGCACACTGTACAGGTGAGACATGGTTAGAACCCAAACGAATCTGAGTAAATAAACAACAGTGGTTTCTTTTTCTACGTGCAAACTGAAACCTTCCTGATTTTACAATACGCAGCAAATAGTCGGATGAACACAACATCAGCAGTTGCTACACAATTGTCAAATACATTATTGGTTATATATGGATTGCTAGCATATCACTGTGTTGACCATGTTGATACTTTGCAGTTGATGGAGGGCTGTCAAACTGGACATCGTGGTCAATCGTACCCTGCCCTGTTACATGTGGAGTAGATGTCATGACAAATCAGAGCAGACGTAGGGATTGTAACAACCCTGCTCCGGAGGCCGGTGGCAAGAACTGCACAGGTCCACTGATGGAAACCAGTCAGACACACTGCAATGTCTCTCGATGTAGTGGTATGTGAAGGCCAATTTGCCATACACTTTATACTTCTGTTGTGTACATGTAAAACTTTCATTTCAATTATCGGAGGACGAAACTGTGCCTTTATGGCCATATGTCGAACCACAAAGATCAGATAACATCTTTAGAGCTGTATATCACACACAATCTTATGCATTCTCATATGGGTATTAGATATGTGTTTGTTACAACTAGCAGCAATTAAAATACGCATAACTTCTGGACGTGTAGAGCGACTGTCGTAAAGATACCAGGAGTATTTAAACAAAGGAAATCAAGAGTATGACAACTCTTAAGAATAAATTCATATTCCTTTTATTGATCACATATATTATGTATGTCCGACCAAGCCTTTTGTATTGACTTTCCAATTTTCATTCAACTATGTAGAAATGATAAAAATGTTGTCCAGAGAAATATAGAGGCATTGCACGAAAGAATGAAACGATTTTCTTATTCCAACCACTAGGCGACGACAATGTGACCGAGTGGAGCCAATGGAGTGCTGCAGCATGCACAACCACCTGTGGTCCAGGCCAAGAGGGAAGCATTGAAAGAAGCAGAAGTTGTGTTATGCCGGCCAATAGTATCAGCTGTATAGCCACATTAACAGAAACCCAAATGGAAAACTGCGGCCTTCCTAAATGCCCAGGTAAATGTGTAGCCATGTGGAACTGTAACACTTTCATGTACTGCAGTATATGAAATGTAGCACCTCTAACCTGAGACGTAACCCGTTTCATGTACATTCTTAGTGCTATATTTCCACCATCAGACTATGGAAAAGCCTCCTTGACTAAAGCAACTCTGACAGAGCGAGTTTGTTTGTAAAGGTTGTTTGCAATTATAGTGTGTCTCCAAGTTAACAAAGGAGTGAATACAAGTGGAATATCAAATCCGTCTTCAATTACCTTGCTCGTATGACACATGTTCCCAAAAAAAGATATTAAAAACCATGTCCATTTAATATTATAGGCATTATTATAGGCATAAAAGTGTAATATACATTTAGATAATTAACAAGTAATTAAAGTAATTAATAAGCATTAAGATACATTCTGATTCTATAAAAGATCAAGAGGGAGAGTTGGGGTCGGTAAGTCGGGAATAGGTAAATGTATAAAACAGGCAGCTCTGGTTACTTGAAGACTACGGGAGCATGCCGGGCCACGAGGATCCAGGGACGAGGGCAGTAGGTCGAGGGTTATACATGAACGAAATATAATTAACAGATGAGAAATAGATAAAAGGGAAAAAAATAGAGTTGGGAGGTACGGGAACGTCAGGGACTTTGGACATATATGGTCTGAGGGGGGAAAATAGTCCGAATTCCAAGGGGTAAGAAGTTACATGATAGCGAGTCCGAATAAGGTTCTGGTTATTAGAGAAGAGTGGGGAAGAACGACCTAAGGTAAGGGGGGAAAGGTGTTTGACCAATGAAATAGGAAAAAAATGGGTAAAACCTTGACGTAAGCTGGGGGTAAAAAGGACGGGGAGACCCAAGGTTCGGGGAGACTGGAGGATCCCAATTGAGCACCACGATCTCGACCTTACTCTGAAAAACACCAGTTTACACCTCCAGTATTTCGGCCAGGACTGAAGCTTTGCGGCTAAAGTCCTTAAACCATCGTGACCAGAAGTTGTTGATCAATCATTAGTGATTGAATAAACAGTCATCAACGAAAGAAACTCTTTGTGCTCATTGGGAGAACTACGGTAATTCATCCAAGGCCCTCGGGTACTGACCTTGTACCTCTCGTAACATCCCAGTCTGTCAGCACCAAGAACGAGGGGATTACCGTAGTACAGGTGAGGAGGTAACGACTGTTACCCTCCGGTTAATTAACAACAATTAACACCTGTAATTAAGGGGCGAAAAGTACCTTGGATATTAATTCTGTTAATCAATCGCCAACTGTTTTGAATGAAACTACATTTTGAAAGACATGCAATATCCTGATAACATTATGTATCACTTTTTAAAGGCATCATATAAATCGTCACTTTGCTTTAATTGACGCACACTGTACAGGTGAGACATGGTTAGAACCCAAACGAATCTGAGTAAATAAACAACAGTGGTTTCTTTTTCTACGTGCAAACTGAAACCTTCCTGATTTTACAATACGCAGCAAATAGTCGGATGAACACAACATCAGCATTTGCTACACAATTGTCAAATACATTATTGGTTATATATGGATTGCTAGCATATCACTGTGTTGACCATGTTGATACTTTGCAGTTGATGGAGGGCTGTCAAACTGGACATCGTGGTCAATCGTACCCTGCCCTGTTACATGTGGAGTAGATGTCATGACAAATCAGAGAAGACGTAGGGATTGTAACAACCCTGCTCCGGAGGCCGGTGGCAAGAACTGCACAGGTCCACTGATGGAAACCAGTCAGACACACTGCAATGTCTCTCGATGTAGTGGTATGTGAAGGCCAATTTGCCATACACTTTATACTTCTGTTGTGTACATGTAAAACTTTCATTTCAATTATCGGAGGACGAAACTGTGCCTTTATGGCCATATGTCGAACCACAAAGATCAGATAACATCTTTAGAGCTGTATATCACACACAATCTTATGCATTCTCATATGGGTATTAGATATGTGTTTGTTACAACTAGCAGCAATTAAAATACGCATAACTTCTGGACGTGTAGAGCGACTGTCGTAAAGATACCAGGAGTATTTAAACTAAGGAAATCAAGAGTATGACAACTCTTAAGAATAAATTCATATTCCTTTTATTGATCACATATATTATGTATGTCCGACCAAGCCTTTCGTATTGACTTTCCAATTTTCATTCAACTATGTAGAAATGATAAAAATGTTGTCCAGAGAAATATAGAGGCATTGCACGAAAGAATGAAACGATTTTCTTATTCCAACCACTAGGCGACGACAATGTGACCGAGTGGAGCCAATGGAGTGCTGCAGCATGCACAGCCACCTGTGGTCCAGGCCAAGAGGGAAGCATTGAAAGAAGCAGAAGTTGTGTTACGCCAGCCAATAGTATCAGCTGTATAGCCACATTAACAGAAACCCAAATGGAAAACTGCGGCCTTCCTAAATGCCCAGGTAAATGTGTAGCCATGTGGAACTGTAACACTTTCATGTACTGCAGTATATGAAATGTAGCACCTCTAACCTGAGACGTAACCCGTTTCATGTACATTCTTAGTGCTATATTTCCACCATCAGACTATGGAAAAGCCTCTCCTCTTTGACTAAAGCAACTCTGACAGAGCGAGTTTGTTTGTAAAGGTTGTTTGCAATTATAGTGTGTCTCCAAGTTAACAAAGGAGTGAATACAAGTGGAATATCAAATCCGTCTTCAATTACCTTGCTCGTATGACACATGTTCCCAAAATAAGATATTAAAAACCATGTCCATTTAATTCTGTTAATCAATCGCCAACTGTTTTGAATGAAACTACATTTTGAAAGACATGCAATATCCTGATAACATTATGTATCACTTTTTAAAGGCATCATATAAATCGTCACTTTGCTTTATTTGACACACACTGTACAGGTGAGACATGGTTAGAACCCAAACGAATCTGAGTAAATAAACAACACTGGTTTCTTTTTCTACGTGAAAACTGAAACCTTCCTGATTTTACAATACGCAGCAAATAGTCGGATGAACACAACATCAGCATTTGCTACACAATTGTCAAATATATTATTGGTTATATATGAATTGCTAGCATATCACTGTGTTGACCATGTTGATACTTTGCAGTTGATGGAGGGCTGTCAAACTGGACATCGTGGTCAATCGTACCCTGCCCTGTTACATGTGGAGTAGATGTCATGACAAATCAGAGCAGACGTAGGGATTGTAACAACCCTGCTCCGGAGGCCGGTGGCAAGAACTGCACAGGTCCACTGATGGAAACCAGTCAGACACACTGCAATGTCTCTCGATGTAGTGGTATGTGAAGGCCAATTTGCCATACACTTTATACTTCTGTTGTGTACATGTAAAACTTTCATTTCAATTATCGGAGGACGAAACTGTGCCTTTATGGCCATATGTCGAACCACAAAGATCAGATAACATCTTTAGAGCTGTATATCACACACAATCTTATGCATTCTCATATGGGTATTAGATATGTGTTTGTTACAACTAGCAGCAATTAAAATACGCATAACTTCTGGACGTGTAGAGCGACTGTCGTAAAGATACCAGGAGTATTTAAACTAAGGAAATCAAGAGTATGACAACCCTTAAGAATAAATTCATATTCCTTTTATTGATCACATATATTATGTATGTCCGACCAAGCCTTTTGTACTGAATTTCCAATTTTCATTCAACTATGTAGAAATGATAAAAATGTTGTCCAGAGAAATATAGAGGCATTCCACGAAAGAATGAAACGATTTTCTTATTCCAACCACTAGATGACGACGATGTTGGCGAGTGGAGCCAGTGGAGTGCTGCAGCATGCACAGCCACCTGTGGTCCAGGCCAAGAGGGAAGCATGGAAAGAAGCAGAAGTTGTGTTACGCCGGCCAATAATATCAGCTGTATAGCCGCACTAACAGAAATCCAAATGGGACACTGCGGCCTCCCTACATGTCCAGGTAAGTGTCTGTCCATCTTAAACCGTACTTGTCACCTGGAAGCTACCGTTTTGGCTGGACATTCTTAGTTTTTCGTAAACACTTGTTGTCATCATCGATGTTCAGTGATCTGTTCATATATTTTTCACCACTATTTGAAACCGTTTAAGCTCAATAGGATCTGTTACGGTAGATGTTCTGAAGGGGTCATTCTCCGGTTTTGACATTTCATGTTTGCATCCATGTATACAAATTACAGAAGAAAAAGAGTGTCTGTTAACCTTTGATTTATGGTAACAGTTTACTCTCTGGGTGATAAACAAAGTTCTGATGTTGTGTTCTGATATATTGTGTTTACTGTAGAACCAGAAGCGAGTACCTCCTTGCCTATATAAGATAGTACGATGTACTACTCCAACAGTGTAAATATCCGTGTGAGAGATGAAAGTTTTGAATGTGAAGACTGATGCTTACTGCATGTTTCGTTTCTTACCAATTTAACAAAATATAGAATAATAGATCTCACCTACATCTGTAGGTCTTATCCTATCTAGCTTTCCTAACTTTCCTTCAATGACATGTGATGTTATTATTACTGCATCGCTGTTGACACTATGCTTGATATTTTTGCATTTACCAAATCAACCATTTAAAAACATTGAACATTGAAATATATTTGCTACATCCTTAGATTTGTTTACAAAACTTCTGTATGTTGTTATTATTGATGCATCTGATAAGAATAATTGTTTTCCTGTGTCAGGTATGAGCATAATTTATCTTCGCAATATTTACTTTGCTATGAGTTTTAATTGTGCTATGTATGAATTTACACAGTTTATCCTATGGTAATTTTGTAAAGTTTTATGGATGGAAGTACACACTCTTTGCTATGCTATATCTTCATTTATTCTATGTATTAGTACTAGTATTCACACTCTTTGCCAGGAAATAATGTTCATACACTGCATGTATGTACACAATCTTTGCTTTGCTATAATTTGAATTGTTCAATGCATGAATGTATACAATATATGCTATGCTACATCATGAATTATTCATTACATTAATAAACGCAATCTTATCACTGGTATATTTTGAATTATTTCAGGCATGAATGTTGACAATCTTTGCTATTTCGTATTGTGAATGATTATCTGTATAAACAATATACAAAAACGTGTGCTGTGCGATATATTGCATTGGTGAATGAATAAATGAACATAATCTTTGCTATGCCTTATTTTGAATTGTTCTATACATGTATGATTATCAATTAAACAAATATTTAAAAACGTTTGCTATGCGATATATTGTATTGTTTAATGAATGAATGTACATAATCTCTGCTATGTTAAATTTGAAATTCTTCTTCACATGAATGAACACAATCGTAAGCTACACCTACACTTCAAGTCGAAGACACAACGCAATGGACCTGTCAACATCAACGATTCAACCGTAGAGATGTCCAACCGGAAGTGCCGGTCGATAGCCATGTGACCAATGTTACCTTAGATGTTCATGGTTCTGTAACGTACGTATTGCATGGATGCTTTGGCCTTTAGACTGGATTCAATACTTATGGGTCGAGATATATTCTTTCGTTAACTGTAACAATTCCCAATTAGCTTAATACACATAATACAATGTGAAAGTCCTTCACAAGAACGAAATCAGTTAAAGTTTCAAACTTGTTTGCAACGTGATATACCACGTGTTATCAATGCATTTTGAAGATAAGTATGCTTTTGTTTGTTGCAGTACACTCCTTATCATATCCACGATCCAGTCCTGAAGCAACATGATGATTGATCAGCGCTAAGAAAGAAAATATAATATAATATTCATCCTCGCTATCTAGCGTAAGGAGTAAGTGTATGTTCATAAGGTATGCTTCTCTCCGTTTCACCTGGGAACTAAAATTAAGTCAGCAAGCATAAACCTCAGAAACCTATCCAATCTGATAATCAAGAGTGTGCTAATCTACTGCATTCAATATCAGGACGGGGGACACCAGAAATTAGCGTCACACAATTTGTAAATCGGGCCCGAGGCTTCGGCGTGACGAGCGAACACTTTAACCAAAAGGCTACCCTGCTGCCCCATGCATCTTTGAATTCACAAAACGCGTAATCTTAAAGATACCTTCATGTGAGACTAACAAAGGTGACTAGGTAACAATGACAATGATGTAAATAAATGCGACAAAAACCCTTCCATAATCATAATGTCTGCTAAAAGCAGAGTCCATTGTACGAATTCGACTTGATCTTGAACATGTGTTTATCAATTACTAACAGATCATTGTGGTCGCGTATACATCAAATGTGGAAATTCTCCTAAATGTCTACAATAAGTCTTTTTGCAAGCTTTCAAATGACCTGGAATATTGTAACCCTGATCAAACAACTTTTGAGAAAGAGTCGTATGACGCTCGTTGAAATCTTTGTAGAAAGAGCATGTTTGATCATACCTCAAAAGTTTCTGTTACTCTGATTCTTTATGCATAGATCAGAATATGAAACAGATGAGACCGCCCTACCTTCGTCTAGCTAAGTTGGTAAATCAGTGGACATATCTGAAGCTTGAGTAAAACGTCTTGACCTAAGCCTCTTGTTTTGATGATGCTTATCACACAGAACCTCTGACCCGTATGCATAAGGAAACAGATCAGCAATGATCCCACCGCCAATTTCAACATGACAGTTATCTTTCAGGAAGTCAAACATTTCACATATTGTTTTCTCAGTAAACTTCAGATAACATTTGCTTTCATTTTTCTCAAATTGTGATGAACCTTTGAAGATAGAATTAGTAACTATATGTTGTCTGTGCTCACCACGTGATGTGAGAAATGACTCGTGAAATGAGGAATGAAGTTGTTGTAAAGTTTGTCATGTGGTATACTTGTGAAGAAAGTGAAAACATTGGGATTTGACAAAAATTGAACCAAATCCTTCATTGGTTTCAGATCTAAATGGTTTTTGTTCCACTTGTCTCGAATACACCGTGACGCTACAACCCTTTCACCTTAATCTTATATAATTTCAGATGGGAAACGAAATCCTGATTTGTCAATAAAAAATGAAAAATGTGACTTAATGATTCAAGGGTAATTCGTGAACATCGGGAATGTCAATGTCAACAATCATTTCCAAGATTAGATTTTCTGGATGATACACATGACAATCACGTCGTCGTTTGTTGGAAACAAATGACTTAATTTTTGCTTATTAAACAAAAGAGGCAACCTGCTACAAAATCACTTATTTTATGAATATATGATGAACTGTTACAACAGGTGAATTGACAACTCAACAATATTTACGCAGTTCATTGGGAAATACGCTGCGAAATTAACAGAAGCAAAGCGTTTTATGAATAAGTCTATTCGAATGTAAATCATACATTTTCGTATATACATTTCAAATGGGAAACGATTGTATTTTAGATAATGTTTGCATTTTGCTTGGACAGCACTGCAGTAAGAATGGCCACCGTTGATTTACGAATCCACGATTTACAACAGTCGCTATTTCATGTCTTCTCACTTTGTAGATTCATGAATGTCAGCGAAACGCTGACCATGGTAAAAAAGTCTGCAAAACGTTTCATTATTGTACTCCTTTGAAAGTTGAGTCCCTAGTACGGTGGCCTAACTTTGGTTGCTGGTGATTCATAGCCCATCTATAAAATGTATTTTTACAATAGTCACAATGATATGGCTGTATACTTGTTTTAAATTTATACCTGTCATAATCTAGTACTTTACTGACCCTTGTCGACAGATGTTAAAGTCTATAATTATGTATTATTACTGTAAACTGGATTTAGTCACGACATGGCTGAAATACTGCCGATGTGACTATAAATCTTAACGCACTCACTCATGTTTACGAAACACTTCTTATCATTGAAGGAAACTACATGGATATGTTGCCTCTTGAAATCTTGAAAAACATCTCACTGATCTTTGGCTACTTTTCAATCATGATAAAACATGAACGTTAGATCATTACCGGACACGCGAATAACGCATGTTCTTCCCTGCAGGTAGCACCCACCACTGGCACAATTTAATCAAGAATGTAAGTGTTTGTTTCTTTCCTGACACTGAAAAGAGGTTCTTCTTTCATGCGACGACGACATCTAAATAATTAAGTGATGGAGCAGAAAATCCAGTTACACGATAGCGAATTTGCTGATTTTGTTGAAACTAAATACGATATGTCAATTTTTAATTGTGTCCGCTTTGAACAAGATCAGATGGCTTTCTGCCTATGTGTAAAGCAAAACGTTTTAGAAATATGTTCGCTTTGCAACACAGTTGGGAGCAGTTTTATGTCTCGGCCCAACCATTACTTTTGTAGCTTTTAATGAAACTCGGGACTGAAGTCCACCAGTTTCTCAGTGTTGATGACGTCTTTGTTACCATTGGCAGAATTAACAAACTGTAAGAGAGGACACAGAATTGGAATATATTCTTTCTGTCCCAGTCAAATGTTTTCCCGAGTACCAGGGCTCCATAAAAAAATCCGTGCAACGAAAAATGTATGGCAGGGTAAATGATAACCATAATTCGTAATACAATCAAGAAAGGACTTTCTTCACATTTACAGAGGATGTCCCACGCAACAACCTTGATGATAAACTTCATTCCTTGATGACATTTGTTGAAGCATTTGTCACTAAGTGCTGTGCCAAAGACATAATGACATCTTAATCGTCAATGGTTCAAGACAATTAGTCAAAAATGAAAGCAAATGTCATACAGTTACGTCCCGTTAATCCAACATTGTTGTGTGCATATCATTAGGTCGGATTAACGAGTAGGTCGGATAAACGAAATTAGGTAGTATTAACGTTCGTGATCGGCAATCGGACAACTACACTGCAGATAACGATTCAAAGGCGTAATAAAAAGGGAAAAAGGGAATATTCATATTGTTATGTTACATTGTTGGCGGAATACGTTTTCTAATCATGCAACCTCTAAAGTTTAACACAATACTACTGTTACGGAATGTACGACTCATTCACATGACTGTATGTTGCTGAGTACAAAATGTGTGAAAAAATATTGGACATAGATAAAGTTTTCGAGTGGGATTGGTCTTGAGCAGCAAACAGAAAGCCTTCTGTTTCACTTTTCAGACCTATAGACTTCATCCAAGCAGAGGACTCTGCACGGTTGCTGATCCTCTCAACACACTGCATATAAAGGCGATGCAGTGGTCGTTCAGATAGCGTCTGAGTCTGGGATAGTATGTGGCACCTCGCTTGCTTGACGCTCATTTCAGTACCGTCCAGCAGTATAGAACTATCAACAAAATCAACATTAACATTAAAATTATGTCCATCATCCTTGGCTCGTTTATGGAAACTGTGAAATGCCTTGTTTTCATCCTGAGACTTGACATGCTTCACAAGAGGATCATCAGACCAATAAATGTGTGCAAAAGTGCACAAAACAATCCTATCAGGAAGAGCCTCCACCATTAATCAAACCACGCCCTCCCATATAAATTTGCAAATATAAGCGGTTAAAGTTTAAATTTTAACTCGCTCACTTGTGTTAGGGTGTCAGTACCCTGAATTTCTTGTTTCGTCAACAGCACCAAAAGATGAGGATAGAACGGTATTATTATAATAATTATTATTTTCTGACAGCCAGGTAGCCAGTTTCATTCCATTTATTTATCCACTTAAAGTAGATATAAATGAGACAAGTGAAACCACCTGATCTATTTTGTATTTAGATCTGTACATGAAGAGTCAGCGTCACAAAGAACTATCCACAAAACACAAATTCTAAATCAGTCACAAAAATTATGTCTGACGTAATTTCCTCTTTTTACTTGTACCATATGTTGTTCGTTGTTTAGGTCATCACGAGTCTTGCCTTTACATGTGTTTTTGAAGAGTGCTTATGTCGAGTGAGTGAATTGGGTTTAGCGCTGCTTTTAACATCATTCCAGTTATATCACGGCGTGTCAGCTTAATGAGGGAGGAAAGCTCGAAGTGATGCAGGTCTCGGACGTTTACCTCTTCGGCGAAACCCACGCGCACGGGTATGGTGCTGACAAACCTAGAAACGTAATCAGGGCGAACCGGGATTCGAACCCTCAATCATAGTTTTTTGGCGTGCCAAAGGGACGCAACTCTGCACAGCGAATAGCGGCGCCTTAGACGACTGGGCCACCCGTGCACCCCGCCACTGTTGGGGCAGGCTACGCTCAGGTTGTTGCGAAAACCTGTTGTCATCATTATTCTGCATCCCGATCATTGTTATTTTAGCTCAACATCAAGGACATCAACGCACATCTTCTGCACCATTCAACTACTACCTAAAGTACTCACGGAAATGAAAAAAACAACTGTTTTTTCGATCTCAGATTTTATATAAATGCAGTTAATATACAAAATATATAAATATTCAAACAACTCAATTAGTACTAATACATCGTATCAAAGGTTTCTGTGTCTTTTGACAGTAAAAGTGTGTTAAAATATGAACAAAACAGACTATTGTGAAACTGAGCATGCCCAGCTGTTAGTAGATCAAGGTGAATGTCCATGACCTATGACACCTTGACGACAGGTGAAAACAGGTGCTTGAAACCCACGTGCATGTGATTTGTCAGTGGTTAGTGATTTGTCAGTGGTTTTGTGGGATAGTGAATCATCGTCAAAATATCAGAACGTAAAAGTAACATTTTCCCTTCTCAAACAACAACTTACATGTCATTATTATTATGTACATAAACATAGCTGTTAGTTTTATTGTTGTTTTGATATTTTTTTCCAGGCTAATTTACATAACAGACACTTGGTCC